ATGTCATGAAACAGGTTCTGCGGGCCATGCATGACAGAGAAGCCGTCGCGTGTGATGACATTCAAGGTTCCTGCACGCAAGTCCTCACGCAAGCGTACACAATTGGACTACGCGAACCTCAACGCAGGAGTCGAATCCGACCCGAGTAGATGGTTGCGAGTCATCCAAAGCAAGCCAATCAAGGACGACAATTTTAGAAGAATGAAGGGTGCAGACGTGGGCCTGGAATGGTTGGAGAACGACGAAACCGCGATGCGTGAGCCAATTGTAGTGGAGAATCCGGAGGGACTGAGAATGAAGATGCCTCCACCCGAATTCTCGGTTCAAGATGTCGCGGATGAAGTCGGCCACGAAACACCTGTGGAGGTCATTGGTGAGTGTGTTGTTATGGAGTGTATGTGTGGCTGATGTGTGGCTTAGACGTTGCCTCACAGTCAAACTCGCCTGGATGGACGTTGGGGCGTTGGGCTGAGTACTATAATACCGAACCTTCCAAACGAGATAAGATCCGTAACGTGATATCGTTGGAGATTTCAGGTACGAAGCTTGCGGACCAGGTGTTACCCCCAAGACTTGTGAGAGAATTGGACTGGGTTGAAAAGTTCTGGCCAAGTACACGTAAAGGGAAGGGGCATGCATACCCCAAAGTGCAGCTGTATTGTCTCATGGGTGTTGCTTCCGCGTGGACAGTGAGTGATCATCACTTTTGAATGATGGTGCTCTAAAAATCGGCCATAGGATTGGCACGTAGATTTTGCTGGTTCGTCAGTGTATTATCATATACTTCGTGGATGCAAGGTCTGTCTCTCAACTATATGCTCCATCCTTCTAACAGGTTGGGCGTTTACCCCAGGTATTCTACTTCATACGACCCACACCAGCCAACTTACAAGCATATGAACGATGGTCCGGGACTGAGATGCAAAGTAATGTCTGGTTAGGTGACATGGTGGATGAGGTGGTGAAGGTCACTCTTCACGCAGGCAATACGATGATAATACCAACAGGGTGGATACATGCTGTGGTGAGCACCTCCGCTGCTATTGTCTTCCAGATTATGAAACATCGGTTGTTCCTTTAGCACACCCCAGTAGATTCTCTGGTCTTTGGCGGAAATTTCCTACACTCTTACAACATTGCAACACGTGAGTTAGCTTTTTGCTATTCTTGTTTCATGCTATAGACTGACGTTGGCCATCATGATACAGAGCTGAAAGTGATGGACATTGAGAAAGCAACACATGTGCCCAAAAAATTCAGGTTTCCGTTGTTTGTCAAGTGAGATTTTTCTTCATTTCTGTTAAACTGTCTGAGCATCAATTATTAGGCTCTGCTGGTATGTAGGTGACAAATATTTGCGAGACCTGAAATCGAAAGAAGAGTTCCCTCCTCGTGTTTTGGAATCTCTTGAAGCTCTTGCCCGTTTTCTCGTGTCAGAGTCACAAGCCATGGAACGCGGGACAGAGGTGGCCAAACGGGAAGCCAAGGAAAACGTCCCAAGTGATCGCGTGAAGGACGCACCAGCATTGGCTCGTGAGCTGAGATGGCGTGTGCGGCTTGCAGCAGGAGCGACGAGCGACGATGAAGACCTCGGGCACCCGGTTCAGAAGAATATGGTGAACGGCCACAAACGGAAGCGATCGCCCGCTAGTGCAGCTGTTGGCGTACAGTTCAGGAACTTCCAGCCCAAAGGATGGGATGTGGTTAATGAACTTCCGCGGGAATCAGACAAGCGGGTTGTGAATATTCACCGTCCAAAGACATCAGATATATGGGAACGAGAGTGGACGGAGTGGAGTAAAGAGTCTGAAGATCAGGCGCAAGAGGAACGGGCCACTGTGGAAGAAACGAGAGATGTGATGATCAAAGTCAGAAAGACTGAAGATGGGGTGGAGAGGCAGCGAATAGAGCGGGTGATGGAAAAGTGGGTTTGGAAAGCTGAGTTTTCGAGGCCAGAAGGGGATTTCCAAGATGTCGAGATGAAGCCTATAGAAGACGCACCCCTAGGATGCGAAGAAGTGACGAAGGAAGAAGAACAGGGGACTGAAGTTCATGTCATTTCGCCGCTAGAGACAACCCAAGCGATGGAGGTGTCTGCTTAGGTAGAAGCTCGTTGTCCTTCTTGCATGATCAATTGCTCTATATGATATATTAGGAGTGTCATTCTTTTAGTAGAGTAGAACGTGTGGACCTTAGTTTGATGTTTGCCCTGGGAAATCAACTCGGAGTCTCGGACAAGCTCGGTAACCGAAACTCAGAGTCATAGCCTTGCTGGCAATCCTCTGTCTGGCACAAGTCTAACATTAGCCTGCCTTTCCTGGTTGGCGTGGTTTATAGCCTACAAGGTTTTCTCGCAACCTAGCTCAGTGCTCGTTAGTTACTGAGACACTTGTTTCGACAGGTTTTTTTCTGTTGTCTTTTGGCTTATTATTCTGTCATGTCCGACCCCGATTCATCGTTGGCCTATGACCAGCCCGAACTCGACTCGCAAGATCACCTACCGGTTGAGAGTGCGCATTGGGATCACAATGGAATACCTCTGAACGGTCAACAAAACTGGGCGCTGGAACAGCATGCACTACAAGGCCCTACTGCTAATTACCATGGTGCAAACAACCATCTTCCAAACCCTGGTTAGTGATGTTCCGCTCTGTGTCTTATCGCTGCTTATCATTTTGTCGTCTCAAGCCTTTACACGCCATACTAATCTCTCCGTACCTTCCCTGCCCTCCCACAGTCAAAGATCAGAATACGACGACGTGCCACCACTGCCCAATTTCAATCCTTCAACTCTCGTAGACAGCATGAACGCAATGCACTTAGGCGACCCCCTACCCCGGGGGACAAGCGCAATGTCATACAGCTTTGACCCTGTTCCTCGTGCAGGAACTTCCATGTCGATGCAATCCCTCTCCCCCGATCAGCGCGGTCCATACCCGCCGCGATATGCGAGCACGTTGCCATCAGCACCTAACGTGAATATTACCCGTCCTCTACGACTTCGACATCCAGCCGAACGTTCCCACACAGCCGATGAAGCCTCGCTTTACTCTAATGATCCTCACAGTGGCCTCTCCGTGGACACAGATCTCGTGGACATACGTAATTATGACAACCAAGGGCAAAGTCCATATCCTTCTTCAGAAAGTTCCGTCGCACCCTATTCTCAACCCCCACCCTATCCACCGAGACAGTTTCAAGTTGGGCGGCAGGGTCCACCGGCAGCTTTGCCTCCCGCATACTACCCTCCTGGCCCAGGTCCTACACACCCTGGCCCCTCTCGTCAAGACGAGTATGACTACCTATATGCTGCTGCATCTGACGTCCTCGGTATGGGACCTCCGCCACCACAGCACCATATGCCGGTTTATCCTGCCGGCCCCGCGTACGGAAGCCAAGTATCTCTTCCTGTAAGCCAATCTACACCTTATCTTTCTCCCCCCGGTTCGGGACCCTATGGTAGTAGTGCGGGGATGTTGCCCTACGGTGGCCCATCTAACCCGTCAGTACCTCAAGGACTGGATGATCCTGAGTTTGAGCTTCGACCCTCATCGTTACAACGTTCTGCCTCCACGTCAGTTGATCCACGCACCAAGAAAACAAAGGCAGTTGATCTTACAGCCCCTCCGTTCACGAAGGAATATATCGACCAGTACCGACACCGTATCAAGGCCGATCCGGACCCTGAAGCTCATTTCTTATATGCAAAATATCTCATAGATGCTGCTAAAAAGATAGGAGCGGACGCCAAGGACCAGCGGGCTGTAAAGAAGTATCGTGACTTGCTCCTCCAAGAATCTCTCAAGACTATCCGTCGATTAGCGGAGCAGAAAGAAGCTTACGATGAGGCACAGTTCTTCCTAGCCAATTGTTTCGGGACAGGTTCTCTGGGTCTCCAAGTGGACCATGAACGCGCGTACCACTTGTACCTACAAGCCGCAAAACAGAATCACGCAGCAGCTTCATACCGTGTCGCTGTCTGTAATGAGATTGGAGCAGGCACGCGACGGGATCCGCAGCGGGCTTCTGCGTTCTATCGGAAAGCAGCATCACTGGGTGACACTGCCGCAATGTACAAGTTGGGCATGATTCTTCTACTTGGGTCTTTGGGAGAGCAGAAGAACCCAAGGGAAGCTATCAACTGGTTGAGACGGGCTGCAGAGCAGGCTGATGAGGAAAATCCACATGCACTTCACGAACTCGCCATGCTTCACGAAATGCAAAATTCACAATTGGTTATTCACGATCCCGCGTGTGCCAAGTCACTATATGAACAAGCAGCACGCCTAGGTTATACGCAATCCCAATACAAGCTCGGACAATGCTTCGAGTACGGCACGCTGACATGCCCTGTTGATCCTAGGCGATCAATAGCGTGGTACACCAAGGCAGCAGAGAAAGGGGATGCCGAGGCTGAGCTGGCTCTCAGTGGATGGTATCTGACCGGAAGTGAGGGTGTGTTAAAGCAGAGTGATTCTGAAGCGTATCTGTGGGCACGTAAAGCTGCCAACAAGGGCTTGAGCAAAGCAGAGTATGCTGTGGGTTACTACGCAGAGGTGGGGATCGGAATCAAGCAGGATATCGAGTTCGCCAAGAGGTGGTATATGAGAGCAGCAGGTGTGTACAAACGTTCTATTACCTGCACATCATTTTTAGCTCAAATTTCTGTATAGCACAAGGGAACAAACGAGCCATGAACCGACTGACGGAGATGAAGCGTATGGGCAATAAACGCTCCAACGTTGGACGTCCAACGCGACAGCAAGCCAAAGACGAATGTGTTATTTGCTAGTAACCCTGGAATGATCGCTATCAATTTCGCTGTCGAGCTTTTCCTTTTCCTAATGGCTACCCTTCCTTAATTATTATCGGCGGCTTTTATCAGCTTATCGCTTGAACGCTAGTACTCTGGATATTGATCTTGTACCTGCTGTCGTTGTTTTGCAGCTCGGCTGTGTTACTAAGTATGAGGGAATCCATGATGTGCCACACCCGGGTGTTCCAACGTTCAGAAACAGTACCTGTCACAGTCAACGCTCTCATCACTTATTTTCATCACTATCGGTATGGCATCTTCAAAAGGCGGCATGCAAGATGTTGAGAATAACCGATTGTGCCCCAGTCCGTCGCTGATTCACTAGATTCATAGGTTTCCCTTCTGGAGCACATTGCCAAAGCGCAATGCTTGAATGAGCAGGACGAACACACGTTGCAGTCCATACTTTCTTCCAAAGCACGAAACACATCACCTGCATACCTTGACAGCGATGCAGATGCAGAGTTGCTATTAAACATCGAGGTACGTACTACTCGCATCACGTTGCTCTAGGCAGCGTTGACGCAGGTCGTGGCAGTTCAACCAGGCAGTTCGTGTACGATCATTGGTCATTCAGGCGCAGGATCGAGGACCGGCGAAACTCAGGCTTCGTATCAACTGCTCTGCTATCGACTTCACCAATTTTGAGGACTCGGAGGATACCCAGGTCATCGAGCTAAAGGCGGATCAAGTTTCGAAAGATGCAACAACAAAGTTGATAACACTTCATCCCACAAAGTTCAGCCATGTGAACTCGCTTCATGTGAGTCCTGACCCCATGCGAGGACCTCAACCTTACGGCATACCGAACAGATCCTTGTTGAATCTGACCACGATAACACCAGAATCGATGCACTCGATATCTTGGGTACGCTTGTCCAGTAAGTTGTTTACATCCAGATGTTAACTTCGTGTATAATAATGTTACCACCATAAAGCGCAACTAAGAATCTTAGTGGGCTTGCACAACAAGCGGACTAGAATGATCATGGTTTGCATTTGACAACTTGTTACTTTGAGGCAATAAGTAACTTGAGTACGGAGTCCGTGCGTGGCACTGCGCCCTTCTGCAGCAAGAATACGAATCTCAAGAGTTGTGCTCAAGTATTACTACTAATGTGCAAGACTTTCATTTCCCGTCAATCTGAAGCCACATACTCCACCTCTTTTGTTCTTCCTCGGAACCTTCGAACACCCAATTAACCTTTATTATTTCTGAAAAGCCCTCTGTCAGTTGGGGCTCCTCGTAGTGGTTCTTGAAACCTATGAAGGCAACATATGGTATTATGTCGCGTCTCAACTAATGATCGCTGAGATTAGATTTGGGCAAGAGTTCGTGAGGTATCTAACATTTACCTCTTTTGAAGGATGAACATATGCACGGTAGAGGTTATTGTGCCATGCCAGATCCATTGAGCCAACGAACTCGATACATCTGATGCAAAGCGTCACGTTCCTGTAGACGTAAGTAAGTAAAAATACTCGCCGAACAGGAATATGAAGTTTCTTCGCGAGATCCAAATAATGTTTTCTAGTTGGAATATCTCTATTGGTATTGTCTGCCGGACCGTCATGTGTTTGGCCAGTTCATACAAGAACAACAGGTACTTACCAACTACACAGCTTGTACCAGCTTTGAGTGCCACTTCAGCTGCTTTCATGCATTTGGAACGACTGCCCAATGTATCTTGGTTGATGTGGGTGTACCCAGCAGGCGCGAAATGCCTCCGGAAAAAGGTCGATTTTCCGAGGCATGGAAAGCCCGAAAATACGACTAGTTCTGTCCCTGCGGCATCAGGAATGATTTGTGCCATAGGAGGGTCAAATAACGGTACTGCTTCACGAGTCAACTTCATTTTCAAAATATCCAAAAAACTAGCGAACATTTCGGGAGACCAGAAACATGGAATCCAGGAAGGGTATACGGCGCTGAGGGCAGTTGGAGAAAATATTCCTAAAGAGTTTCAACATGACATGAACACTTCCGAGCGATTGATTCTCACTTCTGGGGTATAAAATGAAATACCAACGTTAATCGCCCATTTCCTGTCAGTTGATGCAAAGTCATTTGTACGACCCGCAGCATCTCCAACAAAGAATGAAGCGTCATTATCTGAAAGTGACGCACATAAGATACTCGCAATGCATCCCACTATTCCTATGCCACTCACCTATCCGAACACCATCTTCTGCGAAAATACGTTCGAGCTCATCCCACATCCCTGGCATAGGTTTGCGGAAACCATCTTTGGTAGACGCAGCTAATATTCGAAAAGGTACGCTAGGAAGCTGTTCTCGTCTATGAGGGAACGGATCAGGGAAGGAGACAGCGGTGCTTACAGCGGCAGAGATGAGAGGAATCTTCTTTTTCCAGCCCTCCAGATGTTGTTGCTTTAATGCTTGATTGGATATCAATATGATCGAGTATCTGCGAAGATTGAGTCGTAGCTTGGCTTGGCATGCTTTGGACATACCCTTCTCGATGTAATTCCTCCAACTTCACAGGCACACTAGCTCTCCACCACTCCCAGTGCAATGCGGCTTCCTTGCTTCGATTTTTGTGGTTTGATTTGATCACTGTTCCATCGAGGTCGAATGCAGCTACTTTCGGTGTGCTTTGTGGTATCAGATTGATTCCGTGCAGACACGTGCGCTTCGGGCCTAGAGCAGGTTTTAGCCATTGGAATGAGGACGATGTAGAGTCCGTGCTAGGTTTGGTGAAGAATGGGTGTACTGGAATAGCGCATCAGATGTAATTTTACTACACACAGGAACTATGGCTCACTTTTGGCTACTTTTCGAGAGGTCATCGTGGAGTCACTGCCATTATCAGACTCGCCACCCAGATCTGAAACAGTTCGCTTCCTCGATTCTGTGATAATGTGACTGAGCAAACAAGGTACAGGGTGCTCTCACTTCGAGGACCGAGGCTCGAATAAAGCACAGTAGAACAGGTTAACACGAACCTGATTGCTGCATTTGCTTCGAGTATGCCATACCCTTGGGGGTTGTTGGCATGTTGTACAATTCTGCACGGGCACCCCCGAGCTTGCGGACCTCGCGGACGCGTCGTGGTTTCAGTGTCACACGAACACGCAGTGCCTTCAGTGTACGACTAGTCTTCCTTTTATTGGTTTGTCTACAGGAGATTATTTTCAGCCAAAACGATGGCGAGTGGAAATACCAGTACCGCCAATTGGCCCAAAAGTCACTGAATTATTGGTAGGAAGTTGAGCAAGCTTAAGATGTATTGTTGACACAAGGCTAAGTTCAACTACTGACATAATAATGGAAAGACTCCTATGACTACGTGTTTCGTCGGCATACAATTACAAACGACAAAAGCAGTGTTTTCTAGCGCACTGCAATTGTTTATACGGACCTCCATCATGATCGTCGATATTCAACAACTTCAAGAGATACATTTAATCTATTTGCGTCGACAACCGAAGAATAAGATAGCCTTGCCAATATAGTGCACAAGTGCGCGCTTTTGGAATAGATGCAATTTCTCTGCAACGACCGGCGCGGACGGCTTGTACATGATATAGACATAACGTAGAAAATACACAAGAGTAACTAGCATGATACAGGACTGAGTGGTGCTTGACATTATCTGGTATATGAAACATATTATCTTTTAATCGTGACCCTCTTTCGATAGAACGCTAGAGTCAGGAGGGTGGTTGTCCTCGATGTCGAGAGAATCACTATCAGAGACCGTGATGTGGACAACATCACCATTTCTATTAGAAATCATCAACATACATGAAAAAAATTCAAACACATAACAGTCTTCGTACCTGATTGTCCCCCTCAACAACTTCTGTGCAAGAGGGAACAGTACATGGGTACGCACGACGCGAGCGATCGCGCGAGCACCATAGATATCAGAATAACCTTTCTCGACAAGCCAGTTGCGAGGTTCTGCCTCAATATCGAGCGTTATCCTTTTGTCCTTCAAGCGTGAAGCAACATCCTTCAGCCTCAGTGCCACAACATCTAGAATTGACCTGCGAGATAACTTGTTAAAAACAAGTATTGAGTCAAGGCGATTGAGAAGTTCAGGGGGAAAATATTCTGTCGTGCGTTCTATGACAAGATTCTTGGCCTCCTCCGTGACAACACCATCTGGATCACAGGATGAACTGTGAGCTAATATATCGCTTCCGAGATTGCTTGTCAGACAAATGATGGTATTCTAAGAATGGATTGAGTGCACTATGCTTCATCAACAAAGAACTACATGCCTTAAAGTCTACTTTTCTGCCTTGGCTGTCAGTAATGCTGCCTTCGTCGAGTATTTGTAGAAGGATCATGGCCACATCCTTCGTGAACAGCAGCTTTAGGCACAGTTCGAACTATCAAAGCAGAGATGAAGTACCTTGTGTGCCTTCTCAAGCTCATCAAGTAAAATGACCGCTGTGGGCAAGCATAGGTGGAATGTAAATACTAGGGCTGGATCAACTTACCATACGGTTTGCGTCGAACAGCTTCTGTTAACTGACCTACGCACAAAGGATGAGGCTGAATGGCACATGAGAGAAACAACTAACCGCCTTCTTCAAAACCGACATAACCTGGAGCGGCTCCAATTAGTCTCGAGATCGTGTGTCGATCATGGTACTGTGAGTTTACGTGAACCAGTCATGTAGAACAACTGAAGGAAATTTTGAAACCACGAACCTCGGACATGTTGATATTGATACTAGTAAATTTTGCATGAGTTGAATATAATGTCAAAAGAATATTCTGGAGGGGACTTACAGTCCTCTCTGCTCATCGTTGAAAAGAAACCCAGCTAGTGCCTTTGCTAATTCTGTCTAAGGGTTCATGAAATCAGAATTATGTGACGAACAAGGCCAGACACGCAGTTTACCTTGCCAACACCAGTAGGACCAAGGAATAGAAATGAAGCCACAGGTCTATTCGGCGCCTGTAAACCAGCACGTGAGATGCGGACAGCGTCGCTAATCGCGGCGACAACATGATTTTGGCCAACAACTCGTTCTTTGAGGGCGTCCTCCATCTATCGAAAGTCATTAATAGTTCAGGTAGAGACTGGTAGTGAGACGAACATGAACAAGTTTGTCTCTTTCACCTTTCAGAAGATTCTGGACAGGAATGCCTGTGGCCTTCGCAACGACGCGAGCGATATCGTTGCTTGTAACACGGTCATGCAACATTGATAGAGGACTTTCTTCAGTGTCGTCCTTCATCTCACTGTCCTTTGGGAGCTGACGTTCGAGCTCGGGGATTGTCCCAAAGCGCAACTGGGATGCTTTGTCATACTGACCATGACGCTGAGCAACTTCGAGTTCGTGCTTTGCGTCCTCCAGCCGCTTTTTGAGATCTTTGATCCGATCTAGTCTTGCCCGTTCTGGAGATGAATTTAGAAACTATTGCATCTCATGACAGTAGAATTACCGCACCATTTTGCCAGATAGCAGTGAGCTCCTGCGCCTCCTCCATTTTGATGCGCAGCTCCTCCTCAACCTTGGCCCTGCGCTCGACGCTAAAAACATCGACTTCGTTCTTCAGGCTTTCAAGTTCGATCTGAAGAGTCATAATCTCGCGCTCGAGTGCTTCCAGTTCATCTGGTTTTGATTCTTGAGCAAGGCGTAGGGCTGAAGCAGCTTCATCGACAAGGTCAATTGCCTTGTCAGGCAGATACCTGTCTGATATGTAGCGCGCGCTGTAGACAGCAGCTAGTAAAAAATTGCATAAGCCCTGGAGACGTAGTGCAAAGATTAATTCAGACCTGTCACAAGAGCGCTGTCCGCAATTTCAACGCCGTGGTGTACCTCATAACGTGATTTAAGTCCTCTTAAAATTGATATGGTGGTTTCAATAGTTGGCTCATCTATCGAAACAGGTTGAAAGCGGCGTTCAAGAGCTGCGTCTTTGCCAATCGTTTTCCTATATTCGTCCGCTAGGTGCGACTTGTTATGGTACTCATCTCGAAATAAAGGTTCCACATACGCGTTGTAGCTCCCACGAGCTGGAGACCACGAGCCAAAGCAGGTTTAATCATTTGGCCAGCATCAATGCTCCCCTCCGCTTTTCCGAGGTTGAAAAGCGAATCTAAAAATGATATTCAACTTTGCTTGAGGACAAGACTGTAGGTGCACTCACGGACTTCGTCAATGAAGCAGATCACATTTCCTGCCTAATGATTTGATGAAGTTAAATGAAAGACTCCTACCGACGGGATTGGATGGTAACTCACCTCCTCCTCGATATCACGGATAAGGGCCTTGAATTTCTCCTCGAATTGTCCGCGAATCCCGGAACCAGCCATGATAGCTGCTAAGTCAATCGACAGGACACGTTTATCCTGCAAAGACTAAACATACTGTGATTAGCAGTTATCGGCGTGTGAGTGCTGAAGCTGATGAACGTACTTCCGGTACTTCTTTAGCAACAATCCTGCTTGCGAGACCTTCCAAAATGGCGGTTTTCCCCACACCAGGGGGACCAATCAACTACAAATATTATCTAGTCTTCGTCTGAATGTGACGGGTTTGACTTACCACAGGATTAGACTTGGTACGTCGGGACAATACTTGGAAAGTTAGCATCACTCCTTTGAATTTGTAAGGTAGGGCTCACTCTGTATAGTTCTGCGAATTTCTACAAGGATATCGATTTCAAGGGAGGCAAAACTACAGCGGTGTACGTGCGCTCACCATCGTCACGCCCAATGGTAGGGTCTAACTTCCCATTCCTGGCCATTTCCGTAAGATCGACACTCTAAGGCGTATGTGAGTGATAAGACGCGGTGATGGTACGACGACAGACTGACATATTCTTTCAGCGCGTCTCCTTTCTGGTGCTGCTGCTGCATAAACGCGGGGAATCCACCAGCACCACCCCCTGCACCTCCTGGAGGCTGCGATGCGTAGCTGCGTATATAGCGACCTGGTATTACTGGTAACCGCCTCCTACTACTGTGCGGCTGGACGCGCCCAGCGAGAGCGAGAACTGCTGGGTCATGACGTAGTCCGAATGAGACCCTTGAAAGCTTTACAGATTTCGGGATTACTGAGATAACTTTACGTGACATGCAACTGAAGACTAAGAGACTCAGAGCAATCGAATGGAGATTCTTAGCTAGAGAATGTGTGAAAGGCAAAACTTCGGAGACAGTAAAAACGGAATCACGCCCCTGTTGACGATCTTTTTTTTTGAGTTTTCTTCCCAAAAATTACATAATACTTGGCTAAGGCACCAAATATTGTGAAAAGTTAAGCAACCTTGATAAAAGCTATCTATCTCACTTCAACTGTCCTACCCTCCCAGTCTTCCAGCAGCCTAGCCTCGACCCGCTTGTCAAGATCTTTGACCAGAATGGAAGTTACGTTAATTAATCGTAGGACTTCCTCTGGTGCCGTCGGAACCCCCCCTGCTTTGTGTAGGACACATATCTCGCGCTGAGCATTCATCGCTATGCTCATCAAACCTGCACTCAGCCTCTGCTCAAGCAAAGATGGGTCCACCACGGGTCGCGTCAATGCATCCGGGAAGAATGCGAACGTCACACAGAAAGGGGTGTGATGTATTGCAAGCGAGATGGGTGCACGTTCAGATGGCGAGTGCTGTTGGAGAAAAGTCAACAGTATAAGCAGCAAAGTCGTCTCAATACGTACAACGATGACTTCGTCTCCAATGACTTCTACTTCCGGCTTTCTGAAGTGCTTAAAAGCTACGATGCCAGCGAGACATGAACAATCGAGTATGTTACCGGCATCAGTGAGGACATGAACTGTCAATCGCAATTGCCAGACCTGAAATTTTCATCGTTGACCCATTCAGTGTCATATTACTCATCGGAGAAAGACTTCACCTACTCGTTGACCTGCCAATATGCACAAAGATTCCTTGTCAATAGTGTCACTTCTTCGGAGGACCTTGTCCAACATGCGGGTAAGGGTGACCTCTTCTTCTGAAGGCCTGGTGGAATTGTTGGTTATGGCAAAAATAAAATATAGATAGATGGCACGCACCTACCGACCAGGTTCATAGTCCGGAGACGCCATAGGAGAGATTTCAGAATGTATTGTAATAATGCCTTCAAAGGGTCGTTCTGGCAGCGGTTTGACCATTTTGGCGTCTAATTGTGCAATTACGCTGGCACCTGTCTTGTATCTGACAACACGCACGAATCCTCATGGATGCTTACCGTGTTTTGCCCATTGCACATTCTACCCAACCTAGTTCAGGGCCAAAAGTGAAGGTCGGCGTTCGAAAATCAAGCATATCGCGACCGTCCAGTCGCAGAGACTGCTTCAGAGCATCATAAAGAAACTTCTTCTCTGGAATCGATGGCGAGGGTGGACGCATGGAAGGACGAAAATAATCGAAGTGTATATGTACAAGCTGTTGATCTGGCTCGTGACAGAGAAGTACTGAGATCAAAACTTTAGAAAATCTTGAAATAATTTTACATAAGTATATATATGTTACCTTGTTCTTCACAGCGACCATGGTTCGGTTAATCACCCACAATTTACTCGCATGCCATGTCAAAGGATGTACTACAAATAATTTTCCACTCATATTTCAGGATGTCGAAGTTGAACTACAAGAAACAGAATTCAACCCTGACTTCATCCGGAATATGCTGTCTCGATTGGAATGGACTGCGTTGGTAAATGCTGCGAAGCAGGTGCGCGCGATTGCATAACTGATCCGAGCGAGTGGCTCATGGTCGATTGAGGTCGGAGACACATCGCTACCTCCAGAACAACCAGACATGATGGACGACGAGCTACTTCAGAAGCTTCATCATGTTTTAATGGAGGTACTAGGTACCTTGATCACTTCCTCAAGTTTGTGCTAAATTTTCCCTAGATCAATGTTACTGATGGTGCGATGGTCTGTCAAAATTGTAACCACATATACCCCATATCTAATGGGATCCCAAACATGGTGAGCTACGGCTTGTCTCGAGACTTTCGATTGTATAACTGAGATTCTCTGCAGTTATTGGCCGAACATGAAATCGGCTAAATCATGAATAAAAAATTGTAGCTTACTCTGAGATTTTGCTATTGGCCACTTCATTCTCGATGGCAAGGCGCACTATTAACCTCAAAAATGACCTTCACGTGTTGGACATGTTCCGTCGATCTTATCATGCACTCGATCACAGTGTTCGCGACCGACAACCATGGGTATTCAACAGGTTCCTAATAAATAGCAATGCTGTGACACAATCCGCATCTCTCTTATGTGCACTGGTGTCGCCAGACCTAGAGGATGTGTAGTACAACGATAAATTATTCCAGCACGCCCTTTCTTTATGACCATAGATGGCCTCGATGATCGATGTTCCGAACTGTGGGTAATCAAGGGCAGCCTGAGGAAGCGGAAGGAAGTGTTCCGTTCAACTCAGTTTCTTACTGATTTTGTAGAAGTGCGTAGTCTCCTCGGCCAAGGACACCCACCTTCCATCGTCGACTATAGGTCCAATTTTCATAGCATGAGCAGCGATCGACACTACCGAGGTAGCCGGTAGGGGTTTCATTAAATATGAGCGCGCGGCTGTAGCCATCAATGGCAATATACCCATGGTTTCAGCAGCTTATAAGGTGCCATTTATTGTATCCGTCACAGAGAACCAAATATCCGTGTAGGAGACCGTGATCAGCGCAATCTGGGAACATCTTTGAAGCAAGATAACCATCTTTACCAGTCAAGTAACACATGCTGGAAAAGGAACAGGGAGGAGACTGTTGTCTTGAGCCCCTTCGAGAGTTCAAACGTTCACTGCCGTATCGAATTGATTTATGACAGCACAATGATGGAGTAGTCTGCACAATATAGTAGTATTTCGTGAATGTTGGTTTATAAACTTTCAACTGAGTTAATTACCTGTTACACTTAGGCTAGAACATGCATCTAGATCACACGCATCATGGAGTCTCTTGGATAAACAAGCTTTGCTACCAGTCATCGCGGCTCGTCGTTTGAGTCTGCCTTCGAAGTTCGACGCTTCTTAACATCAGTATGGAGCCCTTCGATCCAACTACGCATCCTCACAGACGCTGTAAGTCCTCTTGTTAAGATGACCTCGACGAAACAATGATTGACCATGATACGGTCACAGATAATCCATTGACTAACACACACATTCTCGTCTCACCTCATCGCACCAAACGTCCTTGGCTAGGTCAGACTGAGCCCACCGAGCCGTCAAACTTCCCCCAGTACGATCCCGCATGTTACTTGTGCCCTGGGAATACTCGAGCGGGCGGTAAGGTGAACGAAATGTACACTTCCACCGTGGTATTCGAGAATGATTACGCTGCCGTTCTTCCACCCCCCGGACCTGTCACACCTCAGGCTGCACATCCACTCCTGACTGTCGAGCCAATTCAGGGCGCGTGCGATGTTGTATGTTTCCATCCCCGGCATGATCTCAGTTTACCGACCTTATCTCTGTTGGACGTGGAGAATATTGTGGATGAATGGACTCGTGTTTACATGAGGAGGGGGACTGAGCCTGGCATTGAATATGTGCAGATATTTGAAGTATTCGACTTTGACCAGATCATCGCACAAGTCCTCATTTCATAACAGAACAAGGGAGCAATGATGGGGTGTTCCAACCCGCATCCACACAGCCAAGTATGGTCGCTTTCCACCGTGCCTACCCTCCCCGCGAAGGAACTTGCTTCTCTGCATAACTATGCATCTACCACCCACGTACACTCTGGCGTTCCAACTGGGCCTGATGGACATGCGTGCCTATTGTGCGAGTATGTGCACCATGAGCTGTCTGTTCCAGAAGACGAAGGACGCATAGTCGTTACAAATGAGCATTTCGTTGCGCTTGTGCCGTGGTGGGCGTATTGGCCCTTCGAAATCATGGGTGTGTCACAAGTTACTTGTAGCAAATGCTAGCTCTTAACACGACATCACAGTGCTCCCTCACAAACGGCACATTTCGTCCCTTGTACATTTCACAGTTGATGAGAAGCACGCATTTGCAGACATCATGTTGCGCGTGACGAAGCGCTACGACAACATATTCTCTTGCTCGTTTGCATATGCGATGGGCGTTCATCAACGACCACTTCCCCCACGTCGAGATGATGATGGGATGTATGTGAAAGATACAGACGATATTGCACATCTGCATGTGCACTTTGAGCCTCCACTCTTACGGAGTGCTAGTGTGCGCAAATTTTTGGCGGGGTGAGTTCTACCACAAATTATTGGCTCGTTGACACAAGCTAATATGATTGATAGTTTTGAAGTTATGGCGGAGCCGCAGAGAGACCTTACCGCAGAGCAAGCTGCCAAGACACTAAGAAATTGTTCTGAAGTTCACTACCTCCTCGCTGCAGAGTAGTCACATGATAACACCCGCCTGGACAAATGATTTATTTTATAGAAGTTCTTCTCTGGCTATTACTATAGTCATCAACAGATTTCTGGTTCTTTGCCATACTTGAAAAATCAGATATGGCTAAAACAGCTTTGCAGGCGTACATGAGACCAGCCGTTAAATAGAGCATGCCGACCTTACTCCATTCGACATGCTAGTGAATAGTGATTCCGGTACCGAAGATGAGAATGACCATACAACACGGCACGTCAAGCGGGACAGTCGACAAGGCCAGCAAGACCGGCAAGTACTTAGCCCAGCAGTATCGCACTGGTCACCAACATGCAAAACCAATCGCGATAGAAAAATGCAAAACATCCGGACATGAAAACGACAACAGACAAGGTTGGTGTCAGGCTCCAGGTCCATCAAAAAAGAAGGCGAACAAGCGACACAATTGGTGAGTCAGCGAGGATGAACAGGACTGACTGTTCCTGTAATTACCCTTTGTTTGGGCTGGTACAGTGTATGAGGATTGTAACATCATATCGTGTATCAATAGTACTTCTTTCCAGTTTCAAGGCTGTAGATATTTAGAAACGCGAGGTTGTTCGCGACCACAAGTTCACGCGTGTTACAATAATTGTTGTGAAAAATTCTGTGTGTGATACATGAAAACGCATTGTGTTTAAGAAAATCAGCAATGGTACACGAGGTCGAACGGTACTGTATGTAATTCGTAATTACAAAAATAATGAGTGAGGATGAAGATGGACGCTGATACCAGCAATAGATCTCGATCAGTGAGTTGACGGTGGAGTAAATTACCAGGTCATGTTCATATGTTGGTAAAGATGTGCCAACGTAAGCAATAGTCCGTGTGAATAAAATAAAAATTATAATCCAAAGTGACATAGCGATGCAAGAAAGCCCTACCGTCATGCATCCCTATGAGGGACCGTATTGGACAAAATAAAATCAAAACGATAAAGTAAATAAATGGGTGACTATCCGTAGGCAAAATAATGCGGTGAAGGTGAGGAATCTTGACTATAGGTGAAACGCTAAAGCTAACGGGGGTTCTACAGTAAGACCAGGATACGAGAATACGACTCGACCCAAAGGACAGCTACTGAGAGAAGTTCCTCTTTAATGTAATGGAGGGAGTCTTCACCAACTAGACAGGTGGTAACAGGCGCGCGAAGGCGCGAGAAGATAACGCGCGCGTAGGCGCGAGTAAGCAAATGCGAAGGCGCGCGAAGGGCACGCGCGAGCGAAAGATGCGAGGGGCGCGCGCGTATACGGAAGCGTGCTTTTGAGCGATGGGGGAGAGTGTTCAAGTATAACAGATGCGCGAGCGATGGTAGAATAGTGAAGTATAATCGGATTTCAAGTACTAAGGTGCACTTATACAATTTGCAGTATACTCAGATAAGGGAGAAGGGAAGGAAGTAAGTTAAAAGGAGCTTTCCCTCTATTTAAGAAGGGAGATTACGCTATGCGGTGCGCTTCCGAGCGTGGTACCGAACCGAGTAACCATATCAACTCTAAATATATTCTAAAGCCTATGATAGACTTTCTATATGTAAGCGCGGAGATCGGACCGAAGGTACGTCAATTCAGTGAAAGGGATAAGAATAACGCACCAGTAAATCAGCGAGGACATAGGACGGACGGACGGACAAGGGTACGAAGGCCTAAGGGGAGGCGCACGAGCGCGCGCGAAAGGCGCGAGTGCGTGTAAGGCGCGCGAACGAGGCGCGTACGTAGGGCGCGCGCGTGAGAGCACGTATGACTGATCCTTCGGATAAGAGCTGGAACGTGTAGGGAATTATGTGGGTAATAGGGCCGTATATTCCGCATTGAGAGGCGCGAGTCTCTACAGTGGAATAGATTATAATGGACTTTGAAAGATATTTGCAAAAGATAATCTGTACAGAAAACACAACCGTAACGCATCTGGAATAAAATAATTCAGTCAAAACTGCAATGGACGATCTACTACTACAGTACCACAATCTGGTGAATGGCGGAGAAGAGACAGCATTTCTTGATGACGAAGAACACGCGAGGATGTTAGCAGCTACACTCGTTGCTGGAATAGAGCTAGCTCGACTTGATCGTGTTGAAACCCGGAACCCTAAGCGGCTGTACCTTTGTCGTGCCCAGCGGTGGTCGCAGGAATACGTTAGTACACACATGAAATCAAGTCTTTAATGAAAAAGAAACAGTCGTGGTAGCTTGGGGAACGAGTTGTTTTCGCAATTCTAGACTTATAGGGAGAGAATGGTGTCGGCACTGCTCACCTCGTACCCTGGCCGGTCGCAGTGGTACGTGTCAGCGTCGTCTGCTGATAGCAATCTTAAAATTTCAGCTAAAAACTTCGCCAGGGAGCTCAGGGATGGGACTGCATATATTGAAAAATGTTTGGACCAGGTGGCAACCATCGCCATGCTGAACATGTGTCAGGCAGACCTCAAGTCATGGATTAGTCAGCAGATAGCTTAGGCGTAGTGGCCCAAAATGGATTTAATCCGTCATTTATAATCTGGAATAATCTGTAAGGCCCCCCCCCCCCCTTCTAGATTTAGAGTTTGTAAGGGGGTCAAAAAATAATGTTTTGGAAATTCGATGCAAATGAACAGCGGCATCGCGGCACGACTTCCTTAAATGGTCTCTTTTATTCTATCTTATTTTATTCCGCATTATTTCAGCCTATGGATAGTCACCCAATCGATGTTATAACTAAAACTCGAATTGATTTTACAAAAGTCATCCACGTGGCTTCTCAAAACTCTAAATCATTTCACAAAAAAAAAAGTTGTCCACATGGCTACCAAATCGGGATGTTATGTACAAAAGTCGTCCACCTGCTGGCTCAAGTCATCCCATGCTCACCGTTATCAATGGCGAGCTCAAGGCGGGTCCCACCCTTTGCGCGTCGGGTCACATGTCACCAGTCACGGTATGGCAGGTGCGTGACACTCGTACCAGCACTTGCTTGGTATAAGTAATTAATCAACCACAGCAAATGTACATTTGCGCCAGGCTCTGCAATGTATGGTGATGTGCCATTGTCATACAATATTCTTTGCAGAAGAGAGGAAACTGAAGCGTGATGTTTGCTTGGGTGTCTCTGTAGGTAAGTAGTAAATAAATAACTATCATTCAAGGAAAATGCAGGTACATCATGCACCCGCCTGTGTGATGCGTGACACGACGCGCGGCGCTGCGTGGCTCATTGTCGGCGACAATGAGGACGACAGTAGGAAGTACTCTACTGAAGGTACCATGTGGACGTTGTGCCAAAAATAGAGTTCTGAGAAGCCACGTGGATGACTTTTGGTTATCATCCAGAGATTTTTTGGGTTTAATATAAGTTATACGAAGCTAATTGGCCGACAAGCGGTTGCGTGTCTGTCGCGGAACTTCGAGTCTTGAATAAGAGTCGTCCTCTACTTCATGGGCCTGCGTGTGCGCTGGCTTAAGCCCTACTATGGTCGCGCAGCCACATGTATTCTTTTTAGGCCTGTTTTTCATCGGGCAACACTCCCGATCGTCTTTCAAACTCCTCCTCTCCTATAGCGGAGTTTGAGGTTCGCCTGGCGGGTAACGATTGTAAGGGGCTCTCATCTCTTTCTGACCTCCTCTCGTCGTCTCGCCAGGTAGGTTGCCTGTAGTTTTATATTACACGATTAATCTCTTTCTGACCTCCTCTCGTCGTCTCGCCAGAGCATTTTTTGTGTTACCCACCACTCCCACCTACATTGTTCTAGCGGTCGAGACTTAATTTTTATCATCCAGAGATTTTCGAACATAACACGACTTTTGGCATGTAGATATTTTATACAAAAATGATTCAATTTATTATTGTCTCCTCTGGGCCATCATACATCCCAGTATGTTTGAACTCATGACAACTTCCGACAACCAGTGTGCTTTCATTTTCAGTGTGTATCGTTACATATCATCTAAAAAAGAACATCAAATCCACGGTGGTAATCATGTGTACATTGAATCCAATGACACAATGATTACTGATCCCCAGTGAAAACCCACTGTTCTGAGAATGGCTGAGGTTGCGTGAGATTGTCTAGAATGAGCGACACAATCTCAACAGAAAAATGAGACTAATAGCACATGTGCAATTGTGTGGGATTGTGCACTATTGTCGCTGATTGTGTGCATGCAATATTTTCACGTTACCCTAAATTGTGCCAGATTTGCTGGTATTGTGTGGCTGCAATGCTCGTTGCATCATCCTAGATTGTGCCAGATCTGCTGGTATTGTGTAGTGTAGTATACATTACAGATACACAGATACAATAAAACTCGGCACCAATGGCACCCGACAGCACATCCTGTCACCGTCCGTTCCAGCCCATACTCCATGCAGCTATTCCTACAAGTCGACCAGGAGGTGACCAACTTGAACGATCCTGAGAGGCCATGAGATCACAAGAAGTTCTGGGGGAGGGAGCGCTGTGGTCCGCTATTGCTGACAGGGATCCTGGTGCGAGGATGATCAAGATAGACACTAAGAGACAGCGAGGTCGCAAGAAGTCGGAAGGAGAGTGATGTCACTAACGGGGCCATTCACCCGCTGCAACCTAGTTGGAAGAATACCGTACCTGTAAGTAGGTAGGTGCAACATGTTCTAGTCATAGTACGTACTTTCGTGGTAGCGAGCTCATCATATGACTGATGAATATATGTTAGTCTAAGCCAAGGAAAGATGAGATGGAAGGCGCACCTTCTTCTGCGCTCCTGACAGTCCATCATAGTGGATCTTGAACTCGGCTGCTGATCCAGTCTTGTTACGAGTGAGCCACTCACGTGCACACAGGTTGCTGTGATGAAGTCGATCAATATGTACAGTAGCAAAGAATCCTACCAATGCAGACGAACCGTCCATTCTGTGCTTTCCCGATCTGCATCTTCCTTGACTTCTTTGCCAGCACATTGAGAGGTTTGCTGGTAGAGGCATCCAGTGGAGGTACCATGTCAGAGGTTGCTGTTGGAAGAAGTTGAAGTTGAGTTGGTTGTCCAGTCATGTGGCGGTACTCACTGCTAGGAGTTGGCATCGGGTCAGCAGCAACTTGAACGGTGGCTGGTGCGTGGACATCGGAAATGATCACAGAGCCATCTGGGGAGTGTTCTGGGGTCGGTACAATGGAAGGCATGGGTTCACTAGTGGGCTGTGTAGTTATTGGTTCATCTGCTGGAGCCGTATGCTGAACTTCAGAGGAGGAAGGTTGAATTATTGGGGGTCGATTAGCGTTAGTAGGTTCAACAGTAGTACTAATATCAGTCAGTTCGAGTTCTTGAACAAAAAAACAGGCTTACAGTGGGTTTGCAAATTTCAAGGGCCGTGCACGGAACTACAAACAAGTGTCTGAGTATGACGTGACAATATCAAGATAAATACATACTCTGGCAGGGGCGCTAGATGTGGTCGTCTCCTTTGAGGAACCAGCAGTGTGAGGCTCAGCGATTGTTGAAATGGGATGGTCGTTACTAGTGGGTGAATCTGGTGGGGTATTCCCATCTGGAACTATTGCCAAGTGAAGGCGGTGGGATCACAAAGAATCAAACTAAATGACGTACCAAGGGATTGACTAGTTGAGTCCATGACTTCTGAGACTGGTAGTGATGGTGATGCGCTTTCAGTGGCTATTAACGTAGTAGATAGTTAAATGATTATAGAGATAAAGTTGATTAACTTACTAGATGTCTCTGAGGACTTCCGCTTCTTACTGGAATTTGACCTGATGTCAAGCGGTTCCGAATCGCGGGTCTGCCGTTTGGTGGTCTTAGTGTTGATATTAGTCTTTGTGTCAGTATCCTCAGCATCGTCAGAGTCCAGCGTCTCGAGGCTATCAAAATCGATGATGTCTTCTGCCTTTGGCTTGCAAGTCCCTTCACGATCCAAGCGGTTGATATGATTCTTGCGCCAAGAGGTATAGCTAGCAGTCGCAATGGCATCACATTTCCAGTTGCCGTCACAGTAGCCAAGCTCGGGGAAGAATGTTACCATTTCTCGGTAGTACAGCTTACTAGCAGATCCCGATGCTGCTCCCCAGCTTTTGGGAGCCTCATTGATGTTCCAGATGTCCACAAACACCCGTCGGGATGTGGTACGTATTGCTGTGACACGCTCCAACGGAATAGGCCTATTACTCTTGTCAACCACGAAGCGCAGTGGATGCGACTTTTCGAGCTGGGTCGACGGTTTTTCCTGGAGCTTCTTCCAGTCTTCCTTCGTCCATATGAACTTGCTGGGGAAGTCGGCACGATTGTAGGATGGGACCGAGATTTCCTTTGCCTTGAGCGTCACAGGCAGACTCTGAGGGGGGAGGGTACTGAGGCCAACAGGGTCTAGAGTTAGTGAGAGGGATTCTGCAAGCTTGGTATAAGCAGCCCTAGTAAACCGACAGTTAGATACCAGAAAACCCAGTGATTCATTGAAAAGACGCGCTGATATAAATCCCGCTCGCGTGCCAGCATTTGTTTGTCTGTCCGCAGCTGTAAAATATCGTTCTGTAGGACTTTAATCTGAACATCAAGACGCGTATATGCGCTGCAAGTTAGTACATCTATCTAAAAAAATTACTCGGTGAGGCTTTGACCTGCTCTTCGAGTCGCATATATGCGCTTAACAGTCCATTTCCTCCCTAATCATGGTGTTCAGTTAATTAATTTACGATATTACTGTGACTCCTTACCATAGGTTCATGCTCTTGCTGCATAAGAATGGGTGAGTTTGCTGGCCTCTGTTGAAAAAACGGGTCCAGGGATGGAGAGATCATGCCATCAGAATGCAACGACCCATTCGAATCAGGGGAGGGAGACATGGTATCCTGCTGGCCACCAAAAGGACGTGAACTACCTGCAAATTGATTGGGAATATTAGGGTATGGAGTTTTGTAATTCTCCGAGGGTGTAAAGTTATTATACTGGGGGAAAGAATAAGACATGGTGGTGGTATAAGAGAAAGATGTTCGACGCGCCCAAAAACGCATCCCAAAACGCCAAAAACGCGCTCACATGACCTGCTGGAAAATTCCGAAGTCTGGGGATATTTCATTAAGTCCTCGACATGGAGGATTTCATATCATTCTAATACCCTAATGCCTATCATAATTGACTCTGTTAATATGTTGGAGGATGTTATTTTCCTCGATATTGACAACATTGTTCCTTCCTGGGACACATACTGCTTTGCACTGGATATCCACTCTCCTGGACGCAAGGTAAATTTATTTATTCTCAATGCATAGTAAAACCTACTATCTCACACATATGCAGAGAGTTGTGTTACGCTTCAAAGATGCTCAAATACTTCAGTTGAAAAACGGTAAGGATGAGGAAGACAACTCACCACTGGCAGAAGAAGGGACGGTGGCCGAGGCATCAGAGGATGATGAAGAGTTGGTGGTCGAGACATGGGAGAAAGAGTCAGCGGTCCAGACTTCAGAAGATGAGGAAGAAGAGTTGGTGGTCCCAGTTCCCATTCCTCTGTAGATTTCCAATGCCTCACTTTACTGCTTACTTACTTACTTCTTGCAGCAGCGCCTCTCCATGTGACCTTCTTACCAGGCGCCTCGAGAACCCCAATCCAGATCCAGGCAATCCCACTGCACCATGGCGCTACTACGTGCGTCCAATTGATGAAACTCATCTTAGCGCCAAAGCTGAGAAAAGATATGGTGAAGAGGAGCTCCAGGAGAGGTTCAAGAAGCCACGTAAAGTTTGATTTTCCCCTTGCACTTACATATGCATTGCTCATTCACTCAACAATTTGTGCGGCCATCCTTACTGTACTCTCACTAGTGTATTTCTTGTCATGTAGCATTAATATTGCAATGTAGTTCTTGAAACGTATCAATAGGACTAAATTTAGAGGAACTCAGCTTTGGGATGCGCTGGCGAGCCAGGCTGGTTGGACTGGGAAGGACCGGTAGGGGGAGACAGAGTATCTGTACGTCCGTGTTGAATGAAAGTGTTGCGACGATCGATCGTAGAGTTGCCTAGACGAGTCACACAGTGGCGGACATTACGCACACGCTCAGCTTCCTCGTCTGCTACATTTGGTGATGGTATTGACGGGCGCAAGGAGGAAAAAATTGCCTTCCAGTGACGTCGCGGAAAGGAAAATGTTGGGCGTTGATAAGGATTCTGAAAGAAAGGGTAAGCGTTTGAAATATGTACTGCAAGGAGTCCTACCTCCACCACATCTTCATACCCGTGGTCACGTTCCTTTTGGCTCACAAGGTCACGCTCCGTGGATACATCAATAAGGCTGAGGCGTTGGTTGAATGAGAATGTGAGGAGGGGTGAAGATGCGAGGGCAGGTGAGAATGCGAGGTCAGGTGAGAGATGGTATGCGATGATTGTGATGAGGAAAATGTCAATGGCATGGGTGAAAAGGTCTGATGTCGTGCAGAGGTTGTCGATGACTGGCGCGTACGCTCCCCCATAAATGCGGGAGGCGAAACGCTGTGGGACGACATGTAAAGAGAATGCAACGAAGATGCCGACGCCGGCTGTGAGAACGAGTGTGGGGCTAAGCTGCTTGACATCGTATGCAACGAGGAGAGTGCAGCAGGAGAGCGTGTGGTTGATGCCACAGGAGGCGACTGCGCGGCTGATTGGGTCAGCGCCATGTGGGGCGAAGCTAGAAGAAGCGGTGGAAGGACGTGACGACGGTTTCTTGCGTGACGACTGCTCATTCGAATTGAGAAGGTGCTGCTGAGGTTGCATCGTCTGAGGCCTAGGTTTCTTCGGAGTGAGAGGCGCTAGTTCAGAGGTGACAGACGCGAGACCAGAAGGAGAATACAAGCTAGAGCTAGCCAACACATAATGGTGTCAGGTGGATGCTCGTGAAGGGCTGAGACTATATGGGGGAGTGTGGCCAATTGGGCTAGGGATATGAGACAACATTGGTTGAGCGGATGGTTGACGTAAATGAGAAGGGATAATGTGTCAGCATAGAGAACGACGCGACCGCGAGAGACAACAACGCACATGATAACCGTATCTTCTAAAAATGTACTGAGTACATCTGGGAGTGAGGCTGAGAACAGCGGCTGGATGATGATGATAGTATTAGTGCAGGACGAAGAGCAGTGCAACCAAAGAAAGGCTACGGGGAACACCGCAGATCTAGCTCAGATCTTGAAGCATGGTGCGCCGGATCTAGCTCAGATCCACCCAAAGGGCCTGAGCCATGGTAGACAAGACCCGTCGACGTTGAGCCAACCGTGCAGCTTGGATGAAGACAAAGAGTCGTTGATTCGTCAGCCAGGTCATGTGCTTTGGTGTTTTACACGCCTGTGGTAAAATCAGTGAATAAAACCAACTTACTTCATCCTCCTCTATCTATTGCACTCAACGTCACGCGGCCCCTGGCTCAACGCATTGGCGCAAGATAGCCCAGTCCTGCCCAGCAGAATCTTAGTGTACGTGGCTTTCTCTTCAATCTCATTTCCCTTCAATTTCTCATTCAAAAACAAAAATACTCATGTTATAACTCACTTATAGATCAAGCGGTCTGCCTTTGTGCACCATCTCTTTTGACACCACAGCTGCTACCTCGCTGCTTTCCTCTCTCCTCTCTTCCGAATCATCAGCTGGGAAGAGTGTACTCTCATCCGGCACTGTTCCTACCACCATTCCTACTCACTCTTACCACTGTAACGTCTCCTTCGTCCGGTGGATGGTTGTAGACAAGGCAGATGTCCTGTTTGGTGTGTTTTCAACTCGAGCTATGTGCACGTTTACTGATTCTGTACAGATCCAGACTTTCAATAGTCTACTCTTTATCATCATAGGTAATCTTCGATCTACTCATCCCCATCTGCTTCATCTTCAACCTCCTCATCAACAGTTACCAGCCCAAGCCCCGGCTTCTCGAGGAGAAAAAAGCGATCCTCTACCACTCCTGATTGGAGTTTAGGACGGTGAGGTATCATGGCAACAATGGACTGGATGGATTTTGCACTGACTAGCTGCAGTGCCTCATCACCATGATATTTACACGACCAGACAGTCTGCATCGATTTCTGGAGTAGTTCTGGATCTGGGCGAGAGTAGACAGAAACCATTGCAACTGTAACGAAGCGATAGATCTCGTCGTCATGGTACTCCAACTCCCCGTCATTTTCATTGTTGTTTATGTCGTCTGCCTTAATAGCGAGCTGTGCATAATATAAAACCTGTGCGATTTCATTCCTGTCATTGATGGTCACCTGAATTTACAGTGAGAAGCTGGTCATAACATCAGGAGAGACAGTCACCTTGACGTTTCGTGCCATGCGGACCTTCTCTGCAGGCTTGAGTGTTTCCTTCCATGCACAGCGAGCAACCTGGCCGTTTGGAAGCCGCAGTCTTGCCCAGCGCTTGAACTTTGGAACAGGTGCATCCAGGAATTCACCAATAACTTGTGACTCGGCTTCACTTGGATGATAGTTGTACCTGTCACGAGCCCTGAGGAGAACATAACCACCTCCGAGATTGACAGAATGATTCGGAAGTGGATTGTCAGGTGGCTCTAAGTCAGGAATCATGACCTTGAGGGCATTTATCTGACACCGGCGAATGGCAAGAAAAGTGAGGTTCGAAAATGGATTGGAAGGCTGTCGTATTTCCATCCCCAGCATGCCAATGACACGTTCCATGGTCCACTGTGCATAACATGCAGACGGACCTGATCGAAAACCTTCGGTTGCTAGATGATTCCCCTGGTGAGCACATGGCCGAACAAAATGGATTCGGTCTGCTCGTCGCTGATAGTATATACATTCGAACTCATACTCCCATTCACAGAAACACCTGTGAGCCTCCTGTATGTCTTCGAATGTGAGGCTATGTTGACTCATGATTTGGACACCTCGTACAAACTTGCAGAAGTTTTGCCAGTACTTGTCGGGCAAGATACCATAGAGAAGACCTGGGCCAAGGCCCCACAGCCATAGGATAAACTCCCAGGCTTTGTAGTAAGTGTTGATCTTTTCGGCAGGATTGCGTGGGGGCCGATCAAACGAACCAGGGAGGTATTGTGCACATGCAGCTACGGAGGCACCATGATCCATCCAGACAGTCTTGTCTCGGAATACGGCCCAGTCCCATGAGTCTTTATCATCTGTGGCATCACATCTCATTGTGCCACGCCACAAATCAGTGAAGAGTGAACCCATATTGGGGCCCTCAAAGTGCATGATATCGGGGGTGAAGCATTCGGGAATGCCAAACATGCGGTTGGGCAAGAGGCCAAGCAATATGCTTGGCTTGACGATACCTGTTTCAAGCCGCTGCTGATTATACTGGGCTGTTGTTGTAGTGGAGACGACACGGTAAAGATTGTCGACATAGTCAGAACATGGTGATAATGAAAGTTGGTTGACATCAATGTCGTCGTGATCACATCCAGAAACAGTATAGTTGAGAGGCTTGAGGAGTACAGGGTAGTATTGTGGCTGCCCATGCTTGTGATGTCCCTTAAGACCACAGTACATCCTGCACCCATTCTTCCCGGTATGCCCGACCATTGAGCTCAGACAAAGTAAGCCAGGACCGTCCGCGGTTCCAAATGCGAAAAAGAGATCCGACTTAAACATTCGGTCCTTGGATGCGTCCCATATATGAAGCCCTTCCTTCTGCAAGCCCACGAGATGGTGTAGACCAGGAAAAAGGAAGGATTCGATGAATTTTGGCTTATTAGGCCCAGGTATGATTCCACCCGGAAGGATGTACTTCTTCTTGTAGCGTAGATCAGGAGAGAGATTAATAATGATCCAGATATATATCCAGCAGTCAGACTCCTTGCTCTCGTAGAGTTGGGCGCCATCAATTGATAACATGAGAACGATATCATTGTCTTGAATCTTTCCTTCGTTCACAGCTTTCAGATATTCTGTACCCGTGATGATATCATCATATATGGAAAGCTTGCCATCTGTAAGTTCAAGCTCCTCGAAGATGCGTTTTGTCCGCTCATCACGATAGCACATGTTGGCTGCTGCTGCAGGGTCTCGATAAAGCGTCTGAAGTTGTGGACCGATGGGGACAGTGTGAAACACCTTGACAGGTGACTTCACTTTGCCATTAGAGGCTTCGTATTTGATCTGATCATAGCGATAAGAATGACAATGAGGACAGCGGTCGAGAAGTGCGTAATCTCCTGTGAAAGCTGTGCAGCCCTCTGCACACATGTCATCTACAATGGACTCAATCCCGCTCATCTGTGCAACAATACGCTTGATTTTGTGGTGGGAAGGAAAGTCTGTGTCTGGATAGCATCGTAGGACAGCTTTGCGGACATTATTGTAAGCTTCTACAGCAGAATGTTCCAGTGCAAGATAGGTATCGATAGCTAAACGCAGATGGGGATCCTCAATTTTAAGTTGATGCTGAGGAGGGTTTCGGAGACGATCAAGAGCATCTGGATCAAGTGGCGAGAGACTGTCATCTAAAGTGGAGCGTCGAAGGGCCTGAATAAACGAAATAGATTGCAATATATCTTTCTGCCCACCGATACTTGCAAGACGTTGTATTTCATCTAAATCGATATCTTGTATGGTGCGCCGGTCCTCGTCACCAGCAGGAGGGTCTGGGGGAGGTGTGGAATGGTCCTCGTCACCAGCAGGAGGGTCTGGGGGAGGTGTGAAATGGTCCTCGTCACCAGCAGGAGGGTCTGGGTCTGGGGGAGGTGTGGAATGGCCCTCGTCAGCAGCAGGAGGGTCTGGGAAATCATCCGCATAGTTGCCCTGCTAATATGACTCAAACAATAGTTGGTAGGTAATCGACTTTACTTACCTCATCTTCTGTAGCATTCTCATCAAGATTCATATCCACATCACCACTTTGAATTGAGCGTGTGTGCTCTCTTGTTAGCTCCGCTAACATATAGTCACATTCATTAGCGCATTGATGTTGTAGATAATGGTTCTCAACTTACCAGAGGTACTTGATGAAGCAATTGGAGCATCTGTTTGTACCCGAGAGGCTAAGAGTGCTTGAAGTTCTGGAGTCCGTGTGTTTGCACCACCATCCTGGGCTTTTAAGCGGTAATACTGAGATTTGGAGACGGTCTGAAGGCGGCCCTTGCGCATGACTTGATACTCTTTTGGTGGTGGCATGCTAGTGGGCGAAAGTGTTGTGATGGTAGAGCTGTCAGGTGCTAGATGCAACGTGCAATGATATTGTGCGTGCCAAATGCAACATGCAGTGGCAACAATAAGAGGTAATCGATCTCGCACAATTTCAGACCAGTGCTATTATTAGCATTAACTTCGCCAGCCAATCTCACACAATCTCAAAGGCTTCTCAAATTCACGCACAACCCCACACAACCTCAGCCATTCTCAGAACAGTGGGTTTTCACTGGGACTGATCTCGAAGGTTGGCATGTTTTGCGAGGTATACACGCGTCATAAACCACGTGCATGTATTGTGCTGTTTGCCACAACATTTTTACGCTCCATCGTGATAGACCTTGCTCCGCATTGCGCAAGGTAATGGAGTGATATATACAGTCACCTTCCATTGTAGCAACTCACGCTTTGTAAATACAATTTTCAACCAAAAGCGCTCCCCATCTTCTACAAAGACAACCTTATCCAACCCATGCACACCAATACCGCTCTCAATGGTTCCATCACAGAATGTGCGTCATTGGAAAATCCAAGATCATGATACTTTCCAAGCGACCGTGGAACGCGTAACAATCCTGAGACTCGGTGCGGTCCATCACAACATTAACTACAAACGCCCGCAAGTCAATGACAACCAAGAACAACCAAAGAAGACAAAGATTCACCGTGAGACTGAAGCAAGTGGTTCGAAAGCCTAAAAAGACATAGGTCACCGATAATTGTACTTGTATCTTGAAGTAGTGTCGCTAGCGCGTTTGAAGACTGTAGTAGTATTAGAGTATGCAGAAATAAAATTGGGGACGAGAAAACTCTGTGGAAGCCGGAACAAGGTAAATAGTCGGCAACGCCGACCCCTAGTAAAGTCCAAGAAATGCAGGATAAACGTGTGTCATGGTCAGTATACGATGATGCTGAGGGTCAAGGATCTACAGCTGGAAATACGATAGCACTAGTTGATGTGCGGACTGACGGGAAAACCTAGGTAACCTTCTATGAGTGGAACCAAGGGCGATTGCGTAGACGTTTGAGGTTTTGGGGTCAGTCATACTTTCTTGTGATCGCGATGCTTAATTGGTGTGCCTCCCTGATGTCGTCGACAGAATTAAATCCTAACATGGAAGGCAGTTGAACTATGAGGAAGATATTGTGATCCATTCCGCCTTGCGTGATGTGATATCGGGTCAAGTTCTTCGTATCGTCCCGAGGACAAATATCTATGATATCACCTGATGGCCCTGCCAGGAATATTATATACTCATGCTATCCGTTCGACATATCTTCCCTTGCCACTCCTACGCGATGGCATCAGTTCAGAGAAGTCTGGAGAATATGGATGTTAGCATACCGTGCTTCGTTTTCAACCTCTACCAATTTCTGTGCATACATCTCTGCGGCACGTCGGTTGATGTCGCTTGTCTCTTGCGTATCAGGGAAACCGATGTCCCAGTAGCCGGGTGGTGTCTTGGCACGATACCAATGGTGCCGATGTCGTGATATCTCTTTCTTGTGGTGTTCGATACCTTCGCGGTTTTCCTTACAGTCTGAGAGGCTGTCAAAGGATAATCGACGTTTCTTAGTAGGTGTTGAAGAGGGTGAACGCCAAAGTGGTTTCTGGAGAGGTTTGGGCAGTGGTCCAACGCCTTCATAGTACTATTTAGGACGCATGGAGATTGAGTAACGATGTTTCGAGAAATGAGACACGCACACTACGACAACATTCACAATCGTCAGCAAGCATCTGTTTTCGCCCCTCGCGGCTCTTGACCACTTCATCGTACTGAAAGTCCACGCCGTGATTGCGTTCTTTGCTTATAGTGAAGCGTGAATTGATAGTGGTCGCATCACTGTTGGTTTGAAATCAGGGAGTCAGTGAGCAGCAAGCATGGTCTTGCGGGGACTTACGTAGCCTGGGCATATCTCCCGCGTCTCTTGGGTGGATCTCGACGCAAGGTGGTACTCTGTAAGACAGACGTGCCTGCATCAAGATTGGTGAAGTTGCCAAAGTATGTGGTTTGATAAGCACGCACCGGCTGCTAGTTCTTCGTCAGTAGAGTGTTCGTGTATCGGGAACGGGGGTTTGAACGGAGTGGCAGACCGCATCCCAACTTGCGTTGAGATTGTCGTTTCTCTACGCGAAGCGTGGAGAGTTGATGGTACCTCCTGCTGCCCGCCCATAGCATCAGAAGCTAATGTAACATCAGTTGAGTATAAAGACGCGTGAAAGCCTGTGTACGTACACGTCTTGGACGTTTGCTTCTCCTCCTCGTCAAACGCACTCAAGTCCGGACCTATTTCTTCAAATTTGCGTCGTTTGTCGATACTAGAGGCTCTCCGATAGACATCATAGTTACTATCCTTCAGTAACGGATGCACCTCCTTGCCACAATCGGAACTCTTGCAAAGCCACTGCTTGACAGTTCGCCACTTTTTGTAGTCGGTCTTGTACCTCTCGGCGGCACGCTCTTTGGCGGCAAGTAGGGCATCATACCGGTGTTGGAGGTGTGAAAGTTCGGCCTGCAGAGATGATATCTTCAACAACAATGTAGACGTGTCATGAGTGTTGGAAGCAGACATTCAAAAGTATCGATGCATGTAACACGGAACAGTGAGCAGTGAGCGCTTGAGCGCTAGTGAACACGGTCGTAAATGACCATTGTCTAATCAAGTAGTATGCAGAATATTATGTAATGGTGGCCTTTCGGTGAGTTGCAATCCATGCGCAAAGAAATAACTAGGAAATAGCTAGCTAACAGCTAGGCTATTCGATTACGGTTGAATTTTGAAAGGTTGATGATTATAAAGGGGACATCCATATGTTCTCCGTTAGACTTGTACGGTCACATCCACCGTCATCTATCGTCGGGCCTGCGATCATCCGAGTCAGACAGAATCTGAAGCTTTTTACTGCTATGCCTGCCGCCAAAGTCATCAGTGAAGAGCCTTTGGACAACAAAGACGCGAAGTGAGAACGTTATTTGTGGAGGTCAACTAATATCTCATTCGTGCATAGATGGATCCGTCTCAAGAAGATTCATTACACTGATCAAGACGGAAAACAGGTATATTTATTAGTATGCTCTCGGGGGCGTGACGATCTCATTCATTCATCGGTAAGAGACTTTGGGAGTCTGCTGAGCGCACAACTCGCAAGGATTCTGGAATAGACGGTGAATAACATCTGTGCTTCCTCGTTATACAACTGCACAAACGCTCGTCCTTTACAGGCGTTGCTGTCCTCGCTGTCCTTCGTTCCAAGACCAAGGCTTTCCCCCTCTCGACAGTCATTATAGAGCAATACCGTCCTCCTCTCGACAACATCGTTATTGGCATGCTACACTTCCCTATCGTTGTCAATCTATTCCCTACTCACTTTGTTCTGTTTCGGTCATAGAACTCCCTGCTGGTCTTGTCGATGCAGGAGAAACAGCCGAGGCAGCAGCCATTCGAGAATTGAAGGAGGAGACAGGATACGAGGCCGATATGACTACCGAACCCGAGTCCTCGCCGATCGTTGTCAGTGACCCAGGTCTGTATATTCGGTCAGATGTATTGGTGCACATTTAAGACAGTTGTAGGAATGACTAATTCCAACATGAAACTCGTGGTTGTAAGTGTCCTCCTAGAAGATAAACTCGAAACTCCTACCCCGTGTCTTGATGATGGGGAACATATTATCACTCGCGTCGTAGAGCTAGACCAACTCGATACCGTGCTCAAAGGTGAGTCTCGCTCTTCGATGGAACGTGTTCCTGATCTTGAAATTCTCAAGCATACGACAAAAAGGTGACACTATTGAGCAGGAAAAGTACAGACTTCACTCACCCAACACACAGGGCTTTGTAGTAGATGCTAGGCTCTCTCACTTCGCAGCTGGTTATGCAATGGCGAAGAGGATCAGTATCGGCGCATTCCCCTGAGACGTTAAGGCAAGTGTCCTGACAGTATTTGGTCTCGCATGATGGACCGAATGATAGAGAAAAGTGGATCATCGCTTGTCCGGCATTCAGACTAGCGACACGTACAACATTGTTATTGGCTAGCATCATACTATGTACTAGTGATATGATTTTTTTGCACGTTCAATGTGTGCCCTCAACTTCTGCTGCTTCTCCCTCAAGGACGCCTTCTTCTTTCCCCGCACCGCACCGCTGCTCAATATCATCATAATCGGCTTATTCCTTGCCTTCTCGCGATTTGTGGAGCTGCTTGGAGACTCTTTATTTTTCTTACCCTTCAGCGAGCCGTACTTTTCTCGCCCTTCCCGACCTTTTTCAATACTTGCTATGCGTTCCGCGTAGTCAGCTTTAGCCTTTTTGCGCGGACCAAGGATATCGTTCTCAGAAACGAATGTGCCATCAGATGGCCCAGCTTGCATGGCCCTCTTGTTAGCTTCAAGGGCTTCAAGCTTCCGTTTCGCCCTGGAACCACCACCTGATTCAATGGCTTTTGTGGCAGCCTGTATGCGCAGGTCATTCAGTAATGCAAAGTCTGCCGGCGTAAGGATCTGTAATACATGTCAGAGTGTCGCACGAGGGGTAGAAGGAATAACAGTTCACTTTAGTAGTTGCCAAGGTTGAAATTCGATTGGGGTTTGAATCAATCTCTGGATCGGTCTCCCCAGGCGGCTTGGGAGCTGACTCCCGCTCGTCTTCACTATCACTAACTTCTACGTTATCACCTTCTGAGTCGACAGCTATCCATCCTTCAGACTCAGATTCCGAATCGGAATCGGTTTCGACATCCCAGCCTTCCCAAGCGGCCGCTTCATTGTCCTCCGCGTGATTATTGGCACCGCCCATCTCCTCTTCGCGAAGTTTCATCAGGTGGTCTTCCAGAAGCTGTCGAGTGGTTCAGACATATTTTTGAGCGTAAAAGAGGTCCACATTACCATTAATCCTTCGATGTCGACTGCAGCATCCGCACTGTGTCCAAACGGCAGTGGTTGACCACCTTTGCTCATACCTATACTGGCATCTTTTCCCTACAAGAATATTCAACGTTGGCAATGGAGAGTTGAAAGGGAACCGCTTACTCTCTCCCGGCGTTTGAGCATACCAGGATTCACCTCTCGGTACAACTGCAACAATCCTCTTGCAGCAGCTGTAACTGCCTTATCTCGACTTCTCCTATACTCTACAAGGTCACCCAACAGATCTTCCTCCATTGCCCATGGTTGTCTTCTACAAACCTCCCTGATTGAGTTGATTCCTGCAGCAATTACCTCGCTTCCTACTCCAGGATGCACAAATTCGGCTGCAAGCTTCTGCACGACCGGAGTCAAGGCATCTGGTGGCGTAAGATCGTGGACAGACTGCGCCAGCGCAACGAGAATCGACGGGACGCGAAGTTGGTGGTAGGTGAGGTATTTGACAATGTAAGTATAGAAGCTTAAAACGCAAAGTTTATGAGCGCCCATCACCCGCGAGAGGAGCTGCATGATGAGAATTTTATGTTCAAGTGAAAAACGTTTGTCATAGCGACTTAGATTGTCATATAACTTCTCAGCAAACGTCTGTGGGTCATTGAGAAGTTGGAGCGCCGGAAAATTCGGTGTCGTGGGGGCATTTTTGTTATACTTTTTCTGTATACGGATTAGCAATGAGATGGAGCCAGAAAAGCATTTCTGAATAAACGGGGTACCTTCTTTGCAGCATTGAGTTGTTTCTGAAGCTTTTTATCATCGCCCCGTCTCTTTTTGTTGACTTCACGACGATGGTGAAGAGCTCTGACATCAGGACCCTGAAACAAGTGTGAGTGATATTCTGGCAAGGAGACGTTACCTACCTCATCATCCTCATCGTCACTGTCTTCCTTTTCGTCGTCACTTCCTAGAAAGAAGTGAATCGAAGCACTCTGTACCTTCATCACAGGATGAAAGCATCCAAGCGCAACGATAGACACAGGTTTAGCGTCAGTCCTATTGAGGATGGAAGTCAATTCTATCTAGCTGCATCAACGATAAGTGGCGTACCATATTCCCTTTCGCCACAACTCCTTTGTCAATATCACTGCCCACATAGCGTCCTCCCCATTATTGGCGGTTTTATCACTCGTGGGACCTGCGGATCTGAGCTTTCCCTTATCTCCAACGACTTCAGCATCCATTCCCCGTTCGACCATGGTAAAAAGCATGGCTTGCACAGCACGATTCAGTTTGTGATTTTTGGTTCGGAGGTTGGCAGTACGGATATCGGAGAGAATAGTTTTGCGGATAAAGGCTCGCAAAGTGGAGGAGGTTGTACGAGGGAGGAGCGGAAAGAGGGACTTGAGGAGTCTAGATCGAAATTTTATTTAGAGGACATAATCCATCAAGGCACTTACTCAATGGATGTAATGACATCTTTGTTGCGCAACATAACAAGGTTTTGAACGAGGGTTTTTCTGGTATCGGGCGTGAGGGTGCCATAGTTTTCGAGGAGAAGGGTAGATAAATGAGATGGAAAATCTTTGGTTTCCTTGGGATAACATTGTGCGACCTGGAATTGCAATATCATCAGCGAAGTAAGAAAATTGTAAAAGATCTTTAAGGCGCACTTGAGATATAAATGAGACTAGTTCACGAAAATGCTGAGCCTGTTCATCAGGATTTATCTGACATATCTGTCTGATACTGTCGTAGTGGTTCCATTGCTGTAGGAACTCTTCCTTGTACGCCACTGGGTCACGTTTGATGAGGTTTTGCAACTGAGGGAGATTTGAGGTGAGAAGGACGCCACGACCACCCATTACAACAGACAGTTAGATGCTGCGAGTGAACAGCAGCGACAATAGACAATCTCCAAGGAGAGCTCGAGGCTAACAGGAGAATATTTGCAGCTTACATCATCTGTTAATACCTAATTCTTGTAATCAATCCATTGTAGTAATTGTGGTAAGTAATCCAAGCGAAAGAGTAGACTACAATGCCCCATTGAAACTAAAAGTATCACGCAGATCAGAAATTCGAGCTTGCGTTTTGGAGCTGTATTGATTCATCACTTTGATGCCAGCAGAAATTGCATTGTCACTCACCTCGAAGCTGTGGTTGATATAGCATTGAAATAAGCAGTCCAGAAAGACTTGCCAAAAATCGCTGCTTTCTCGCGCGATTTTGGTTCATCCGAGTTTGTTATGAGCTCTTCGAATGACGCACGATCTAGTAGGGTAAGTCTGGTTCAAGCCTCACTCATTGCAGATACTCACCTTCTATGTCGATGAGCGAGAGGAAATGAATTGTTTCCGTAGCGAGCACGTCATTTTCATGAAGGACATGTTCTTTCGCAAGCTTTGAATGTAAATCTGCCAGTGACTTTGTTTCGACAAAAGCACTCTCACCTTTTCCCTTACCGCCAGCATTGCCGTGAGACGCGCCTGATTGTGGTCCTGCGGCTCGGTTGTGGTTGTAGGCCCTGTATCTGCAGCGTCTTTGATCGGTTCGAAGTCGGACACGGGTTCAGCTTCGTCGTCGTCTTTGTACAACGGCATATAAGCCGCTGTGCTGGGACCAGCCTTCATCTTCCCCTTGGCTCTCGCGGGGGCCTTGGAAGAAGCTACATTCTTCGCAGCTGAACGTGATGGTCCAACGCTGGGGGGGCCATTATCCCTAAATGTCAGTTCAACGGGGAGGTTGCCGCTGAGGCACGCATCCGCTTGCGGACCAAGCTTGACCATAACATCAGGTCACCAACAAAACGAAGACTGGGCCTTAATTACCTTTAAGTAATCATTGGTCCAGCCAGACGCAGAGGCCTCTCGTGCGATCGCAAAAATATCAGCACCTAGCATCGCACTTATTATACGGTCGCCATCTACTCCCTTGCCCACCCCAAACAATGACAATTGGTCATGCCCACTCTCACGAACCTTCGCCCGGTTCCGACCCGCGTATACATCTTTGAAATGTCCGAGGGCGATCCTATCCATGGAGGCTGCCATCTCTCCGAATAGTCGGATTGCCTGCTGCGCCTCCAGGGTGTACAGCTGGCGAAAAACTGTTCCACCTCTCGAACAGTTGTCACAACCTTTCGGGCAAAGGTGGGAATCAAAACGCTCGTTGAAATGCGCGAGGATTAATGATCGTCGACAGTCAGCCTCGTTGCGGCAATACTGGGCCACCGCTGAGAGATCTTCCAGTTGTCGCTTTTTCTCCTCCGGAGTCCGAGCCGGTCCTTTATCGTTGCGGTCGCTATTGATCAACTGATGTCGTGACACAGCGTCCCTGTGTGCATAATCTGGAAGAGTATAATACATCAGGCAGCGTAGCGTAATCACCATCGAAGTCGCTTACAAAGAATGCAGTCTGCCGGATCGCCGTCGCGTCCAGCGCGTCCAGTTTCCTGGTAATACCTAAGACGGTAAGCAACTTCTCAATGAAGCGTACTTGTAGACTCGTGACGTACCCATCCATCGACTTCGGTAACGTTGAGTGGATTACGAAGCGCACTATTCGATGCGGTCAGACAAAGTCCGGAGTGAACAAACACAACTTTACCATCCGGTTTGTCGATTCCCATCCCAAACGCGATCTAAGATAACGTCAGAACTCAATGATGCTACACTGTGAGTACCATACCGTTGCTACAATTATCTTGCAACTGCCACTTTGCCATTCTTCTTGAGTGGTGCTGCGCTCTTGTGAGTCCATACCGGCATGGTAATGTTTGGCAGATAAACCATAGTCGTTTCGCAGTTGCTCAGCAAGTTCCTCACACTCCAACTTCGAGAAACCGTACACAATGCCAGTATGGGTAGCATGCTGTGACTTGATGAAACCAGCAATGGCTTGAACCACCTTCTTTTTCGTAGACGGTTTAGGCTGTACTGCATAGTACAGGTTGGGGCGGTTGAAAGACTGCATCAGGCATAAGGGGTCACGTAAACCTAAGCGTGTTCGAATATCCTGGATCGCGGTCTTGTTCGCGGTTGCGGTGAGTGCCATGATAGGCACATCACGGTACCGCTCACGCAGCATATGGAGCTCTGCATACTAAAGATACAAATAAGAACTTGTTAATGCACTCATGGACCAAATTGTGCAAACTTACAGCATCGCGAAAATCCCGCCCCCAGCTCTGAATGACATGTGCCTCATCAATGACAAAGCGCGCGATTTGCTTGTCTTCATACAGTTGGGCTAGAATATCTTGCATGGCATTGCTCTCGCGTAGCTTTTCGGGAGTGATATAGCAAATGTCGGGTTTTTGCTGGCTTCGAAGGCGACGCATGACATCCCGCGAGTCGTCTACGGTCCTTAGGGAAGACATGCAGTCAACATTAACGTGCTTCTCTCGCAAGGATGCCACTTGATCGGCGATGAGTGCAACGAGTGGTGATATGACAAATGTTACTCCCTGGGTCCTACCAGTCTTACAGACTGCAGGAAGTTGATAACAAAGACTTTTCCCACCACCGGTGGGCATTAGGACGAAGACATCCTTTCCGTCCAGCGTGGCGTTGATAGCTTCAAGTTGGTTTTGCCTGAAGGAGGTCAGCCCAAATACGCTCTTCAAGGCCGAAACTGCCTCGGCATAGTAAGGGGTTGATGTATTATAGAGGCGACCCATCTGCACAGAGGGAGTGCATGGTGCATCTGCACAATCGAGCGTCGGAGTAGTCGAGGTTAAGGTATCCAGTTGCAATGTTGAAGGCTCGTCAAGGCCCTCCCAAAGATCATCGCTGTCAGGTACAATTAGGGTCTCAGCTGATACGTCAGTATCTTCTGGCTCAAGCGGGCCGTCGACATCGATATCTTCTGGTTCGAGGGCACTCGCGAAATCGGTAGGCGCAGACGGCGCAAGAATAGATGTGGATGGAGCTAAAGCCGGCTCGCTGATAGGGTTGAAGCGAGCCAGGCGTTCTTGGATAGCTTCGATGCGGCCTTCGATGTGAACCCTACGTAGAGTAAGCAGGGAAGTTCACACAGTACAGTACACTCACAATAAAAACGAGATTTCGAAAATGTCTAACGGCTTGTTCCCGTGTTCTGATATTGCTGCGAGTAAATAATCGCGGACTTCGCGGTTTCGGGCAAGTATTAGTTCCAGAAACCCTCGCGATCGCTGTTAAATATATATCAGAGTTACGGAGATGTAAAATAAGAGACAACAAACGGAGTCTAGGTCCATATTCTTGACGAGCTGAGTACCTGCATCAGATTGTGCAGTTTCTGAAGAGGCTGGTAGTGCAGGAAACAGATCAAGGCGAGATGGCATATTTGAAGCAGGGTTTGGGTTCGATGCTTCGACATCGCTTGGGATTTCAGGCGTCCATTGTCGAGGAACGGCGCGAGATATTCCCTTTGATGACAAAGGAAGAGTATGGAAAATGTTTTCTTTGTTAACGCGATTACTTTCCTTGAGCCGCTTTGAGGCTGATTGTTGAGCTCCGTCGGGAACATCAAGGGGCTGACGCTTTCTAGAGGGTACTGGACCTTCCATAATCTCGATGGTGGGTTCACGACATAAATCGATTAGATCCCGGTGAAGCGGAGCGGACAGTGGTGCTGTACGAGGGTTCATCATCTTCCTGCCAAAATTTGGTGTTGCGAATGATGGAAGTGGAGAACTCGAGCCTGATGTTTGGCGAACTGCGAGTTACTTATATAAATAGCTGTTGTCTTCGTCATAAATATATACTTACCATTGGGATTTGAGAAAGAGTGAGAAACGCCCAAGGCTGGCTTGAACTTTGATGATGAAGCCTGACAACAGGATCAGAATGATGGGAAAAGCAATGGCCCGCTCGAATTTGCAATGGCATACCTTTGGCAATATGCTACTCGAGATCATGTTTGCGGTCCTCCTAACGCTGTCTAGGTTACTCTGTGTCCCCGCCATCTTGATAACAGGGATGAGCAGATAAGAATGACCGGAGGAAGTACTTGATGGCAGGCCGACCTATAAGTTGTCGGCGTGAGACGAGTGGCTGAAAAAGTCAGTGAGACTGGATTGATTCGGATAATCGATAGCGATACAAAAAATTGCCTCGAGGTCAAGTTGTAACGCGCGCGGGTCACGAATTCGAATAGTCTAGCAGCACCAAGAACGGCTCTTGTCCCATTCATTAACGTAAAGTCTGATGTGCGGCTCGTCCCGATTCCCGAAGCGCGTCAGTCACACGTGACCGCGACGTGCATATTAGAGTCGCGTTCATCATCGACGACGACGACAACAACGATCATGTCAGGGCAATACTGGTTCCCGAATATGCCAATACCAGAGATTATGACGGCTCTATCAGAATGGGGCTTGAGTGTCAGCAACGAGCAACTCGTCAGGCCCTCCTCTGACTTTGTCACTGGCGTGTACAACGCCTGCTTGGAGCAAGTCACGTCCATATCTCCAAACGTGCTTCACAAACCAACCCAACGTGCGCTGGCCTCTCTCGATGATGCCAACCCCGTGCGTGCGTTGATTATATGCGTGGCCATCTGTATCTAATTGTGCGTACTCAGGATCTCTACAACAACGCTATCTCACACAATATCATGCTCTACCACCTGTAAGATATGCCCTCTCTTATTATTATTATTTTTATTGACACAAAAACGAGCAGGACTCGCTTTGCCACTTCTGCACGCATTATGGACTTCAGCTCACGAGACCTGTCCGCACCAGAGCCGGAGCGTACACGGTTCATTCTCTCAGCATTTATCAACTTTGTCAAGTTCGCAGAGCAATGCACCACATTTATCAGCAACGTCCGAGAAAAGTCTGCACAGGTTATAGAAGAGCGCGAACAAGTTATCCAGGAACTCTCAGAAATTCAGCACAATCTCGCAGTGCTCAAGTGAGATCCTTCATTTATCTCTAGCATCCCCTTAGCTCACGATTCGTAGAGCACAACGTGCAAAGGACGAGCCAAAATGCGAACAGCTCAAGGAAGAGAATGCAGCCATGACGACCCAACTCCTTGCGGCGAAAGAGGTTCACACAGGACTCACCAAGGAGATTGAGAGTCTAAAGATTGAAAGGGCGCATCTCCAAGCTCGAAACGAAACTGTCAATTCGGAGTCTGCTCTCCTAATGGACAACAATTCCCGTACCCGATCGCGCATTGTGCAGTCTCCGGAGCGTATTAGGCGTAATATCATGACTATGGGGACCACAGCTATTGAAGATAAAAAGACGGTTGCATTGCACGAAGCAAAGGCACGAGATCTACAGGCCAAAATTTCGGCGCTCGTGAATATTGAAAAGGTCACATTCCTCGCTGTGTTCAGTGTGGTTTTGTCTTAATTATCCAGTCAGGATGTCCGATCATGTATTGAGCAGCTACAGACGACAGAAAAGGAGGTACAGCTCCTCGAAGGATCACAAAAGGAGCTCGCAGAACTCAAAGACAGTCTTGAGTATAAGAAAGTCGAGCGTGGCGAGCTGCAGAAGAAAACTGAGGTAGGTCACGACATATTCTTTCAATTACACGTGCTAATGCGTGCTCCTCAGCGAGTACATAAGCAACTTGGAAACGCGCAGGAGAAGCTTGAGAGGGCGCAGAGACACGCAGAAGAGAAGCGACAGGCCAGTCAACAGACGGTTGAGCGCCTCCAGCGAGATTACGAGAAGATGGACATCGAGCGGCGAGAAAACGACAAGCAAGTGGAGGAACTCAGGATGGAAGCGGGCGACATAGAAACAAAGGTGGGTCTTGGGTCTTGGCCCTCTCACCCTTGCTTCCTAATGGACCTTTGCAGATGGCGGAGCATCTGAAGAAGAGTGAAGCAGAACTCAACGAGCTACTCACAGAGTATTGGAAGCTCCGCCACGAGACAGGTAATTTTTTTACTCTGTGTTTACATTTATCACTCAATGATATCCAGAGGTATACATGGAAACACTCGCGAATAAACTAAACATGAATGTTTCTTCAGATTGAGTACCTGCCGGGCCTTGAAGCCTCGTAATATGTAGGTCAACTTGTATTTATGGTATTGTATCGAATTACATGGTCAGTGGCAATGGGGCAGGACAAAATCATCGTTTTTTCCCTTTCTGTGTCATCTTTAGTAGGCAATTTTGGCAATACCATTTCTTCGTTGAACTGGGGACTGCACTAAGGCCAGTACACGGCAAGTGGAACTGAAAATGAGTGTTAGAAATCGTTAGGGGAACGCCTGATCGATCGATCCGCTTACCCATTCCAACTTGCAAGTATCGCTGTCACAAGCGATCATCTATAATACAAGCCATGTGAACTTCATCCAAAGTAAAGTCAAACACAACGCTACGGACCGTCTCGTATGACACCTGGTTACAATAACAATACCTCGGCTCGTTCGGATCTGCTTGAGCTTGAGCTGGAATCTTCAGCTTCACACTCCTCGTCGTGCGAGTGGCTGGTATTTTCAAAACTTCCTCAGGAAGTGGTGGCGGAGTCTCAGATTCTGGCTCCGGTTTCTTGCGCGCCTTTCTACCCCTGCCGGGTCTCACAGACTCTGTAGATGGCTCTTCTGTAGATTCTTGAAGAAGGATGGTGGAAAGCTCTGGGGATAGTGAGGGCGTAGGGCTACGTTCCATACGGGTCGGGCGTACCCAGCGCGGTACGACAAGATCAGGAAGAAGTATCGGCGCGAGATGCGTCCCTGGACGAATTCCAAGAGAGATGGATGCCTCTTGCTCCTTGATAGCTTGATCCAAAAGGCGGATATGTCGGTCAACCTGTGCGACATATTAGATATATAAAATCGGAAGAAAATCGGGAGTACCGTTTCATAAGCAGTTTGTGCAATATTCACCTTCTCCTCTGATGCACGGAGGGCCTCTTCTGATACCTGCGCGATATGTTGCAGCAATATCCGAGTTGTTTTTCCTGAAGAGAGTGGCTCGATAGATAACTCCAGACTTGGTGTGATAGAAGCAACAGGTCTTGCATTATGTGTGTCATTCAGTACTTCAACGGGCGAGTCAATGTTGACTTGTTCGTCTCGAGGTGGCAAGCCTGCTGCCTGAGGCGAATCCTGCATGGCCTCTGGATCTGACGTAGCTAGTATGGTCATCTTGCTCTGCTTTGCATCGAAGATCATACCCCGCCGCGATGTAAGTTGTATACGCAGCGCAATATATTTTCGCACATTGTCCAATAAGTCTGCATGGTAGGCTGGAAATGCACAGCTACAACTTGATCATACACGAGAGGGAACTTGGTTACACGTACTGTTACTTTGGTCATCTAGTTCACGTATGAGTGTGTACTGGCGGTGAAGAGACAATGGAAGTTGCTCGAGTACTACGACATCCAGTTCAGTGGATTGTTCTATCAGAATAATCTTGATTGGCGTACTTTCATGATGTTCCTCCTTGAATGCATCCCAAATCTCGAGTTCCTTCCTCCGTTCTTCGGAGTTATGTTCTTCTCCAGCAGTATCAGAATCCGACGCACGCTCTTCGTAGCGCTCCTCCTCAGCAGGAACAGCCTGAGAACGTCGACGCTTGCGAGACATAATAGTGTTTCACAAATTCGCGGACCGCTGCGGACCTTGCTCGACAACAACTGAACACGTGACTAGTTAGGCCTTTAGGGTTAGACTGAACCTCGCAGTGCGTGGCCAACACCTGGCAGTACTGCTAGTTTCAACTGCAAATTCTCAACTCCACTGCGTTTCCTGTGGGGGATCAGGGCACCGATATTCGCAATTGAAGGTTTCCAGCTATGGTTACAGAAGTTATCGAAATGCATATTATACTAGGCGGCACAATCTGCAGCGCGTCTGGAACACAAGGAAGTCAACTGCAGATGCGTACGCCGCATGCATGCACAGCATGTGACTGGCTGCCCGGAAAACACGCAGAGAACTCCCCCATAACAAAGGCTTTGTATTCAGTCTCATGATACTCCCGTGTCCATACTCCCTTGTCTTATAGGAATTTCTCTTATGAGCGTATTTAACACTATCGTGAACCCAACACTGGGAGTTCTCGAGATAGCAGGTGCTGCATCAGGTGTTCCGTACGTCCAGGGGGCTGGGATGGCACTCCAAGCCATCAACACCGCTTGCAACCAAGTGGCCATCCACAAGGTGCGCTTTTCTCGCTTTAAAACTTACTCCAACTTAAGACACAACATCATCTCTGTCAGCGCAAGTCTGCCCAACTTGCTGACAGATGCACCTCGTTGCTGAACTTGATCAGTGATCACGCAGTTGGACCCGCTAGCGATGAGATGCGATCATCCTTAGAAGACGCTGAATTGTGTGTCGTTTGGCTCCCTAATCTTCCTGTTGGAAAAATGTTCATACCATCGAGACAGTGTTCTGTATGCTGTACGAGACCGCATACAAAAGTGGTCACGATATAGCAAAGTGAAAAGTTTCTGTACGTGTCGCGGCTATCATGAGCTCCCATGCGCTCACGCAATGCCTTAGTCAAGAGCTCTCAGATAGAAAACGACTTGGATAGGTGCCAGAACGATGTGAACGCAGCTATGGAACGTCTGCACGTAAGATCACTCCTGCTACTTGTGTTCATATGTCGAAGCTTTTGACAGGTCAAAAATCCCCTATCTGTCCTGATCATGCAGAAACAATCTATGGACCTCATGAAAATGAATCAAGATCGCATCGAGGAAAAGCTGGCACAGCTGATGATATCCCCACAACAGATATTGGACGCAGTCCAACGGCACAATGCTGGCGGTCGGGATGCCCTTGATCTCATGAGAACCGGTCAGGAGGCAAGTTCTGGTAGCGCTTGATGTCTCTCTTTCTTCGATCCTCATTACACCTTTACAGCGCTTGATACAACTATGCTTACAGTTACCGCGTGAGAACTCCCAGTCACCGGACCGAACGTTACTTGGGGAACCGATGGTTGAATCCCCATCACCCTCCCGTTCTTCCTCGCTAGAAATGACGGTGCAAACTCAGATACAAAGTGCTTTGACAGATTTACGGCAGCCTCACAAAAATCCCTCCGACACTCAAAGTCTTGAACAATCAGGTCAAAAAGGTCAGCGGATCCACTCCGATATGCTCTGGAACGTACAGCGACATCTGGCAAGGAGAAATGTTAGGAGAGAAGGTAAGCTGGTCCTTGAAGATGCTACGTGACTGGATGACTGATACCTTCAAGGTCGCACTCAAAACCTTGCGCAATATCACCGACCGTACGAAAGCCAGAAGAATGACCAAGGTATGTCGTAGTCTTCGTTTACATGACTCAACTATCATTAACGTGTTGTATAGCGCTATGAGCACGAAATGAATGTGTGGGAAAAGCTTAAACACGACAACATTCTGACAATTTACGGTGTCATCACCAACTTGGGACCTCTTCACATTGTAAGATCTCTGCCCCTGTAATTATGTTTATCACCTGATAAAAATTTTACGCTCCACGCAGGTGTCGACGTGGCAAGAAAATGGCAATGCACTAGAGTATGTCATGCTGGAATGCAGCACATCCCCATTCTTACTTAATTGCGCTCAGATATCGCATCAAGAACCCTGACATCAACCCCCTTACTTTGGCAAGTATGCTAGTAGCCTGATCATTGCCTCGAAACTGATCTTGATAACACTCAGCTCGCACAAGCAGCAAGAGGCATCGAGTATCTTCATGGATGCAACATTGTACATGGAAATCGTGAGTGCATTTATGTACTTCGTGGGGACAAATTGTTCTGACTTTATGAGTAGTGAAATGTGTAAGTCACTATGATTCACAAGCAGATATGTTCGTTCACAGTTTCGGGCCAGAATAATATGCTGGTCTCCTCCGAAGTGCGTGACCTTCTCCACTTTAGTTAATAGGTCTGACTCAGTTTTCGATGCAGGGTGTAGTATGCATTGGTGACTTTGGGCATACTCAGGTCCTAGACGAAGTGCTCGGGAGGGAGGAATTCACCGCTTATACTGGGTCCTCCAACGTGCGTTGGAATGCTCCGGAACTCCTGGGTGGCGATGATGTCAAGCCCACCAAAGCCAGCGACGTTTTCGCGTTCGGAATGTCTATCCTGGAGCTTGTAACCAAGCAGGCACCCTATTCGCATAGAAAACGTGATCTCACTGTTATCATGGACATCAACGACAGACATTTACCTCTTCGTCCAACCGAGCCGGAAGATGTCTCGCGGTGGATGCATAATGAACTATGGGAAGTTTTGAATAGATGTTGGTGTTTCTTGCCTCAGGAGCGGATGGATCTTGGAGAAGTCACAATCTGTCTTGAGGGTCTCGCCAAGTACCTTGGGAATCATCCAAATTGGCAGACGGAAGAGGCTAATGTTGACATTGTTCAATGAGATGTTGTCCTCGCGTATATCATGATCCACGCATGTACATATGTTAACTACTTTATCAAAATGATCTCAGGGAGATCTGCGGCTTCATACTCTGCTGCACTGTGCCCGCGGCGCCTTCAACAGCCTTCCGAATTGACATCTCAAGTACTTCCCGCACAGAGGGGTCCAGCTGAGTAGTGGCCTCTTTGAAGGACGCAGGCGAGCTAGCTGCCAGGGAAAGCAAGTGTGCTATGCCACTAGAATGTATCGTTGATGGAGGCATCTGAGATGGGCGTAGAAGTAATGTGATTGTTGGTAGCAGTACACTCAATAGACGGGAACCTGCACGATTAAAGTCAACTACTTAAACCAAATCCGTGGGTACTGGTACTGACGTTGTTCCTCTTTAGCCAGCGAGACGAGTGTCGCAAATGTTTTCCAAACCTCGTCTATCGAGATGGCTTGCTGTTCTGACACTGTTCCGTCATCCACTCGAGGTACCATTTTGGCAACATATTGGATTAGTGCGGGAAGAAGCAGCCGAACGCAGGCTCGAAGAAGTTCACTTCCAGACGCAGCGATTGCAAGAGTTTTGGCGCAGTGAACGGCCACAAGAGCCATCTGCTGAACGCAAAATCGCTCAGCGACACGCATTAGAAGTATTGAAGAAAAAGGATACCTGGTCGCCTTCTTCAAGCTTTTGTGATATAAGGAAGAACAAGTGCTCCACCACATCACGAGAAACCGCCACTTGTGGAGGAATGATGGTCAAGATGAGCACCGCCGCGAGAAGGTTAGTCTTGACTTTTCTCGACGAAATTAAACCTTCGCGTCCCCTGTGTTGCTTTAGCCCTCCACAGACATGCAAGTATTTCAAAAGCAAACCTCATCTCATCCGCGTTCAAAAGACATGAAGACAACAAGCCATGGATAAGCTTCCCGTAACGTTCGCGGACACTAGGATGACATGGAATGGCCAGCAAGGATTTGAAAGCCGGAAGAGTGGGAGTTATCAAATCCGCTTCCGATGTTTCATCTTTCAGCAGTTCTGAAAACGGGTTATGCAAAAGAAATCGCTGATGAGAGTTTCGTACCGCCATAGAGAACGCAGCCTATTCCCCGTACATCTTCTCGAACAACAAGTTCTGTCGTCGAGGCAATGAGGTGGAAGGCACTCAGGGAGCCAGAAATCATCTTTGCAATATCAGACAGATCGCCTTCTGCAAGAACATGGATCGTGTTGTGCGGCAGCGTCAAGGTCAAAAGACTTACTTATCGATGACGTTCCTGGATTGTGACGAGAGTGTCGAATGGTGTAGGCAAAAATCTTGAGACAATGAGTGGACACTGAATCGGGAAGAATGGCTGTGTTGCTTTGACTCTCCTTGCTGCTGGACTGCGTGTAAATTTCTCGTGAAGAACAATTTGTGGAAGACTCGCCTGAGGTCGCCTCCAGGTACATATTGGCCGAAGTGTTTGGCAAAAGTGGTCAGGACAGTGATCAGGTGAATGAGTACCTCTGCAGATTCTGTCATAGCGATTCGGTGACTGAGACTCATGAATTCTTGAAAGATAGTAGGCTCCAAAAGGGCTTTCCCAGAATAGCGAGGATCGAGAAGGCATTTCAGTGCCCCCAGGCAGGCAATCACCGTGTCAACTCGTGAACTGGTGTCTGGCGAGGACGTCGCGAGAGCTTCATATATAAGGCCAAAGAGGGGGAAGAAAAGGGGCGCTGGCCCTTCTGCCATGGAGTCGATACCATTGACAGATGATCCCACCTCCTTCCCAAGGATGGCAGCTGAAATGGATTGATCGGAGCGATTCATGGCGTTCGCGATAGCTTGTAGGATAGTTGCCCAGGAAGAAGCGTAGTACTGAAAAGGTGAGATCCGTCGATAATAATCGATCGAGATTGAAACTTACAGGGAGTAGGACTACTTTACCCAGGCTTGCATACGACGGGTCTAAAGCTACCGCTGACGCATCGTGTATGAATTCGGAATCTGCCCGGATGACAGCATAATCGCGAAGGCTTGCAATCCATTGCGGTGCCAAGATCGATCTGTATGGTTTGATGACATCCAGAAGGTACGTCTGCTCAGAACTAGCAATTTCTAGACGAGCCCACGCCGAGAGGATAGAAACCCTCAACATGCCTGACGCATTTGGGCTCAAGTCCACAAAATTGCCCATAGTTAAATTGCCAGATTCTTGAAAAGCATGAATATCTATATTGATGAGATATTTGGATATGCCTACCGTCAACCTCTCCGAGTGCTGTTGTAAGTTGTTTGAGAATTCTCCCCATCCGACTTACATCTTTGACAACGCCACAGCCAACAAATACTGCACAGGCATCGATGGCAGAAGACAGAATTTCAGGAGTGGAATCTGGAGAGAAGGCGGGAGTAAGTGCAGCCGTGATAGGTGCTTGATGTTGCTCAAGTAGGAGAGCGTCTGGATAGTCAGGATCTGGGGCCTGGCAAAACACCTATTGAAAATACATGAAAAGAAAAGTGACAGAAATCACAACAGTGCACCTACTTGAATGACATCGCGTAATACGACCAATCCTTCTAGTCGTATCTCTGTGACATATGCTGCAGATGCTGTGAAGGCCATTTTGATCAAATCTGGGACACGAGACACAAGGAGGCCGTTCACTGGAATGCCGTGGCTACGAGCGAAAGGTATGTCGATGTGCTCTCTGCGTCCAAAGCGTGCAACTAGAGTGCAAATTTCGTGTAAACATCGCAGTGCAAATAGTTGCGTCCTCCAGCGTGACGTAGCAACCATGGATATGTTGCTTTGCCGCGTGTCATCGTTTGACATGGATGCACTCAACGATTGACCTTCGTCATCCATGAGACTGTTGGCTGTATTGACCACTTTCTGGGAGGCATTTATGCGCAACATAATCCTCTGGCAAAGGTCAATCCAGGCGGATGGATTGTGAATCGCCGTCTGAAGTAGCCAACTTGAAATTACGTTTCTGACTCCATCGATCGATGGGTCACCGTCTAACATTCCAAACAAATCCTCCACAAGGCTATCTCCACCCAATCGAGACATTGCTAGAGCGTCTTTCTGAACCAATTGATAAAGGGCATCGATTGCTGCGAGTTTCAGGCATCTTCTAGGTGAACCAAGGTGCCTTCTGAAACGATTCACGATCTCGGGAACGTCCACATGCTCGGGAGCAAACATGAGGAGATGCTGGATGCACCTTATAGCTTCCACTAGGATGGGCTCATCATCTTCCACCGAAAATTCGTGGACAAGGTCAAGTACAATTGTTCTCGTCCTTGAAGAGTCGTGAACATCAGGGCCGAGAATGGTGATGATCGCATCCAGGATATAGCAGACAAGGGGGTAAGCTTGCAAGTCACCACCAATATTGGCGTTGTTCAGTGTCCCTCCCTCGGCCTCGTGAGTGTCCGACAGGTATATTTTGAGTAGCATTCCCAGGGTGCTTGACACGAATGGAGCGAAGGCCAAACTAGCAGCGTTAATGACATGTCCCAGTGCGCGGAGGGACCAAAAGTGGACCAGCGGATGAGAATCATTGCTCAATGACATGAGAAGGTTCACTGTTGTTTTTAAGATAGGGGCTGCCGCAAGTCCACCGACATGGCTGTATAGAGACCCAAACGCAAGCGCACAACCAGCTCGACCTTGGGGATCTCGGTTGCTTACAATGTGATCAACCAACACCTTGGTTTGACTCGTCAAAAAGGAGCTTCCAGAAATGTTGGCAAGGCGCCCAATGGCCTCGCTACTAGCAGATCTTAGGGCGGGGTCACCATCCACAAGAGCATCCTGCAAGTGAGATTAAGAACACATGGTCGAACCACAGGTTAAGAGTAAACTTACTTTCAAGAATGCTCCAAGAGCTGTAGTGACTTGAGAATGCCCAAGGGTATCCTTAGATTGACGATGATACGAGATCATCGCAACACGCAATGTTCGTACGATGGCCACGACGCTATTCAACATTACAGCGGTCCTCCTCCCAGCGTTCTTATCAAGCTTCGGAGACCGATTGGACTCTATCAAGTGATTGATTGTCCGCAGAGTGGTGCTCAAGTCCTGGGCTGGCAGCAACTGAGAAAATAGTTCGATAGCGGCGTCACAGACTGACGACACAGGTGGTGGAGCATTGAAAGACCAGCTTTCCTCTTCTGACGGGTTTATCATAGAAAGTGAAAGTGTATCGTGCTCGCACGCTCCTAGTATCGGCTTGCGTAGCTAGATGCGTAGATCAACATCGGCAGGAAGATTCACACATGAAATGTCTTACCAGGGCACTTATTGAGTGTTCAATGCTATCACTGTTGCTGTGACCACGGCGAGGATTTTCAGACATTGTGCTTTGGTCAATCCCGTCTTCAGATGTTTCAAGTGTAGTGAGTCCATAAGCATAACCATCTGTCATCTGCCAGATTGAAGTGAAACTACCGGAGGTAGACGCAATTGAGGCTTGCATTGCAGATATGTTATCGATATCGGGGCCCGCAAAAACAGTAAGGACGGACTGCAATAAGCTTGATTGGACAGAATCCGTCAAAGTGGAAGTTCCAAGAGCGGAGAAGCATTGGTATGCTCTACGTCGAAGAGAAGCCTCGCGAGTCCGAATAGATGGCCCAGTATCTTCAATCACCGAAGGTCCAGAAACTTCTTCGATACTCTGTGACAAGAACACATTTGAAAATGAGAGAGCATTTCCAAGCAGAGATGAGATTCTCCGGGCGACGTCGAGAGTGGTGAGTTGGCTATTGTGAAGCAAAAAACAAAGGATTGCTCCAAGTGCACTTTCACGGACATGCAGGAGAAACTTCCACTCGGCAGCTGACCGGCCTGAAACGTTGTCTTTCGCAGTAGGTTTCGGTAATGTATTACGCCAAAGTACCAGTAGCTGAGGTAGATGTGAGCGGACAAAATTTGGTCCAAGCAGCATCAGCGATGCAATCAACGTCCAGGCAACTTCGACCTCTACTGCTGCAATATGAACATCATGGTCACTAGCGCGCTTAAGGAGTTGAGTGGCGGTGTCAAGAACGCTGGCCGACACATCAAAAGACACGTATAGGGGGCGATGTGGCACAATGGCGACAAGAGCTGCCAAACCATAGGAATGACCAAGTGTCCGGCGATCAATGTCCGAAGGAGCTGCAGGAGATTGAAGGGATTCAATGTCGCGTTGTAAAGACTCCGCGATCGCCAACATTGCCTTCGGTAGACGGAGGGGGGTAGAATAGCAGAAGCAACGAAGGGTCCAACTCGCATTGACACGAACCGAGTGACTGGGATGCGTAAGCAGCGTCATCAATGGCACAGAGACAGCGTCCTACGCCGAATTTAGGAATGAACCAAAGTTACAACTTCACAGGACTTACCTGAACCGGCGGAGGTGCATTGCCTAGTTGTTGCAACAGACCTGCAACCTCCTCCAGTGCTATTGTTAGGATGGATGAAGATGGAGCCACCTGCCCCGGCATTAATGCTGGCCATCTTTTCAAGTATGACGAGGAAAGATCTTGAATTGCAGCTATTTGTCCCTGCTCAGTCAACATTCGTAGTGCTATTAGCTCCCGTAAAAGAGCGCCGACTAGCTTCCGGATGAAGAGTTTGTCATATCTCGTGGCTCCATTCTTGGGATAGGAGACGATCTCGGTCATGAGGTGACTGACGAGTAGGGAATAATTGGATTCCACAAATACTGGCCCGAGTTTTGCCAGTAGTGTGACGTAAAACATGAAGATTCCCGCACGGGTTTTGCGGCTGTGAGCTTTGTTAAACTGGGTGGAGATTTGTGATAGCATATCTCCTGGCGTCAAAAGGATTTTGGTGTTTTCGGCTGCGATATGTGCAGGAGTAGAGATATCGGAGTCTTCTTGTTCCTTCTTGCCTTTTTGTGATTGCTCTGCGACTGCCACAGCACGTTCCATTTGAGTGGCTGCGAGCATATGTCCCACTAGCTGCGCCAGCGATTGCGTTGTCACCTGGTCACTGTGTTCAAGACTTTTGACGCAGACGTTCATGATTGACTCCACATCTGCAAGTGTGACGGAGTCTTCGGGAGTATAGACGATCGTTAAAACCTGCGCACGTTTCAGTGTACAAGATGCAGTTCACGGGCAAGAATCTCACAGCAGCAGCAGCTCGCTGGACGGGAAGAGCTTTATCTGTTAAACCGTTCTTCATTTGCTTGATTATGTCCTTTGCAAGGGAGTCACTCAAAGCCTTCTTGGCTGAAACCAGGGCTTTCCGGAGCATAGTGAGCGCATGATATCGGACGTGCGGCGACTTTGATAGTAATGAGAGAAAAAAGCGAACAACTAGTAAATGTCCTACGCACCGCAGATGACCTCAATGTTTTTATGGCGATGGTGGCGGTTTCAGCCATAAAGGACATAAACTGCCTCAGGCCATCAGAACGCTATTGAAAAAGAGGGACATATCGAACCTGGGAGCCGAAGGCCTCCATCAATTCTCCAATCGTCCAGAATGCGGCGCTGTAAGCGGAATGTCATTCAACAATACTGATAAAGCGTGGATTTTGTGCTGACATCCGAGTCGAATCCTTATCCGTGGCTTTGATGTCAGAGGCTGGCTTTAGCAACACCCTTAGCGTGTCAAATAATGACCTGGATTCTCCACGATGATACAGGACTAGAAGGCATCTTGCAGCTAGATTGCGAAGCGGACGACCAGGAGAAGGGTATGGCTCCGAAGGTATGAGCACCTTCAGTAGCGTAGCTTCTACTGAAGCTTGCGTCTCCTTGAGCGTTTCCTGCAAAATGTGAAATCGTAGGGAAATACAGTCATTATGAATTCACATACGGTACTCGCATGTCTGAGACTTCTCTCCAGATTCGACAACCACTGAAATAAGTAAAGCTCGCCACTGTCGGCTGTCAATTGATTCTGCCTGTTGTGTAAGTAACCTTTCACGTCTACTGCGGATTAATGTATGACATACCTCATCTAATTCTTCGATTTCCCCCTTGGATTCCATAATCCGTGACGACGATCAAATTCAATAACTTTTAGCTGCAGCACTATAGTTTGAGGCGCGAGGAAGCGATGTACTTCTCGGCCAGTAAGTGATGCTAGTAGTAGTAAATCTAGTAATGACGGCTTATGGTGGCAGTACAAGCATGTGACAAATTTAGAACGAATCATCTAAGCATTCAAGTTGCTGCATAATGTATGCTTGATCGAGCGCATGCACAGAACATGGATAGCGTTATGGATTCAATCATTCACATACAACATGCAGTTTGCGAGATAAAAATGCGATACGGTTCGACAGTGGGGAGACACCAGTAAATATTTGATGGATTATACATGTAAATCAGTCAATTTTCACGGGTGCTCGTATCACCAGGTATCTGCCAGACGTTAGCCACCATATTGCGATACAACACAATCCCATTCCGGCCCCCTGCACTAAATGAGACATAACGATTACGGAAAGCATTGCTCTGCGGCCTTTCGTTTGAAGTAGAATGGCAGCTTGATGATGTATTTGGGTCATGGAGATCGCCAGGTAAGATAACACGGCAGCTAGAAGGAATTGCCATGTTGGCGCCGAAGTGTGCCATCTGTGAGCAGTTTTATTTCTGTCAAAGAAGGCTGAAGTGTATCGTGCGGCGTAGATTATCCGGGCGGCCAGGTTGATTATGTTTGCGTAAACCAGAGAGACATCACCGAAGCCCGAGGCGTAAAATCCAATCGCAGAAACAATGAATAAAATGGAAAAGCCAATGAGCCATCTGATCATTTAAATTAAGTCAATGTAAACGATGGTGAATGAAGTGCACACCTGCTTTGTCTTCGAAGATCTTGAGGAGTTGCGATGCTCGAGAAGAAAGCTTCAAGTACACCATTGATGGCGAGGGCAGGGATGTACCATATCCAAGCTGCCAGAACCTTTGGAGCGCATGTTGTTAGGTACTGTGATGGGAGCAATAGGTGTAGGAAAACCGGAAGATAGACAGTGGCAAATACAATGACAAGGACGGAACAAGCTAGTTGGATGGAGACTAGTGACAGCAAGATCTCTGAGGCTTGGCCTAGTGAGCGTCTGTCGAATTGTGCCCCAGTCGACGTGGATTTCGCCTCAGCCGGGGGGCACAAGGTTCTTGAAAAGTAAACCCTACATATTTCTTCTAGAGGTTGGAAAACTATACGTGCAACTAGAGAACCTGTACAAAGGTTGGATCGTCACTATACCTGAAACAACCCAGTCTGGAACGATGCTCACCATAGTTTACGGCGACCGCGTACCCTCCTTGGTCGTCCAAAGGGCTCCACCAAGATAATATAATCTTATCTCCTTCTGTCAAAATATGTTTGACAATAGATTGCCCAGTCATAGTCAAAGACAGATGCAGACTGCTAACGTCAAAGTATTGTGAGGCAATACGATAGAATCTTGATCTGACTGCCGTGATCAGAGAGTTGACCATTGAACAGGTGGATGGACTCACCTGGAAGCAGCTACTTCGGATGACGGTCGAGTAGCAAGACGAGTCGGCCAGAAGGTGGGATACCCCATCTGATACACGTAACTGACAAACACCACACTGCTGTATGCAAGTTGGCCCAGGGCAAAAGCAACGAGCGCGAATTCTCCGGAATCTGGTCTAGTCGAGTCGTAAAGGAGGACAAGATAAGTGACAAGAGTCTTGCACGTTATCCCGAGACCTTCAGCCCTCACTCTAGCTCCAGTGCGAACTTCACCCATGGCCCTAGCAAGTTGAGAGAAAAATATATGTCACTGAGATTATCTACATACCGATTATGCATGGGTTCGCTGAAGAGCTCGCTTAGCGCGGCGAACACATATGTCGATAACGCCACGTGAAAATGAGGCTGATGGCGAACATCGGAGCTGGCAAGAGTAACATATGCAGCTGCCGTAGCTAAAGACACTGGAAGTCCTAGAATAATCGGCAATGTAGATAGATTTGTCGAAGCAGGTACGTCGTCGTTAAAAGTTGGCCCTTGGGTATGGACGGTGGCATTCCGTGGCCACGCTCTGAGCAACGCATTCCTGACACCTTCCCGGCTGAGAAACAGTATGGTGCTTAAGATAAGTTCAAATTGAATTGCAGCAGTCCCATATGCTTGCGGGGAGGCTAATCGAAACAGTGCTTGATTCAGAGCAAAAGTCAATAGACGAGAGCCAAGTTGGAGACCCATAAGAGAGAACAAAGAGGTAAGTGAACGTTTCAACAACCCGCCATCTTGTTCTTTTGAACGTCCTAAGGATGGTTGTTGGTCCATGGGTGAAATTTTGATAAGGTATCTTAGTAGTCACGGTATAGCGCGTAGTTAACCTAGGCCTTGCAGGTATGGATTTACACCGAGATGTGTGTTTGGACATGTTATGAACCAGCCTTATTACATAATATGTAAGGTACTTTTGCATATTATTTATTAACAGCATGGTTTAGGCTACTAGGCGCCGTCGTCGGCGATGACCTTGCTTTCGTTTGTAATTGGAAAGACAAATGGAACGAGCGCACTTGCAACGGTGTTTTGGAAGGACAGAGATTGGTCACAATCGTAGCGCGACTACGAACAGAGAATGCGGAAAATGCCGTTGTTTGCAGTTGTGGACGATTTGCAGAATTAACGGGTTGGCATATGACCTTGCAAGCAAGGTGACAATCTGGAATCGATTATCGGTCAGGCCTTCAAAGCTTAAGCTTCAGGCCTCGCACGATCCAGGAGAACCAAAAAGGGCTCCTCAACAAGCTGAGGCTCCCGGCCGTTAATATTGTTGACCAGCAATACAATGCAACAGATAAGGAGTTGAGCCCCAAATTAAGAAGGAACGAATGCTATTATTTTATGCATGTAATTTATGACTCATTTGGATTCGGGAGATAACCATACATTCGTTGCAAATGACGCCCGAATCATGCATAGGACGTCCATGAAAGAGCCTCGAGCAACGTTTGAAGAAGTACTCCGCGCACAGCCAAACACAATCTGCATATGTACTAAATCGGATGCTAAGTCTGTTTGGGAAATCTGCGATTAGCTAATGAAAACCTCATAGGAAAATTGACATAATCCCAGAGACACGTGAAAAGTGCATTGGCTACCGTAGGCTCTGACACGCGCGGTAGTGGCTCAGTGTGAGTCAGACTCAAACGGGGAACACGTTGCTCATAGATACTTGCGACCTATTAGCTTAGTAAAAATAAAATAAAACTCAAAAATTTCCCTTTCCCAGACAGTGAACTTCGATCCTCTCCCCACTAAAGAGGCTGAGTCAAACCATGGTGTTCGTGGTGTATACAATCCATCCTAGGTCACCAGTCTCCCGCTCAAGCGATGTTGGTATCTAATCTTGAGACTCGCCCCCATTATTTCCTCCTAGAATCAGGTCTTTGTAAAATACAGATGGATGCATGATCCGTCTGTTATTAATCTACATCCTCCCACTTTTAATCAAAACATCTGGGTACAAAGGAAATTCGTCTTCTATGCAAGGGGGGGAAGCACGGACTAGTATACGAGGCAGTACGAGCGGTTGTAGCAGGAGGTGCTGACTCCATCCTTTGTGTCGGGCAGAAAGACGTTACAGTGACCTGAGATTGCACAACGGGGGATGAATTTCAGGCGGCTGTCCTCACATAGTTTTCGAGACCTGACCCCGAACACACTGATTCAATTTTCTGTGGCTCAGGGTGTGGCATCTGAATGTGGACCTTAGTCCGATGGGACTATAACACTTGTGGCAAGGATCATTCTTTTTCCTATTCGAAGTTCTAGCTTTTCCGTTCATCCTGTGCGCGGAAATTGGCGGCCATTTTACTGTCAAAGAATCAGATCCTATGGAAACGACTTTGTATTTCCGCGGGACCACCTTGGGTTTGCGGAACCACTACTCTGCTGAAGCCGTCACATCCAAATCAAGAACTAGCGAATGACCTTAGCCAGCAAAGAAAATATATTTAGCATAGCGTGGAGCTGTGAGGAAGCAAGAGGAAGAAATTGCGGTTCGGCGCCAAGTGGGAATGGCGTGGTACCTGATATGAATTGTGCCAGGGTTGTTTGTACTTACTGGGCGTGGAAGCGACTCGAAGCTCTTGATTTTTCACGCAGTATAATATTCTTCCACTTTGGTCATAAGCGGCGAGAAAAAAATCTGCAGGAGGGGTGAGGAGGAATGAGTAAGTATAAGACGCATTCACTAACACGGTGTCGACTGCAACTAGTACTTGTTCAGTAGGAGCGGCGGATCACACATGTCATACAAGACCCGCTGTGACTGTCATATCAGTCAAATCATCGCTGGCTGTTGCGTTGTCAACACTGGACGCGCTGCAGGAATGCCTGGTGATACCCTACGTCGCTCGTACGGAATCTCGAATCCGAATTTGTCATGAAGAATCGATGAACCAATGTGCCACCAAGCCTCATCAAGCCCACGAATTCTGCAGGAAGACAGAAGTGTGTTTAGGCCCTTCGATGGATGACGGAAAATCTTGAATGAAGGAGCCTGTCTAGTCGATGATAGATAACCTTGAAACAAAGGAGATCCTTTCAGATCCGGGTGAGGGCCTACTATCAGTTCTAGTTGATGATCGCGTTCTTTAACTCACGTCTTTCAGAAGTTCAGAACACATCGATCATCTCAGATCTCCCCCCTGAAACCTGTCGGACCAAAAAAACTAAATCCTTGCGAGAAGAATCAAGCCACATATAGAGGTATCCGAGGTATGCTTTTGGAAAGCCACCCCTGCATCTTTGAAGGCGACGTGCGGAAATGGACCAACGATGGGGAATCAATAGAGCAACATTCGCGTCACAAAGGCAAGCTCTCGACCCCTGATTGCCCCCCCTCCGCAATAGAGGATAGACCCAAGCGGATACTGACCCGGATCATCATCTCGGCGGCCCTCATGTTGTGCAAGAAACGGCTCCAGTCGGCTTCTAAGATCACAGTAAGTAAATTCAGTCTGTGGGCGTCTGGACGGCTCTGATACAAGAATTATATGCTCAGGAATCTATCCCAGGCAAGGCTGGGTCTACAGTCACTACTTACTAGCTGTCACCACGCTTGAACCCGTTGGCCTGCCGTTATCCCCCTATTTTCGCGTGGCAGACCCTCGGGCCTCAATAATCGGTTACTGTCTGAGGATGTTATCGGGCCTACGACTAACGAGACGTTGCACGGCGATCACAGCAAAAGCATACGAGTTCTGGAACTGGAAGACCTCCAGCATTCTGGTGATGTTCCAAGCATAGTCACAATGAATACTCTCAGTGACTATCGAAGCACATACGGTGCATGACACGTACCTCAATCCTGTGGATTTCCTGCAACGTAACGCCCAATTGGAGATGAAGAATGTAATTCGATCTCCTCGCGTGCTCCGGCTCGATTGTCGCGCGTTTGCTGCGGATATCAACTCTCTACGACGCCCCGCCCCTCGATGATGCACGTTGCGCAAGTTTGGAAATTTTTTGCCGAAATATCCAATGAATTCGCCGTGCCCATCACTGAGAAGCCCTTTCGACCACTCTCGTCGCTCGCTTCCATTTCGATGGGGTACTAGTAGAGTTCTGGGGTGCCAACGTGGCAGTAGAACGTGCACAATGAAGTGATAGTTCCTCAAGCTATTCTTCGAGTCACTCTTCGCCACCGGTGCTTCCATTCCTCGACGTAAATACCTCGCCATGGTTAGATTGCCGCTGAGAAAGATCGCGCCGTCGACTCGGGGCTGGGAGATTGCATTTGGCCGTATAGTCGCGAACTTGCAATTTGGCTGACACTGGTCGTCGCACATGAACAGGTACCGCTTGCGCATGTTCTTGGTTCGAATGATGGCCCACCAACGGGCTCGGCAGTTGCCCTCAGAGGAGCCGAAAGTTCTGTTCATCACACCGTGAGTCACTAGTCAGGCCTTATTACCTCAGGCGCATTTGAGCGCTAACTTTCATACCAAATTCTCTCTGCGCAGATCTCTTCTCGCTCCCAGGCTCAGGCTTCAACCCGAATCAAGCATCTTGGCACACCCCAAATAAATTCCATTACTATCGATATCCGTAAGCAGAACGTTCCGACGCAAGACCATGGAAACCCAGCGCCGCGGAGCGCAGAACACAGCGACGCTCCACTGCATTCCCGCGAGTTATGGGCAAGTTATGGGTGCCTGTGGATCGAGATTCTGTAAGGGCATATGATTTAGGGAATAGCGGGGTATTGATTGACGGGATCGAACCGCAGAATACTTGTGGGGGTCTCTTCAGAGGCTCGACTTGAGATGAATGCTGCACAAGGCGAGTGGGCGCGTTATCAGTTTCATTTACTTGTTACGTTCGTTCTCCTCATGGCCTTCGTGCGGAGGATGTTCTAGTATCCACGTTTCAATATAAGTCATAGAATTTGACAAAGGCATGAATTTAATTGAACTCAAAAGAATACACTATGTAAAGCGACTCATGTTGGAGCAAATGGAGATCAGTCAAAGATAGCAAAGGCAACAATGCATCAAGCAAATAGACCTAAGCACAACGAACTACGAGTATGGACAGTGTTATATAACAGTACAGAGGACAACGCAAGCAAGACAAAATGGGATGCATGTAGGTTGAACATAAGCCCTCCGTTTAATGTACAAAACAACATCACAGGGGCACGTCGCACGAAATCAAGAAGTTAAAGGGGTAAAAGGAATCCTTCGAGATGCTATACATCTCATTTAGTCGTCACCGTGATTCCGCCCATTGAGATGCCCCGAGTCGCTTGACCCTCCAGCCGAAGGCGGCTTGCCGTACATCTGAGGATACGGAGCGTAATGGGGGTTCATCATCTGCATCTGACCGTCAGGGCGGTGCGGATACATGTACCCATACGACTGTGGCGCATACGGAAGGAATGCGGCCGGAATGTACTGGGCCATAGACGGATAGCCTTGTTCTGGGTCTTGACCTGGATGCCCGTTTTGTCCAGGATGAGGCATCGGCGTAATTGCATAGAACTGGGGATAGTACGCCGGGGAGGCCTCACCAGGCTTGGGAGTCGGTGACCCCGGAAACTGGCCCGGGAACATGGAATACCCAATGGGCGCCATATACGCTGCCTGTAAAGGCGGCGAGGCCGACTGGGTTGGCACTTCCGTCGTGACGGGAATGCTGGGTTGCTCGGGCACATCGCCAATATCGGCATTGGTGCCTACGCGATCTCAACGACAGTCAGAACGAAGAGGAAGGAACCAATCAGATAAGAGCAGAGGTGGAACGAATGGACGAGTGGCGTCTCAGAGTACTGCACAAATGGAGGGTGTATGATCTTACCTTTGCCATCGCGCTTCTTGTAGGGTCCCCTTTTCACGCCTTTTTTCCTCTCTTTGCGTTGGGAATCGACACACTCTTCAGCAATGCCATATTTGACGCAACGGAGACAAGGACGGGCGTCGTCACACTTCTTGCATGCCTTCTGGCAGTTTGTGCAAGCGTTCTTGACTTGCCTGCGCTTGGAGCGAAGAGGTTGTGTGGCAACTAGGCCAGGTGGGAAAGGATACATATGCATGGGCATGCTAGAATAACCATTGACGGGATGAACCGTCATTTGAGGCTGAAGGTCTGTAGACTGCGCCTCAGCGAGGTCGTCGCCGTCTGGCGTTTGATTGCGCTCCACAGAAGACATGCTGCTGAGGGCGAGAGAAGAAGAGACTGTATGTGGCGGCCCTGACTGCTGATGGTTCAAGATTGTTGACTTTTATGGATGTATAGGAAATTGGAAGAATATTGCTGTGGGTAAAGGCACGAGGTAAGTAGGAAAGACGGTGGAGGAGCGGAAGAATTAGTACGATTCGGATTCCAGATTAGCTCAGGGCTCTTTGCTACACGAGTTCGACGCACTTCCGGCCCTTGGTCCCTGTTCTTGTTCACGTGGTGGGAACCGAAGTTGTACACAACTCGTGAATGTTGAGAAGTTGACACCGGATAGACGGTTTGTGAGCTCAAAGATGAAATGTTGTTGGCCAAGCACACGGATACGCTGGAAGACGATAAGCACATGATGGCAGATTGTCAATTGACAGCAATATGTCCGTTTCGATTGTGAGAACCTACCTGAACAATGAGACTTTCGCTGAGCTGGCGGACTAAGGCGGACTGTCAGTGATGGAGTTGGAAAGTAAGAGGGGTCGGATGTTGCGCTGAGTTCTAACGAAACCCTTTTTATGCTCTCTAGCAGCCACAGACTTAAATACCCGGAGGACGACCCTGTGTCATATTTGTTTTCATTTCACACAAGACATGGCCAAGTCCACATTAGCTTTGTCTTTAAAAAACTAAATCTACTGATTATACAGAAAAGTTTACGATTGTACCCCTTTTCAAACCGAATAGATGCCGTCCGGTACGTCGTTCCATCGGCTATTCTCGAAAATACCCACTGAATTCGGACCTTACAATTTGGACCACAGTACGTAGAATATACATATATCTGACTGGCAGTTGGACACAGTGGAGTCTCTAGCGGGATACGATAGTATAACCCACTCCAATTCAATGGCAACCGATGGTCGAGAACCACGGTATCCAAGTTCTTGCAGCGAAATACCCGCCGTTTCTCGTGGGTCCGCGTGATGCAACTCTGGGCCGGGGACCCGAATTAGCCTGGCTCCGCGCTTATACCTGGAAACCATTTTCGAGCCCGCGATTCCTCTTCTCCGTCAGGTTAGTTCTGCCAACTACGTATGTATCTTGCATGATGTGCATCTGCTCACCGCCTTTGATACGTGTTTCCAATATTCCGCCGCTCACAATTACTTCGTGCTGTGCTATTCTCGTAGCCGCTTACTCCCAATCCAGAATAGTGAGTAAAAATGTGCTTATTCTCGTCATATCTTACGGACTCCACGAATTTTGTACCAAGTTTATAACCCGACCTTGTGTAAATTCTCAAGGTCGGCTTAGCCCAGCCGCAGTGCCCCCTTTCAAATAGCAAACACGAGTTACAATTCAGCTTCAAATAAGGACGTATTGCGTTCCACGATATTTCCCCTCTTGTGCTGCATCGTGCAGGTAGCGAACCGAGATTGATAATTATGATCAGTCTGCCGTTCAGTATCTCAATGGTGTCAAGTTTCTCCTTCCGCATTTGCGCTCTATAAATGCTATAAGGCGGCCGGATCCTTATTTTGCCCAGAACCTTTACCCAAGATACCGTCAACGTCAGTGCATCATGTTCCGCGATTCTACCGTTTTCGACGGAGATGACATTCATGACGCTTTTCAGATCTCCACTTTACCATCCGCGTTCGGTAACATTATACGCCTTACTAATCGCCAGCGGCCAAGTTACGGACAGGACCTACCTCCACTTGGGTGTACGAATTGCGTAACGCAGAGATCAGCTTCCTTTCGACGGAGCAAATCTATGCGCTGAGTCATTCGCACTCAGCGCCCAGTTGCACAGCATGCTGCGGACATTTGTCAATGTTTTCTGATATTCCTGCTATGAACTATAAATTTTCACAATGTTCTTTCGATATGTTATCCGGTTACATGGCTAAGGTTTTGAATCAGGAGCTTTAGGTTTGTGCTTACCATCATTGTGAAATTATTTTCGCCTATCCTATTCAATTGTTTTCATGCACGAGGCTTGTGAGTCATGTTATATCCGATAATCATATCTCGCGAAGCGACGGGTGGCCATATAGTCAAGTTCACGACAACCTGCGGCGTGGAATCCTTACGGTATTTCGCCAGGATTACTATCTTCTGCTTCTACAGGAACGAGAATTAAGCGGTTTACATACCTCGATGTTCTTATATGAACTCTAGTCACGCTCGAATGGACCAATCGTGGGATCGATGACTGGCCAAAAGTCACAATGCGGCAGGACTGGCATGAGTCTTAAGGCCCAGGATCTTCATATCTCCGCAAACTCATGGTTATTTCTCATCAATCACCTTGCTCACGTTGATGTTCAACTACAGCCGCCGTCAGAATATTGGATTCAACTTGTCTACTACCGGATCTTTGTTAAAAGGTGGGTAACGATCGATCGATAGTGCCAATCAGTATATTTTTTCGGCAAATGTAAGCATTCCCCAAGAACAATGAGGTGGAAAGCCACTGCAAGTGCAAACAAAGCAAAATAGCGGGCGCTGGCCAGTGCCACCAGAACCTAGAGTGCTAGTAGACTCTGAGAGTTCTCTGCTCACGCTCTTGCTAGTCGTCGTCAACAACGGCGACCAGCATCGCTTTCATACTACCCAACAACGGCCCATAGGTATCAACATCTGGTTCACGTTTCTCTTTTCTTTCTTCTTTACCCACCGCGTGTTGCTTTTTTTTTGAGTTCCACGGTGTCGTTTACGTGTTTCTCTCTCTCATTCTTGGTCTTCCTCTGGAATGTCGGCCACGTCTGCGCTTTTAGAGAGCCAACGTGAGCACGAACTTCACCTTCCATTTACTACCCAAGGAGGCGACAAGAAAATCGCGGACGAGGACGATGGCCTAGATATGCATCAAGTCCATAACACACAGGTAATATCACCTCAAATCCATGTCAAAATCACACTCTCAAGGTTTAATCAGCCCAGGCTCCATATCTCAGCGGCGCCACCTGACGACGAATTGTCACCGATGGACACAGACGCTGAAATCCCATCGCGTTCGGGATCAGTTTCGTCCTCCCTTGACCCATACTATTTTGGCATTCAGACTCCTGCAGACTCGCCTGCACTGCAGTTGTCCGAACCAGGATTCCCTCCCATGACACCTGAGACGCGCAACCCTAATGAACCAGTCACGCCAGGGCGCGATCCGGCCAACATCGATAGGATGGGCCTCGTAGGTGTAGGCGAGCTAGCTACCCCAAGATGGGGTAAAATACAGAGGCATACGCATGACGAAGATGCAGATGGCCACGATGAGCAGGTTCACGGAGATGATGTCCTTGAGGAGGATGTCACCGAACTCGTTATTGACGAACTCGAGAAGGATGGTCCCGATAGTCCATGGACCATCGAGGCAGTCGATGGCGAGTCAGACGGCAAGGATGAGGTATGATTTTGTCAGACTGACATCATATAAACTCACAAGTGGTTTATAGCCAGTGGACGTAAAATCTGTTACCCGTACTCTCCGCTCACGTAGATCTATGGCGGATGAAAGTGGAGGAGAGGAAATTTTGTATCCCCGCAAGCCTTTCGGCTCTGAGTTGTTACATCCCACTCATTTACCTAAACACCCCCCTGCATCTCCAGAAGAGCCACCCTCACCACTTTTACCACCCCTCCCTACTGAGCAACCCTTCCTTGGTGGACCAGTGGTTGCGTCTCCTCCTAGCGCTTTTACTTCCCAGCGTAAGGCTAAGAAGCGCACGTCGGACGAATTTGAGATGGACCATACAGGTTCTCTTGTTTCTAAAGTGTCGGGTGTTCCAAAAGACCGCACTAGTTCAACAGCCAGAGACAAGGATGAGAAATCCGCATCGACGCGCAAGCATCGTAGCATTGGGTCCAATGTTTCTGGAAGTACCTCTCGCGATCGTGCCAGGCGTCGGGAAAGTCTCGCCGTTAGTACGCCAGGCAAACTTTCTGGTATACCCCCTCCGGTGGATGCTACTCCTGTGCGTTTGGAAAGGGAGAAACATACGCGTCAACTTTCCGCTGGATCTTCGTCGTCGAGTCATGAGGCTGCCCTTCACGCACACTCTCGGCGTGTGCATACCACAGATTTTTCCCACCTTCCCCCCTCTCCTTCGACAACCTCTATTCAGCATATTCTCCGGCATGCTGGCAGTGCCACTAGTACTACCAATCCACCTCTGCGTCCATCATCATCCCACAAGGATATGGCACAACCTCAAGGCCAACCACTAGTTCATCCCTCCCCTAGTGTTGCACACTCACTTCTCCGCGGGACACAGGAAGGGTGGTCGGGTTTAGATGATGATGCTCACGCTGATGCTTTGCGCAAGCTCGACGGACTGTCGATGAAGACCGCACGCGCACGTGCGAGCGTTGGGAGTTTTGGCAGGCCTTCGAGTATGAGTCGCCCTGGAACACCTGCCGGTACTGCTAACAAATCTGGGGTGCACTGGGAGGGCATCAGCTCCGACGGTGGGGGCAAAATGTCTCGCCGGGGCAGCACTAAGGACAGGGAGAGAAAGGAGGAAGTTTCTCAACGTCAGCCTATTGGCCTTGGTATTTCTCTTTCCGGGGATACTCCGCAGGAGCATTCCGAAATTCGAGGTGGTGGGATTATCAGCAGTGACGAACATGCGTATAGCTCATCTGGCGTTGAGAAAACTCCAAAAAAGCCGGGTTCTATGAGTACACGGTTGAGTTTCACTCCAAAGCGTGGGTCTGCATCATCCACTACATATACAACTACTCCGACGAGTTCGCGTGATTCCGCATCCATGTCAACGGCCACCAGCGTGACTTCAGTATCCGGCCCCTCGGCTTCTGGTCGTCATTCGACTGGTGCAGGGAAGGGAAGGCGGAACAGCGCGGGTAGTGATATTTCTAGCGCATACTCAGGTGGTGATGTGGCAGCGTTTAAGGACCGTCAACCTTCCTTCGCCGCCAGCGGCGAAGCTTTGGAAGAAGATCGGGTACCTCCCGTCCCGCCGTTACCCAAGGACTTATCTACTTATCGTTCCCCTCCCCAATCCTCGCATGGGATTGCATTTCCCCCTTCTGGTGCCGATGAGAGTGACATTGACCGTACTATGTCATTAGAGGTTCCCCCTGGTTCTTCGAAGCCATTGCCACATTCGCACGCCCAATACTTGCAATCGTCTGCGAATTACGGAAGCCACTCCGCTCCCGAGTCTGCTCCTTCAATCACCAAAACGCCCTCGAAGAAATGGAGTTTCTCCAATGCACTCAATATCAAGCTCACTCCATCAATGTCGTCGATGAAGGGGAAAGATTCGCTGTCGACCAAATCTTCGAGTTTCCCTCTCAGTCCTCGATCAGTGCAGACGTTCGGGCAACAGTTGCGGAAATCAGGATCTAGGGAGCAAGCGCTTTCTCCTCCCGTCGCTCCTGGTACTTCTTGGTCTCCTGGTCACCCAGATGCGATGGCATCTGCTGCATCCCTCGCATCTATGTCGTCTGTTGGATCTACCCGCACTCCGAAGTCTCCCGCTGTCTTATCTGGCAAGGCTCCTAGCCGCGCTGGAACGGCTTCCAGTGCCAGCCATCACACGACGTCCGCCTTATCCGCTGCTCATAATGCCCCGCTCAGCCCCTCGTCAATGCGGCGTCATCAATCCAAACGTCTTACGCCATCATCCATACCATTCTTCCGTCGCTCATCCTCTCAGAGCATGCAAATGCCCCCTTCAAACTCAGTTATCACATCAGTATCACCGACACTATCATCATCAGGCACTGGTGCCTCTGCAGCCCATCACGTCAAGGCAAGCCGCTCTCCAAACAAAGAATCAAGTCGTACCGTTCCGACTACTCCCGCCTCTTCACAGAAAAAATCATCTGTGCTTAGTCTTGGCCTGCCTTCATTGTTGAAATCTAGTTCGCGGAGAAGTTTGCATGGGGATAAGAGTGACACTGGCACTTTCAAGGAAAGCGCGAGGTCTAAGGATTCAGAGAAGGAGAAGTCAAAGCAAGACCAGAAGGATCGTAGTGAAAGCAGGATATCTTTGTTGATGGGACGTAAGAGAGGCAAGGTGTGTGCTTTCCCACTATTTATATTTGGGATGAATCTGACAATACTGTGGGCCTACCAGACCCTATCGTCCACAGATCCAAAAAAGAGTGCTTCTGCTATTGCTTTACCACCCATGCAGATGTCCGCATTACCTGCCACCACTGCTCAGCGTGTTGCAAATTTAAAGAACAGTTCCTCAGCGTCTACCCCTGCATCTACCATTACCCGGACGCCATCTATATCGCGTGTGACCTCGCAGACTGTAAGCTCAATGCAAAAGCAGTCAGATGCCTCGCTGCGGAGTCGAAACCAACCGTTGCCCACAATCGCTGGGTCGCCATCAGTTGGAACTACTGGATACAGCATAACAAAGGAGGCGAAGGATTACCCGCCGTCAGTGCTACTGAACTCGATAGGCGGCATGTCAAAGGAAACGCCAACCAAGATTCCTCGCATTTCGAGCCGCACCTCAGCTGCAGGATCTCCAGGACTTGGAGGTACAACTGTAGCCAGTCGTCGCATTAGCCTTAATGTCACTGCGCCTTCGACGGACCCTTCACCCACGCCTGCCGATCCTACAATGAATGAGTTTGGTGTTCTGGAGAATGGCGACGCACAAGTTGCGAAGGCGTTGGGCGAAACGACAACGACAAGGCGGCTCTCTGTCCGAGCTTCTCCGTCGATCAATTCCCGAGTTCCAAGGCAGGTCTCTGGGCCTCCATCCGCTGGCGGCATCCCTCGAAAGTCCAATCGTGATTCGGTCTCCTTCAGCACTCTACGTAAGGCGTCCACGGGCTCTGTGGCCTCCACTACCTCAGTGGCTCCTCCCAGTGAAACAACACACTCGCATAGATTTTCTGCTTTGTCTCCGTCAAAAGGTTTGAAACTGCTTAGTCCTAAGATTTCTCTATCCACACGTTCTTCAAACAACAATGGTTCAACGGCTAACGTGCACCGGGCTCAAGCAGGGACTCCTGCCTCAAGTCGTCAGTCGCTATCGACTCCTTCTCCAGTCCCTAGCACCGTTGATGAAGAAGAATTCCTTGGCGATGAAGAGATGATGCAATACATCAGACGGCAGCAGACCAAGAAGATGGCACATGGGGCATCGCAGGCTGAATTGGACGATCTACTTAAGTTTCCAGAACCATCAACACCAAGCCCTGGATTGACGCCTCAGGGTCAGTTGCTCTCTACTGCGAGAATCTCAATCATTGATTTTGCACGCAGAGGTGTTGAATTCTTCTCAGGCTCAGTTCCTGTCCGATTACGAGAAAGAAGAGATTCTCAACTATCCCCAGGTTTACTGTATAGGTTCTGGGAGCCCGAAGAAGAAGGCTCATCCTGAGATTGTTGTCAACAATTTCGGCTACGATGATGAACGTGGAGATTACCAGGTAGTCAACGGCGATCATCTCGCTTTCCGCTACGAAATCATGGATACCTTGGGCAAGGGCTCGTTCGGTCAAGTGCTGAGCTGTAGAGATCACCAGACAGGCGAATCTGTTGCGATTAAGATCATCCGCAATAAAAAGCGCTTCCATCACCAAGCACTGGTGGAGATCAAGATCCTAGACAATCTTCGTAAATGGGTATGCATCCATACTTACATCATTCTCGAAAGATGAATTAACGCGTCTTTCAGGATCACGAAGAGAAGCACCATGTCATCAAGATGACTGAGCACTTCTACTTCCGCAATCACCTCTGCATTGCCATGGAACTACTCAGCATCAATTTGTACGAACTGATCAAAGCAAACGGTTTTGTTGGATTCACAACGGCATTGATACGACGCTTCACAAGCCAGATGATATTGTCTCTGTGCTTGATGCGGCATCATCGCATAGTGCATTGCGATCTCAAGCCAGAGGTTCGTTGCTCTCGCATTGCATGCACTTTGTCTTATGATTCTGTTTAGAATGTCTTATTACGACATCCTGCGAAGAGTGCTATCAAGGTCATAGATTTCGGCAGTAGCTGCTTAGAGCACGAGAAAAGTAAGTTCATTTTCACCACGGTCCCTAAGATTTTACTGAGCCACGCGTAGTCTATACTTATATTCAGAGTCGTTTCTATCGGTCGCCTGAAGTTATCCTGGGCATGAACTATCACATGGCTATCGACATGTGGAGTTTGGGTTGCATCCTCGCTGAGCTCTACACAGGATTCCCTATCTTCCCCGGCGAAAACGAGCAGGAGCAATTGTCTTGCATCATGGAGGTCTTGGGGCCCCCAGATAAGGACTTCATCAATCGTAGCTCCCGAAAGCGACTCTTTTTCGGTAAGATGACACATTGGCGACCTTCTATCACTTTCCTGACCCTTTCTAAGATAACAACGGCGCACCCCGACCCGTGGTGAACTCTAAAGGTCGTCGTAGACGACCAGGCACAAAAACACTTGCTCAAGTTCTACGGTGTCAGGACGATGACTTTGTCGACTTCATTGCGCGGTGCCTTGTATGGGATCCCGAGCGAAGGATGAAACCTCAAGCAGCGCTGCAACATAACTTCCTCCGTGCAGGACGTCGAAGCAAGATCACTACCCCTTCGCCGGCCAATGCCAAGACTTTGCTTTCTTCATCTAGAACCAAGGTCACTGAGACACCCAAGAAGTCGCAGATTAGTGCTCCCACTCCGTTGACCGCCAGGACTTCACGAACGACCACGAATGGAGTACCCTCTACTCCAAACACGACTACTGTAGGATCATCATCTCGAACGTACCGGTCCGGCCAGTCCCACGGCCTTTCCTCCCAATATTCCAGTCGGACACTCAGTGGGTTCGCAGTGAGTCGTCAATCCTCATCGGAAATGCCGTTCGAACAAGAGCTTATGAGCTGGCTGCAGACAACAGCCTCTTTGAAATGAGCGACGATGCACACTTGACGCAACCTTTTTTTCGTTGTGCTTTCTAGTACTTACTCCTTGAGGAATTTTGCTAGTTGCTAGAGTCCTACCTACAACAAGCTGGCCTTCCTTGTTCATACCCGGTCTGCTGTATTTTACCCCTACTTGTCATTTGCATGTTATCCCATAGGTTTTCTGCATATCATCGTAATGCTCGCATCACTCAATATAGTTTCCTACCAGTCCTGTGGTTTACACGTCAACCTCTTGTTAACGACGTGTCCCCCAGAGAGTGATGAAAATAGGTCAGTCAAGCTTGATCAGTTTTTTACATATACAAGCGATTTGTGCACGTCGACTACGTCTCCAGCATGTCGTCGTGACACTAGCTTATCCTCATTCCAGCTTGCTTGCTCGATCTCTGGGCTACGAGCCCCTCGACCTAGTCCACCAGATGGACATGACCTCGACCATGACAACTTGCCCAATACTGCTCATGAAAGAGGATGTAGTGAGACCAATATATACATGTGTACAGCAAACAAACGTGCAGTAACATAGCCCGGTTATCTGGCATGCTTTCTAATTGTAGATAGAACACAATGTTGCTGCGCACAGAACTTTGTACGACATAAATATATACTTGTTCAACTCAGAAAACAATTACATCACATAATCATACCTATACACTGGCTTGAATAATCAGCGAAACATCATTCACATCGGGGCTTAATCTTGCATGGCCCATTGTGGCAGCCACTCCTCCCAATCCTCCCAGTCGACGTCAACCGATTGTTCATGTCCACGGTGTTTATGGTCTTTATGATAGCCACGAGGGTCGAGTAGGTTCGTAATGACATGCAAAGCGCCATTCCGAGCGGGGATGTCATACGGTCCAACATTGTGACCGTTGACCACAAACCTGGTGAAGTAGCGCGCAGGACCAGGAAGAGGAATCTTGGCTTTGTAGCGGGCAACCTGAACGTTTAAGGAATGGTTCTCCAGCAGGGTGGGAAGGGTGAGATTGTAGGCATATAAAGGGTTGCCGGGAGCTGCGAAGACACCAGCTTCCCGGTCATCAATGAAGGCAGTATAAGATGTAGCATTATGCACATAGTCTATAGACAAATGAAGTTAGATTCACGACAAGACAACTGTTTAAGCATGCTCACCTGTGTGCAGCACGAGTTGAGGCACAACATGATACTCCAGAAGTTTCCTGAGCGCTTTAGCGCCAAAGGGCGAAAATAAGAAAAATCTTAATTTCTTGGGAAGACGCTGGAATGCTCCTGATGTGGGGGCAAAGAAAGTGGCAATTTCTGCGCCGGCGAATGATATATGACAATCTTTGCCGGGAATCCGCCAATAATCAACTGTGCCAGTTAAGCCCACGCGCTGGATAGCAGACGTCTGCACAATGTAAAATATAAGAGGAGCAAATAAAAAGGAACAAGATTACAAACTTACCACGTATGAGAAGACTTCGGGAAAAGCAAACATCTCACTGAACAAGGAAGGGGGAGGCAAGAGTGGGATATTGATACTGTGGATGATACCTGGTCAATCGTAAGCATGTGCCCCATTACTCAGTATCAAATCGCTCACCATTGCTAGCCTCAGTATCGCGCTTTATGACATCTACCACAGTATTAATCCTGAGTCGAGGGGGAACAATCGTGCTCTGAACACTCAAGCGCAATGGTTGATAGTCCATGCTCCCATCATTCAATGTCAAATTCGTTGCATATGTAGAGTTTTGAACGAGCGCAGTAGAATCCAACTTCTCAGGCAAGATGTGATACGCGAGGATAGCGCGAATGATGCGGCCAAGTGCCTCCTTACGGTGGTCCTTGTCACGAGACTCAGGGATGTTATCAAGTTCTTCAACCTGAAGGACGAGGTGGCCAAGGTCATAAGCGATATCACGCTCATCCCCACGCTTAGGTGCGAGAGATGCGAAATCGAGCTGATGATTGTCGTCGTCATCCCCATGTGAGGGCTGACGATGTGGAATACCTGTATTTGGAACCGCAAAAAAAGTGATGCTAGAGAGGAATAGCGTCGAGTAGGCGAGGAGCGCTGGCATATGGGTACTTACCTGGCTGCAGGATCGTCCAAAAGGTCAGTGATCCCGTCGCTCAAGTTGATGGCTTTGACTAAACGCGAGTACCTGCTACGCTGTGAGCATGCGTCAGACCTGATACCATTAAACGAGTGACCTTTCGTCGTCTTTCAAAACCTGGTAAATTGTCCTGTCCTCCGAAAGGGGAGCAAATATGCCCCAGCAGCGAACTAGCCCCTCGACGGGAAATTGCGGAAGCCAGGAAAGCGTAGGAAGAGCATACGCGCCTCCAACACAGAGTATGGGCACAAGATTATGAATTCTCATGTTAGTACGCCTATTTCTGACGTATCAGTGGAATCGATGGTGAAGATGCAATAAGAGGGGCTAAGGCTCTTATATAACCCCTAATATGAATGCTCTCCGCAGCACGGGCCCAGCTGGCATCAACTGCGCGTGACGACATGGGCGTTAAACGTTATTGCACAGCATCATCGATAATCAGACCTGATACATGGGGACAGTGCTCTCGCAGAAGTTGTCAGCATGTACGCACTGCAGAGTGCAGAGTGTATCATAACTGGTATTATGCTATGGGTTACAAAGTGTTATGACAACGTCCGACCGCGAGCATGTTCGATCTACTCTACCATCTGGCGGAATTTGTCCTGGATTTCCGTGTGCAGCGCGTCCAGCTTCTGCATGATAGGTTCCTGTCCTTGCGAGGGAGACTGACAGACAAACTCGATAAAGCGAAAATAATCACAAGATAATGACAGACACGTACCTCGAATTTCATTTGTGAGAGTTTAAACATGAGATCACTCGCAGTATCCTTAATTCTCGCGAACGTCAGATCGCCTTGCGCCACCGCTCTCAGCGCTGAATCGTGGAACGCGACAAAATTCTTCAACATTCCCGCAGTCTTGTAGAACGGACAGTAGCGGTCGTACTCGCTCATGCCATTCTGCTGCAGGAAGTCGTCCTTGAGCATCCGCGCGACCTCCAGCGTGATTTTATCCGATTCTCCCAGTGCACTTTTCCCGACAAGTTGCACGATCTCAGCGAGATCCTCCTCCTTCTGCAGAATCTCTTTCGTTTTCATGCGTAAAGACACGAAGCCTGGTGAGTTGGACTCATAGTAAGGCTCAAGCACTTTTGTGTACTTGGAGTACGACAAGTTCCAGTTAACAGACGGGAAATGCTTGCGCTGTGCGAGCTTCTTGTCGAGGCCCCAAAAGACCTGCACGATACTAAGTGTAGAAGATGTGACGGGGTCCGAGAAGTCACCACCCGGCGGTGACACACTAAAATGTGATCAGGATAATGTCCACACAGAAGTAATTCCTACCTACGCCCCAACAATCGACACTGTTCCTTGCCTCGCTGGGCTACCCAAACACTTCACTTTCCCGGCACGCTCATAAAAGCTCGCCAGCTTGGTCGACAGGTAGGCAGGATATCCTGAATCGGCCGGCATCTCTGCCAGACGACCCGAAATTTCACGTAGCGCCTCAGCCCAGCGTGATGTCGAATCTGCCATCATTGCGACGTTTGAACCCTGATCCCGGAAGTATTCTGAGAGTGTGATGCCGGTATAAATCGAGGCCTCGCGAGCCGCAACTGGCATATTGGAAGTGTTAGCAACGAGTGTGGTACGCTTCATAATGGGTTCTTGGCGAGAGCCAATTTCCATTGTAAGTTCAGGGAACTAAGGGACGTCAGTGTGTGCTTATATTGGATGGGCAGTGATATCACCTCCATCAACACTTCAGCCATCTAGAAATTGTATTTGAGGAATGAAGCAATTTGAGACATCTTGAATAACGCACCTCATTTCCTCGCTCACCACATCCGACGTAGATGATGATATCGCTATTCGAGAACTTGGAGAGCGCTTGTGAGATGACGGTCTTTCCACAACCAAAAGCACCGGGGATGGCAGTGGTGCCACCTTGCACGCATCTATACACCTGTCAGCGGTGAACCATTGATAGTGGAATACACACACGGAAAAAGTGCATCCAGGATGCGCTGACCAGTCAACAAGGGAAAATCGGCGGTTTGTTTCTCGGCAACGGGCCGAGGGGCACGGACTGGCCACAACTGCATCATGGAGTGTTTTGTTGTCCGACCCTCGAACTCGGTCTCTAACACGATGTCCTAATGAAGACAATCAGGTACAGAGTTTATGGATGTAATTGTGCTGCGAACGCACATCGACTGTATAGCTGCCCTTTTCTGCGATGCGGGTGATGGTACCGAGAGCACGGGGAGGAAGCATGATCTTGTGGTTGTCGACGAGCGAGTTTTCGTAGACACCGCCAAAGATGTCACCTCCTGATATGTGATCGCCGACCTTATACATATCGATCAGTACATTACTAATGTTCGATCAGTGTCGAATCACCTTGTATGTGGCAGGAGTGAAGTCCCAGGATATCGAGCGATCCAGTGCCTCTGTGTTGATACCGCGAGGTATGTAGATTGATTTGGACAGTTCTTGGATGGACTGTATCCCATTAAATGAGTTATCTACGCGGCTGAAATGAACGCTTACTCGGAGTGGTCTCTGAATACCATCGACAATATTACCCATCAGACCTGTGGAGAGCTGAGAAAGCACAATGCATAGTACATTATTTAAATAACACACCTGGACCCAACTCAACACTGAGGGGTTTACCTGTCCTTAGGACAGGGTCACCGACGGTCACGCCCGACGTCTCCTCGTACACCTGAATCGTTACTTTATCTGCCTCTATTCGAATGACCTCTACGCCTAATGAGTCTCGCTTCGTTCCAGTACCAAGGCTGCGCACCTCCGACGAGCTCGTCGTGGCCGACGCGAACAAGCTCGTACATAGCAGCTCCAGTCATGTTCTCTGCAATGACAACAGGCCCTGAAACGCCATACACATGACCAAAGCGAGATTCATGGTCTTCATCTTGGATTTTTGGGAGGTCGCGCTTTGCGTTCTGGAGAGCACCTGCCATCGTACACAACTACAAGCTGTGGGTCGAGCTTACCGGGCAGCATGCCCAAAGCGGGGTGTGAATATCCTCGGTGGTTGCCGAGGCGCGTTACCCAGTGCAGTGACGCGTCCCATAGCATAAGCAGTCTGTACTTGCTCGCCGTTCTCTCCGTCAGGAACACTTCTTTCACCATCCGACACGATGCCTCCAAAAGCGTAAGCCCATTCAGCACGCCTTTTCTATCTCATGCTAACGATATTTATGTAGTGATTGGGAGAAATGTATGTACAACTTGACAAGTCCATTGTGCGTCACTGATTTCCTACAGACGAGAAGAAGGCCGATGACAAGGAGGAGAAGATTCAAGGTGTGTCAATTGTTTTCCCTGCTTATGTTCTGTTCTAACACCTTTTAGCTCTTACAACTAGCGATATCCAGATCCTCAAAACCTATGTAAGTACAATATCCGTATGCTTTGTCCACCTACCAACGCATTCTCTGCAGGGTCAAGGCGCATACGCCGCAAAGTTGAAGAAGACAGAACATGACATCAAAGAAGTGCAGAAGCGGATAGACGAGAAGCTTGGTGCGCGCAACTCTGTCCGCGCCGTTCATGGACTCATTTCAATGCAGGCGTGAAGGAGTCTGACACAGGCCTTGCTCCGCCGAATCTCTGGGATCTTCCAGTTGACCGACAACGCATGGGAGCTCATCCATTGCAAGTTGCGCGGTGTACTAAAATCATTCCTGTTGATCCCAAGAAAGCTGAGGCTGCACGCGCCGTCAACCCTGTCGGTGCCGCTCAAGGCCAGAAGGGGGCCGACGAGCAGGACAAATATGTCATCAACATCAAACAAATAGCTAAATTTGTCGTTGGTCTCGGTGATCGAGTCGCCCCGACGGATATCGAAGAGGGTATGCGTGTGGGGTGTGCAGAATTACTTGTACAAAACGCTGGTGCACTAACATTTCAACAGTGTGGACCGGAATAAATACCAAATCCAAATCCCACTGCCACCCAAGATTGATGCTTCGGTGACGATGATGCAGGTTGAGGAGAAGCCCGACGTAACGTACTCGGACGTTGGTGGATGCAAAGAGCAAATCGAGAAGCTGCGTGAAGTCGTTGAGACGCCGCTACTATCAGTGAGTTGTTCTTACGCTCAGTCATGCTGAATCACTGACACCGTCCAAGCCCGAGCGCTTCGTCAAGCTCGGTATCGATCCACCAAAGGGAGTCCTTCTCTTTGGGCCACCAGGAACTGGCAAAACTCTTTGTGCACGTGCAGTCGCCAATCGCACAGATGCCACCTTCATCCGCGTCATTGGCTCAGAACTTGTGCAAAAGTATGTCGGCGAGGGTGCACGAATGGTTCGCGAGTTGTTTGAGATGGCCCGTTCAAAGAAAGCTTGTATTATTTTCTTTGACGAAGTCGACGCTATCGGTGGGGCGCGATTTGATGATGGCGCTGGTGGTGACAATGAGGTGCAGCGCACAATGCTGGAGCTGATTAACCAGCTGGATGGATTTGACCCCCGAGGGAATATCAAAGTGCTCATGGCCACAAATCGACCAGATACTCTTGACCCTGCATTATTGCGTCCCGGTCGACTTGATCGACGGGTGGAGTTTTCACTGCCTGATAATGAGGGGAGGGCTCATATTCTTAAGATTCATGCCCGAAGGTTGGAGACTACATGTCCACACTTATCAGCTAGCTGATAACTTTCTTCAGTATGAGCGTCGAACGCGATATCCGATTCGACCTCATTGCTCGACTATGTCCCAATACGACGGGTGCTGAACTTCGCTCAGTTGCAACTGAGGTGAGAATTGATCTGCAGCACTAAACATATTCTAATTGTATCCTATCTAGGCTGGCATGTTTGCAATTCGTGCCCGGCGGAAGGTCGCTACGGAGCGCGACTTCCTCGATGCTGTAGAGAAGGTCGTGCGACAAGGGACGAAGTTCTCGTCAACGTAAGCTATTGTTCATATTTTGCCTGAAGAAATCTCATCATATTTTGCTACCGCAGACCTCTATATCAAGTGTACAACTAGATTATTTGACTTTAAACTTGCATGTATCATTCTTCCAAATCACGCATTTTCATGGACCGCTTGAGCATTATCTTGTGGACAAGGACTACAGCACTGAGCACACTCGAGTCTCGACCACTTTCGTATTAACGCAATTTCCTAACAAAGCTTTTACTGTGATCTCCATGTCGAATGGGCACGAGGTTCTATACAGCTCAATGTTCATGTGGGCCTGCGCTCGACTGTTCTTTGATGCTCTTGACCCTTTTTGCGCAGATTTATGAACTCCTTGTATGCATTAAATATTCATGACGCTTGCTGAGGAGGACACTGTTTCAAATTGTCTGGTACATACATACTAGGACATGCAACGTCTACTGCATGGTCTCATCTTGTGCTGATTTATATAAATGAATGCCATAATTCGGAGGTACTAATGTCGACATGCTTGTTAGCTTAGAACTGCACCGAATATTGCACTGTATATCAAGGAACTGTTACTACTCAGGGGAGACTCGAGAGCTTGACTCGGAACTAGTAGCGGCCTAGTTTTGTACAATCATGATGATGACGATCAACCTTCCAGTGCGCGCCCTCACAGTGCGCACCATTCAACGGCGGCGGTACCATGTTCGTCGTGCACCGTTGCCACCGTCCGGTGAATCTGCTCGACTTCTCGACTCGTTCGCAGCACATCCGCCACTTCCTCTAACGCTTTCAACCCTTGTGTCCTTCGGGAACCCTTTAACACCTGCATCTGTGCTGCGCTCAGTAACCTACGTACTTTCGGAGATACCAAGACGTATGGCCCAGCGCGTCCGCGCCCTGGAGGGGTTGCCATTCATTGTCGGCACTAATCCATATGTTACACGAACTCTCAACGGTCACAGAGACAGCTTTAATTTACTCGCCACTTATCCTGAAGTGCGCACGCTTGAGGACAATAAACATTTTGTCGATGAACTAGATATACTTGTGCAGAGACACAGAAACGATATACCAACCATGGCCAAGGGGTGCGCTGGTACTTGTGCTTCGAATGATCAACTTGACTTCAACAACTCTTAGATTTCAAGAATGCTCGCGGTACATGTCCCCGACTCAAATATCCAACTTCCTCGATGGTGCTATCAGATCCCGCATCTCTGTACGCCTGATTGCTGAACAACATATCGCGCTCTCACACGCACTTGCTATGGATCCAGGGGCCGCAGAGACCGGCGTGCTCTTGCACAATGGTGTCATTGATCCAAAGTGCTCCCCCGCGGTCATGGTCCGCATGTGTGGCGCATTCGTCAGCGAATTATGCGAGGCTACCCTTGGCGCAAGCCCCAACATCACGATTGACGGGTGTCCAGAAGCCACATTCACGTAAGTGTAACATATCTCCAGCAGAACCTATCAACATAATCTCCCTCCACTTACTAGCTATGTCCCTGTGCACCTTGAGTATATCCTCACCGAAATGCTCAAGAATGCATTCCGCGCTACCGTAGAGCATCACCACAAGCTTCATGGCCTCGCTTCATCCCACCCCCTACCACCCGTACAAATCACTATCTCACCCCCTACTTCATCCCATCCATTCCTATCAATTCGAATTCGCGACCAGGGTGGTGGCGTCTCAGCGTCCAACATGGCTCGTATATTCTCATATGCTTTCACTACCGCAGGGCATGCCGACGACCATAACGGAGACGGTGGGCCGTACGCCGCACAGCATATTGGCGGGAGCGCAGCCATCGGGAGTGGTAGTGCGGGGGAAGGCGGGAACCTTTTTGGCGAGATTACAGAGAAGGGTATCCAGGTGGGCCTTGGAACAATTGCAGGTTTAGGGTATGGGCTCCCTTTGAGTCGGTTATATGCAAAGTGTGTTCGCCTTCTCTTTTCATCCGTGTGTAGTCTCATATCGACTTCTTAGATATTTCGGTGGTTCATTGGATGTATTTTCGCTTGACGGGTGGGGTGAGTTCGACCAAGTATTCATGCATCGTTCGAACTTGCTGATGATTTTGTAGGCAGCGATGTCTTTATCAAACTTAGATGTCTACTAGACGATGCAGGTGACGCCGAGATATAGATCCATGGACTTAATTTATGTTTAGCTGTACTTCACGCCCAACATTTTGCTGTTACCCTCACAGCTGTGTCTCTGAGCAGTTATATTACTTGTGTGTTTGCCCGATATCCTGCTGGCAATAATTAATACACGATGACTTAAATGCGAATGTTTACAAGGAGGTCTGCGATCAACCGGTGTTTAGCACGCCCACCCTCTCCCAAGTTTGAATTGGTAAGTAACTGGACTAATTTCTTTGTAGATAGTGGTGTGAATCCATTCAGTCATCTGAAATAACAGTGCCAAACCAGTGCCTCGTCATCGCGAATTTACCATCATCTTGTGTTACAGAATCAATTCGGCCAACAAATTTCCGCCCTTGCACTAGGAGGGGCAACCAGTGATCATCACCATCCCACATCATTTCATACGGGATCGGTGGCAGTATCGCGTCTGCATCAGACGTAGCGGGTGACTCAAATGAGAACCACTTCGGTCGCATTTCGTCTGACCTGGGGCCAAGTTCTTGAATTCAACAAATACCGCCGTTGCGCAGCCAAAAAGGACCTACTCTGTAGGTCTTCCTGAGTATGAACGGGCAGAAAATATCTCGATCTGGAAAGCCCATCCAACGCCGTTTGTCACGAACAACAGTGATCCTGCGTGCTCGAGGGGCGCATCAATACCGGCTTCTTCCTGAATCGCAAGTCAACATCTGGCAATTGTTTGATAGAAATGGATTTGAAAGACTTTAAGTTCGCGCATCGCAGCTCCAGTGAGCGTCTCTCCTGGTTCCACCTTGCCACCAAACCCATTGTACCTGTTATTGTGGGTTCCAAAATCACTCTCCGTAATTGTGACGAATATGCGGAAGCTTGCTTACTTGTTGATGCCAAATCCACGTTTCTTCAACCCGAGGAGAATCTGGGAATCTGAAGTGTTCTCCCCGGATGGGTGGACTGTGTAATGCTAGTACACACCTTATCGCCCTGGATGATGAACGCGTTGGTATAGAACCGCTTGTGATCGAATGGCAGCCAGTCTGCCACTCCCCCTTGAACGTATTCTACGAGGTTTCCTTCGAGCCCAGGAGGAAGTCCAGATGTCATTTTGGCTTATGGTTCTCTTCACAGATTGTATATATCTGGAGAAAATTTGCGTGTTCGTCGAATCCGCATTAGTCACACCTTCGGCACCGAGTACCGGTGGAACTACTTGATGTAAGTAACGTCTGATCATCAGGCGTCAACGTTGTTTATTTCCAGGGCTCTTGCCAAACAAACGCTTTTGATCTGTACTACAGCGGCATTAAAGCACGAATATCATTTTAGTTCAGACAGCCTGAAAGAAGCTGACAGAACGCATCATAGCGCACCCCCGACTATCTTTCAATGTTAACCCATCGAAATTGTATTGGCCAAAAATGCGCCTCATTGTCGAGTCCAACTTCTCAATACATTCGAAAGCCACTACATCCCCGCATTTTATCCAAATCGTTCTTCGTGGACAGTGAAATGAAGACATGATGTCAAGGTTTGACGCTGGTACTCGACCTCCGGGCTGACCCCTTCGCTCGTCAATTATACACAGCAATGTCAAGAATGAGAACGCGAGGAGACACATTGTCTATTTGCAGAGACGATGCTATTATGCATGAAATTTACTACTATAAACACAATATATCATCGAAAAGCCAACCGGAGGGGTGTCCTCGTAAATAGGAAAGTCACAGTATGACTTTCGCGTGTACGCAAGTTCAGCACAGTACTACCGTTTATCATCGGTCGACCGAAACATGCATCTGGCATTGCTGCATGTACATACAAGTACAGTTGCAATCATCGAGGATGTATCCATGGGGCTCAAATTCATAACACAGTTCAGGTGCTCTTCGGAAGTGGGGTCTCTGCATACAGCACCTTCATATCCGCTAAAGGATAGCGATCCCCAACCACCCAATCAGCCTTCTCCGCAATGATACGTACTTCCTGGACTGATTCAGGACTTAATGACACATCGATAGCACCGAGGTTCTCCTCGAGATACTGTGCGAGTCAAACCCATGAACGCCCGAGGTTATATAGCTACTGACCTTGATCTTCTTTGTACCCGGAATGGGGATGACATCCTCACCTTGGGCAAGAAGCCATGCCAACGCGACTTGTCCCGCGGTCGCATTATATTGCTCGCCTACTTTCTTCAGGCTATCTGCCAGTTTCAGGATGTTCGGGAAATTCTCCTTCGAGTATCTAACCAAGTACAGTTCGAGTGAGCCCCCACTAGGCACTGACACGACACATACCTGGGAACGATCCTTCTGAAATCATCAGAATCGAAGTCGTCTGGAGATTTCTTTTCATGCGGTGAGTGTCCGAATGTGTTTTACCGGCCTGCCAAACTTACATACTGTCCCGTAATCAAACCACGCCCAAGAGGCGAGTAGGCAATTATTTTGATTCCGAGTTCACGAGCCGTGTTTAGAATGTTGAGCTTTGAATCCTCGATGTCGAGGGTGAAAGGCGAATACTCCACTTGGACGGCAGCGATAGGGTGCACTTTCTGAGCACGGCGCAAGGTGTCCGCACTGCATTCTGACAGCCCAAGATACTTCACTTTCCCCTGTCTTCCCAGCGATGAGCATGTGCTAGGGTGTTAGGAACTGTTGAACGTTCGCTCACTTAACAAGTTCCGCCATAGCGCCGACAGTTTCCTAGCTGATTTTAGAAAACTTCAAACAGCTCACAAACAGAGACGTACTTCGATTGGCGTTTGTTGATCAGGTCTGCGTGATGATGATAATAAAGTAAGTTGAGTAACCTGTTTAACACGCTGGGCGCACCTGTGCAAGTAGTAAAGCTCGACCTTGTCAACACCAAGCAACCTTTGTGATTTTGCAAATGACTCGTGAACATTTTTTGGAGATCCGTCAACCCCTCTACTGTCAGATTCACTGATGACGATACCGAATTTTGTAGAAAGGAAAATTTTGCTCCGCTTTTCGGGGTTCAGCTTGAACCTACGCTCCTGGTTTGTGAGAGGCTATTACTGTTACAGTGCAGTACGACGTACCATTTGCCAATGAGCTCTTCGCTGTCTCCATAGATATTGGCAGTGTCCCAGAAAGTGCAGCCGAGTTCATACGCTTTATCCAGAACCTATTGAAAGGGGCAGTCATGAATTAATGTGGCGTACAGCAGGGTACTCGCGCTTCACCTTGAAGCGCTCCTCATCTGAATCAGTCTGACCGTAAAACGCTCCTATGCCCATGGCACCAAAGCCAATGGTAGAGACATCGTCGGTGCCAATTTTGCGTGTGGGATTCTTGGCCATAATGTTAGATATAGCTCCTAAGGTGGCGGATACTGGAACTCACAAGAAGAAAGAAATGGCTTTATATCCCCCAGTCTCTTGGCTTAGTTATTCAACGGGTGACTGAGAGAGACTCGGACACACGCTGGATAGAGCTGACGCAATTGATCATGACATGCTCGTGCCGCGGCCGTGACGTGGCATTGAAGCGGGACACGGCACCACCGGTAACAAAATATTGGAGAAAATCTGCGCGTAGATTGGTGCCGAATCGTGTCGTCAAATCCACATTATTCAGACATTCGGCACCTGGCACTGGTATGGGCCCACGGTGGAACTACGTTGACAACAGGCCGCGTCCACGTGTTGTTTATTTCCAAAGTTCTTGCCAAACAACTGCTTTGCAACGGATCTATACACATTTGGTGCTACATATACAATATTACAAACTACAACGGCACATCAGACAGAAGGTAAGAGTCATATGCATGTAAAATAGCAAAACCTTTCATGTTAGACACGACTCCATGCTTGACCCACGTCTCATACTCAACAACAATGCGATCACACATAAGAGCTGTAACAGTACTTCCATTTTGCGCCCCTCGAACAAGGCAGATCATCGAGATGCGGCCGTAGAGCTTGTACAAACATCATCCGTCAGAGCTCACCAGCATCCATGTAAAAACCATAGATCAGCTAGGGGAAGAACAATGCAACGAGATATAGGTACACAAATTAAATCATGACTCCTTCAGGAATCAGCTTACAATATCTATTATCTCGAGTTGAGCATTATGCCTTTTCTTTCATCTGCCTTCTGACAAATATAAACCGCATGACCGCATACATTATACCACCAGTCACTGAAACGGCCTGTTGTCGAGTTGACGTGAATTCCGGAAAAAATAGTAACCATGGTCAACTCACCCCGGAGAACACAGCGGGTATCCACCAGGTATAATTCGATGTCAGCAGAGCGCCAGATATGGGTGTTCCTGTTAGAGAATTAGAATTAGAGGCAAGAAATGGCACAAATGCGCCTACCGATCAAGCCTCCGAACCCTGCAGAGTGATTACATATGATGTAGAAGTGTGGCTGATACTACGTACCGCTAATGAAGAAACAGATGCCCATCCGCGCGCTATAATCTAAATTAGATGGTTCGTACATCTGAATTTAAACTATCACTCACCCAAGCTCAGAGAGGTCGGGCGTTAAAGTAGCCACAAGCGGAGCCATCATTGCAATGTCTGCATCATCGATCAATACATCAATAAATTTTCACCAAATGGAAAAGAAGACCACTTACATAGCCCTGCAAAATAGCCATACATCATACTAAGTACAACGGCGCTTGCCAGGCTACTCAATCCAATCATGCCCAAATTGAGCACACCGGCCGAAATCGTTGCAGCTATGACCAAGTTTGGCACTCCCGTGAACGCCGCGATGAAACCTGACGTGACTCGTGCCACACAATTGGACACATTCAAAATCACTAACTGGTGATGCTGTCAGTAGGCAAACAACTGGCATAGCGCTGATCCCACAGAGTAAAACGAGAAGGTCACACTGAGACCGTGTTTAATGGAGTCGAGTTGAATGAAGAACAACGGGTAGTAGAAGCCGGTCTGAAAAAAAAAGCCCCTGCAGGACAGTCATTTGAAGGATTTTAAGAGAAGTTGTGTTGAGGTCTCACCCTGCTATCATGCAAATAAATGGTGCATCGCCAATACATTTTTTGGCTGCCACAATATAGTTCGCTGGTGTCACCGGCGGATCAAGACGAGTTCGCATGCATAGACATGCAATCAAAAGGAGCACACTGACAAACCCTGCGCTTACGCGGACGCCATTCCCAAAACCAAGACGACCATTCAGGAGGTTATTGAGCATAATCGGATGGATGACAGCACCCAGCGATGAGCCCGAAGCGACGAATGTCATAGCTAGTGTGCGTTTCTGTTGGAAGTAATGCGAAACAATAGTGATGGTCGGGACATACACGAGCCCCGACGCGATACCCATGCCTAGACCTTGAGCAAGAAATATCTACACTAAATCAGAAAAAAAGGTCGTAAATTTAGGAGACGTTACCTGATAGTACTGATCGGGTTTTGACAAAGACAACATGAAGAGAGAGAAACTCTGCAGGAGCGATCCAGCGATTATGAGGTGGTAGCTAAAGTAAGTTTGCTAAGTATCCTCGAAAACTTCCAACAAAACTACACCCACAAATATCCTCGGTCGTATAGCGGACCTGATACAAGGCCCACAGCAGTGACTAGAAACGTGTTCAGGCTCCCGATCCATCTTTAGGGGACCTTGAGCATACACATCATGAAGACACAAGTGGAAACTCACGATATGGCAGACGATGTCTCGTTTGCGAGGTAATGCTGAGTATAGAAGTCTGGAAAGTAATAAGTATCATGTTCCATTCTCATTGCCATATACAGCAATACCTTGGTAGACACCAAATGACATGGTATAACTTCAGCCTTCAGTCAAGAGCCATTCTTCGTCAACCACAAGTGGCACCAGACTCACCCAATCCCGCATAACTGTGCAAGAAATCTGAGTAGATCAAGTAAGGCCCTGCTTTTACTGCCCGGATTGGAGCTGCTTACGCTCCAAAAATTGTCATCCAAGCAGCTAGACCACCTTCGGGAAACTCGTGCGGGTGTGAGAAGAGGTCGGAGTCCTTTGCGGAATGGGATCCTTCCAATGTCTCTGAGCCCTCCTTGTCCTGTTGAGGGGCCGTATAAGGCATTCGAGGCTCAGATCCAGACGACATCCTGGGCTAGGGCAATTTACAGTAACGGTTGTATATATATACGTGGACCCCATGTTCGTCCAGTCACGAGTGGAGAAACCTAGTCTCGGCTTGTCGGGAGAGAGTGAGAGCGTTTACACAAACTGATGAGAACGGGTAAACTTGAAGCACCTCAAACAGACCGTGTACCCAACACTGGCCCATAGTCGTGGCCCAAATCATTTTATAGAATTCTTCGATCCACCTGGTCGATGGCAGAAGAATTAGATAATCTGTACAAAAACGTTCATGTCAGGGCTTGATCCATATCGACAAGCTCGAAACGGAAAATGCATCGGCCTGACCATTGTACCTGAGGACATGATGTGGGTATGGCGGTTCTGCATACACCCGGAGCGGCTGTGGCGTACAGCGCTGACATTTTTGACAGGCCCAACACGCATGGTTCGAGCTTGCTGGCTCACCTTAGCCTGGTCCTCGGCGCCCGAGCTCAATTCCGACATATTAGAGATGAAAAAATTTCGCGTGAGACGCCGTCCCAACGACTAACTTTGTACTTGATATCTCTCTGACGCAACCTGTACATGCGGGCTTCATGTCAGCGACGAAAAGCTCGACTGTTAACATTGTTCAACCGATCGCAAGTATCCAACCAGTATGCCTTGCGTTTCGCCAAGAAAATTCAGCACGCTCGAGCAGTAGGAACATTCTTTGCCACAGCATTCGCGAATTTGCACTGAAGGGTGCTTAACAAGTGAAGGGGAGGCTTCATGTCAATCATGTCACCTTGCCCGCCAGTCTACATCACGAACTGACTCGGGCTCCCCAATTTTTCTTTTGGATTGAACAATGTCCGTACGGCACGCCACAGGTCTGACGTTGCGAAACTGATAGGATGATCATTCATCATGTAGACGTAAAACACGGATGGTGTAACTCACTGTATAAAATTAGAAACGTTGACAAACCTGTTTACCAACTCATATTATAAATCTTCTTAGTAACTAAGTTAGGTAGTTCAAAGTCAGCTTGATTATCTAAGATTTAGCGGACGAGCTCGTCTAGCACTACCGCACCTTCTCACCCACCGTCAAGATCCCCGTGTAGCATGTAAGTGTTGCTGTTCCGCATCTTGGTCTGAGTATGGCTGGCTGGATGTGATTCGAATCGGAAGGAGCAGTGGACTTCGAGTGGTCGGGGTGGATGCTGTCCGATTGCTTTGGATGTGATTCTGTAATAACAGGCACTGGGTACTGATTTCAACTCCTTCAGATTACAACAACAATGGGTCGTCGTCCCGCCCGCTGCTACCGTTACTGCAAGAACAAGCCCTACCCCAAATCACGGTACAACCGTGGTGTCCCTGATCCTAAAGTTTGTTCACCCACGACCCGTCGCTTTAAATCTCACTCTCCATAGATCAGGATTTTTGACCTCGGCCGTAAACGTGCCTCCGTCGACGAGTTCCCCTTCTGTTGTCATCTTGTCTCCGATGAGTATGAGCAGCTGAGCTCTGAGGCGCTCGAAGCAGCTCGTATTTGCGCTAACAAGTATGTCACCAAGACATCTGGCAAGGATTCGTTCCACATGCGCGTCCGTGTGCACCCATTCCACGTTATCCGTATTAACAAGATGTTGAGTTGTGCTGGCGCTGATCGGTTTGTGACTAGGTTTTGAATTCTTGGTGCGAGTCTTAGATTTTTTGGTACAGGCTGCAAACCGGTATGCGTGGTGCTTGGGGTAAGCCCTACGGCACTGTCGCCCGTGTCAACATCGGCCAGATCATCCTCTCTATCCGTTGCAAAGAATCCAATGCTGCTGTCATCCAAGAGGCTCTCCGCCGTGCACGGTACAAGTTCCCCGGCCGTCAGAAAATCATTGTTTCGAAGAAGTGGGGCTTCACGAATGTGGCCCGCGAGGACTACATGAAACTCAAGGATGAGAAGAGAGTGGTACAGTGCGTATTATCCCAGGTTGTCTGGAGAATTTTTGAGATTGACCCTCTGTTATACAGGGATGGAGCTTATGTACAGTTTATTCGTGCTAGAGGTCCTTTGGAGCAGAACTTGCGTGCTCAGCTCAAAGCTTAGGTCTACATGCGTTATACATATAATTGCTTTCAGTGGAATGAGTGTAAGATGGACTGCAAGCACCTGCATGCTAGGAATTCGTCAGTTTGTGCGAGATAATCTATTATGTGAGTGGCGAGATAAAGTGTATACACCATATCATCATCAAAAATGCGTCATCAAACCTATACAGTGTTGGCCAGCGTCATTGAACTGAGGTTCAGTGAGGGGTACAAGGATCCGAGAGGTTGTAGCTCAACGGTTTTCTGCATGAAGAAGTCATCGGCTCCTCCCTGGCGCAATATTTTCGTACTTGAACCACAGGCGGTGCGATGAGATCATCGACCTGGAGTTGTGTCCAGCTATTTGGGACGGTGAATGTTAAGCGGTGAAGCCCTCAATAAAAGCTCCTACTGGTACTAGATCCGCGTGCGGATATCCTATCAGTAGTACACTAGCAGACTCGATGTAACTGACCACGTATACAGATTTGTATATGTTCTCTGTGGCTAGGGTCGGCGCATTTTCTTGCAAAGGTAGCACATGAGCCACCTCGAAGAAATCCCCTTGAGGGTCTCAACTGTGTGTTAGGATAGTCCATGTAGGCCTAGAACACGTCAAAAGGTGAGAACCCACCGAAGTACGACACTATTTCACGCAGTGTGTTGCGTGTGTCTGGCCTTGCGGGCCCGGGTAAGACATTTGATGGTGCGGATAGCGACGCTTCACCTCACTGGGAAGTAATATGTCAGATGTAGAGCCATCCTCTTGAGATTTGTCGCGCATCTTAACGGTTTCATCATGCTGAATATGTGCAATGGCTCCCGCTCATGACCAGCGAACACGAGGAATGCTGGAGTCAGCATCAATACTGCAGTAATTATGACGATTGTTGATCACCATATTGTTTTGGTTTCAGAAACTCACATCAATGTCCAATAGAACTCGAGGGTGGTGATGCAGAAGTCCTGCCTCGTAATTGTACTATATGTTTGAATGAATGGACGAGTGTTGCATATTCAAAGTAGAAAGCTATCTCCATGGGCTACTGCACATGATATAGATACCCTACATACCATGAATCATGATCACGATTGCTCTGTTACCACGCGTTAGTCTGCCAGAAGTCCGAGATAACAGTGACAAACGTGCCTAATCCAGTCAAGTGTGTTAGTGTCTCAGATGTACACGGGAATCGCTGGACAATGCGATAGGGAAATTCCTCGGGATGACTGAAGTAACAAAAGATCAGCGGACTAGTCTCAAGAACAAATGAGATTTTACAAACACAGCGACCCCAGTGGTGTACTTTGGAATGACTGGGATGTCCATGCCATGACTATCAAGAGCCTTGTGGGCCGAAAAAACAGCCAGGAAGCTTGCCATCGCGATCCAGAGTGACGCGTCTGCGACATGTCGTCCCACACTGACAAGCAGCTTTCAGTGGAGAGTGAAGAAGCACTAAACATATGCTCACCACATCCGGCGACCCCAGCCAAAGCCTAAATGCATCCTGTCGTTGGTGAGGGACCCATCATCATGGAGAAATCGTTCGGGCTTGAATTCCTCAGGACTGGGGTACTTCGTCTCATCATGTGTCATCGCCCTAAATCATTGGTCATTTCGAGCGAATTCAGTAAAAAAATGTTGCAGGCTTTCCATATATTTTTAAACACGATAATCCCTGATAATCTGGGTCATTAGCGACCTTCGCTAGAACAGTATGATACCAACCTTTGGGGATGAAATAACCTTTGTAGATGTCACTAGTCGTTGTTGCGCTAGGAATGCCTTGGTACTTCATCAGAAAAAAGCGTAAAATTGGCGTTATAGTGGACGGACCCAACGGAAATATAGGGTGCCACCTGAGTGTTTCACGCAAAATAGCCTCCACATAAGGCAACGCAGGCCTATCGTCGAAACCGGGGAGTCTATCTTTTCCAACGACTCGGTCAATTTCCGCGTGCGCTTTGGCTTGTGCTTCTGGGTGGAGCACCATAGCAAGAAGGAACACAAGTAACGTGGAGGTAGTCTGAGCCAATGGCAAAGTGATCACCACGCCAAGCACAAACAAATGTAATGCATATGTACCGTTTCAACGCCCCCTGAAGATAAAAAGTAAGGTGAGCACAAAGAGAGCAAGTTTTGCAGCCCGGGTACCTGCAAACGCCATACAAGCAGCTTCCTTGACTGCAGTTGTAATGACGTTGTCATCCTCAACAGAAAGCCTCGCCCTGTTCAAGGTCTCAGTCACAAAGCATGGTGCCATGTTGCCAGTGGACTGCATGCCATTCGTCAATTCACTGCACCAACATGGATGAGGCGATGTACCATCTTCTCTTTGACATATTGGAAGGGTAACTCCTTCACATCATGGGCTGCGTTCAGACACTTCACTGATGCTCGCTTGAATGTGGCACCGGGAAACCAGCTAGGTAGCCTCAAAACTAGTATCTCCGTTGAGATGTAACCACAGGCCATCATTGAATGTGTGAACATACGAAAAGGGAATGTCTCAATTGCCACAGTAGTACGTGGCGTCAACATTTCTACTGCCACTTCCAGGTACGTTTCAATGACGTGGAGAATGGTGTCGTCCTTGGCTTTAACTTCATAATCATACACAATAGACAGTATAGACGAAGCTGTGAACCTGATGGATATCAGCTTCAGCAGTGGACCAGAAAGACTGTTGCAAACCGACATCTTGACATGGCTTGGATAATTGCCTGGGTCTTGTAGAAGACTAAACAGCATTTTGTGGGCGGAACGGAGTGTCAAAGCGTGATAAGTAGGTATCTCAGCTTGACGAAATGCCTGATGGAACATGCGTCGATGTAGGCGCCACCTCCTGGACATCAGGTACACTAACATAACATATAACAATAGCTTACCTGTCTCCATATGGCATGAGCCCTATGTTGAAGTCCGACGCGAAGCTGACAATGTCCCTGTAATCAATAGGTAGCGATACTAAAAAATATAACTGACGGTTCGTAGACAATGGACTGGGGTTTATCCGAATATATAGTGGACCGGCCTTCAAAAAGGTCTTTCGCAATCTCCTCAGAATTTATCACGATGACAGGCTTGTTGAGCAGACGAGCAAATATGATATCGCCTGAAAAAAAAAACATGAGTTTGATGACAGAAATATTTCCATCAAGATGTGCCAACCATATGTGGATCTCCAGGCGTTGAGGGTCAGCCAAGGTCGAGCGGAATCAAGACTGAGAATATTTCCCACTATTGGGAGGGGAGTAGGACCAGGCGGCAGGGGAGGATGCGAACTATTAAGCCAGTATTTCCGACAACAGCTTAAAAAAGCTACTGCCAAGGCTGATGTAGCCAGGTAAAGGCCTGGTCCGTCGTCGAACATTGGGTGCTTAAACCTAGGAGGAAGGGGCGATTTGAAGTTTAGTATTTATCATGTTGGACTAAATAAACGATCCTATCTAGGATCTCAAAAGTCACAAGTCCCAACTACACACCACGTGTGATGCTGGATGATAATGACCTGACATGTGAACGGGCCATTCTGAAATAGTTCATCAGTGTGATAATGGGTGACTTCCCGGGGTAGCACTTAGAATCCTAGATTTTGATTCAAACCTTAAAAGTCGGAGTATGGTCTGGTAACTCGTTGCAATATTGAATCCAGAAGGGGGGTAGTTCCCCCCTTCTAGATATCACTTCAGAACTAGGGTTTTTTGACATGCAGACTTGCAAAACACTGACGTTTGATGACGGCACGAGGACTCTATAATGTATAAGTTTAGAATTAGAACAACGCTCTAAACGCTGCGGGAAGTCAATCCAATGTTGTTCTTAGTGCCACAAGAGGCGGTGGATAGCAAACTGACATGGGTGTCGAGACTCGAGAGCCTGCAGCGTGACTCAATTAGATCACCTGACTTGTGATTCACGTCACAACTCACCTGGTTCCTTTGTCTAGCCTAGGGGAGAGTAGAAAAATGTCGCAATTGATGTCCCAGCCAAGTCAACCAGATAAGGCCAAACCTGTACGACATCCATATCCTGAAGCGTGCTCCCAGCTGAGCAGAACTTCAGCTTTTGACAGCATCTGTACACGATGTTCGATACTTCGCCTCCCTCCTACGCGGAATTGGTTTTTCGAACGTGAGCGCACTGCTTTGAACTGTCATTAATCGCTGCAAACTATGGTTCAAGCGAGCATCTATGAGATTTACAGCTGGCAGCGGGATAACTGTCACTGTCGAGGAAGCGCGAACACTGCTAGGTACGTATTCGTTTGGTCCCGCAAACATCTGTACAATGGTTCACAGCGACGTCATACGTCTATGCGGACCATTTTGACGAGTGGGCATTCGACGTCGACGATCTACAGGCCGCTCCGTCTCAGTTGTCTGCACCTGATTTTGATCGACATGCCACATCATTTGAAATCCCTTTGAACACCTTGCTTGAATGCCTGAACATTTTTGGAACCGCGAACATGTCTTCCTCAAGCAGTACAAGCTCGAAGCACAAGCAGTGGCGGCGGGCCGATGATGCCTCAGATGACGAGAGGGGCGACGATGCACGGCGTCCTAATGCCATTCGTATCGATCAGCACTTCGGCGGTAACGAGAAGCGGACGAGCATGCGTCTCACATATGCGGGGCCCGGACACCCCTTGACGCTTGTTCTGTAAGCTTCAGACCTCTTGTCATGATCGATTGTACAGATATGTTGCAGTGCGGAAGACTCATCAGGACCCACAACGACGTGTGAGATATCGACTTTCGATTCTGAGCCGAACTTAGAGCTCCCATTCGATGCTGAGCAGACGTTGAGTGCCTCCTCAAATACTCCTTCATTCTGCCTTATACCTTCTTTAGTGCCCTCAAGATCATTTTCAAGGTCTGTTTAACGGACATCGAGTTTATGACGCAGCTCACACGGTGACTAGTCATCATTCTGGCTCCGCGATGCCCTTTCAGAACTTGATCCATCTTGTGAAAAAATAACATTGATTGCCAATCCTGTAGCAGATGTCCAGAGCGCGCACAGAGGCATTCCCGCTAAACCCCTCTTTCGAATACAGGGAACGGGAGCATTCGGCAGTACCGAGGTGAGTTTCTAACTTTGTACAGGGTTCAGGTTCCAATCTACTGCAGATGGACTATCCGAACGACAGAGAAGTCCTAGAAACATTCGAATGTTCGCGTAGTGTCAGCTTCAGGTACTGTTATTCGTTGTGCTGCATGCACCTAGCAATCACTGAGATGCTCGGTATTAGCTATCGATTTGCACATATATCACGCACGCTGCGAGCTTTGCAGAACTCAACAAAGACCTCTCTTCGCCTTGAGCAGGAGGGTTTGTTGAGTTTGCAGTTCTTAGTGCCCGTACCAAGGCCACGGGGTGGGATATCAGATTCTTTCATCGAGTTTCGAGTGAGATGATTTTCATTTCGTTCCGAAGGCCGAGACTGATCAGACCAGTGTCTTGCATTGGACGACGAGGTCGCTCAGTAAAATGCGTGCCCGGGCTGGTGTCACTGGAGGTTGTAGCGAGCTGTCGGATTTTCCCAACGCAAAAGGAGGTAAGGCGTTATGATCTGTACCTCGGCTGGACCAGTGCTTCAAGAATCTTACATAGACAGGTAACATAACCTGTGGCAAATTTCGCGTGTACTCATCGGTGTTTTGAAATAAGTATCAATAGCTCAGAAATCTAAGTAACGTCTACGCAACAAGTACGACAATATAACAACTAGAGTAACCCATCGAAGTACTTGGCAGAGCTGTCTTGTACCTTCGTTGCTGAGATGAGTATTGGCGCAGCCTTCGGTGAAGAAGGTGAAGGAGGGAGGTAGTCGGCGATAATATCATCAAAGGTTGCTGATGTTGTAGGTACTAGCCAGGGTGTCAAATGCGTTACAACATGATTTACAGAAGGATGACTCACTAGGTGCAAGCTTCATTTTGGCGGCTAGGCCAGAGACGATAAGTTGGCGGATGGCAGCACCGTCCAATGGCTGAGCAAGATATGAACAATTGTGAGATCAAGCTTGCGCAATGTAGCCTACCTTGACTTCTTCAACCCTTTTCGGCTCTGAAACCTCTTTCTTCGCTTCCTTGAATGTTCCCATTGGACTCGACGCTCTCCCCAGGTATGCAAGTACATCACCCTTCGTAAGCATACCGCGAACACCCGTGCCCGGGATAGCTTCTGCATCAGCAACGTTGCCCTCGATCAAGAGGCGTATCACCGATGGCAGTAAGTGTTTCGAGTGCTTCGGGTGGTGCGACACTTTGGAAGTCGTAGGTTGAGGTGTCGGTGCTGGTGCCGGAGGTGGGGGTGCAGCTGCCTGAGTTTCGGGTTGGGGAGAAGGTGCTGGCTTGGACTCCTCCTTGGGTGCCTCGAGGTTCGAGATGTCATCTCCTTCCTCAGCAAGGAGTGCAATGACTTTACCAACTTGGACGTTCTTGCTACCGTCTTGGGCCTGTATTACAGTTAGTACTTGTTGTTATTGCTGTGGAGTGATGAGACAAACGATTATTTTACCCAAGATACCATCTTCCTGTGCCTCGACATCAATGGTTGCCTTGTCCGTTTCCTGTTGAGTATATGAGGTTCGTGTGCGAACGGAAACACGTGAAGTTCATACAATTTCCAGTAGGACGTCTCCCGCAGAGAAAGACTCGCCTTCCCTCTTCTTCCATGAGGAAATGCCGCCTTCTGTCATAGTCGGCGACATGGCTGGCATCTCCAGGTTGGTGATAGCATACCGGACCTTCGTCTGGTGCAGAGCTGAGAAGAACAGTTACTCATGAGTTTTGCCAGAAGTGAAGCAGACGAACCTCTACGCTGAGCTCGCGACAAAGAACGAGCAAGGCTCAATGCTTGACGAGCAGGCCGCATCGTGAGGATGGTCGACAAACGTACGACGGTGAGCAAACTGTGAGCCGATTTATTAATCCCAAATGATGACACGGTATTCAATTCGTGGGAGTTCTTGACCCTCCTCTCGTTGACTTTCGTTCTCGCTTCCCCAGATCATCATATTGACGCCAGAGGATTCACTGAAGAAATCACTCTGAGACACATCCTGAACTTATCCCAGCAGACATCACTTAGGACTTTCATATTTGAACCGATTTCTGCCCGCAATTTACGTAACTGTGTTTGGAAGTTAGAGTGGTAGACAGTCCTCTCTCTGTGGTATGCCATCGCTGTCAATTGAAGCTCTTGTGGAGGAACGTGTGGCACAGCTCGAGTGAGTGCACTATACTCGATATCAACACACAATATTCACGCCAGTATATGTGTAGAGTAATATCTCAACGCAGAAATGAACTCCTTCGCGAGATGTACCGTATGATGAGGAGACGAAAAAACGCAGGCTCCATATCCATGTTCGACGATGAGGACGAAGTTGGACTTCAGGATTGGTTAGATAAATACGATCTCGACGAAAAGTTCGTGGCATTATTCACCAATTTTCTTCGTTAACGTGCTCATCACCGTCAGTCCCGATTCGGGCATGGTGTCAAATATTCTACCGAGCGAACTGTGTGCCACTTCATCATCTCCAACTGCCGATGAATTCAAACCAATAGACCTACCGGACGTCATCGATGTAGATTCCCCCATGTCAGAGCCTCCCGCTTCACCTCGCTCTGATTCATCTTTATTACTTCAAATTCCAGAATCCGATGACCCCTTGGCTACATCGATACCAGATGGGTCACCTCCCCGCGCCACTCCTGTGTCATGCAAACGCCCGATACCAGACGACGAGCCAGATGAACTGAATCTCGTAGCCCTTTCGCGGTCGCCATCTCAGCGATCGGTCAGTCGTCGCAGTCAATCCCTGACCCACCGTACGTCTCGCTCTAAGTCTCGTACATTCTCGCCACATTCCCCTCAACCTACAAATGCCGCCCTCGACGAGGTAAGTGAAGTCCAGGAAATACTCGTCGACTTGGGGGAAAGCATGGACGTATCCACGGAGGAAGCTAGAGAACCCTCACCTGATCTCGTCCTTCCATCGTCTTCGCCTGTCCCGAAAATGACCCCTCGCACCATAGTCTATACTACTGTGGACGTCGCATCTATTCAGCCTTCCCTCCTCATTCCCACCCCCACATCTCCAGTGACTGATCCGGCATTCAGCTTTGATGAGGCTGAGAGCGAGCCGCCTGAGGAGACGTCCTCTGCTATCTCAACACCTGTAGATGCGCCGCGATTCCAAAATCAACAACATCATCATCACCATTTCAACCCCGCCTACAGTCTACCTCCGATCAAATCATTGCCTCCTGAATATCTCCGCAAGGGTAAGTCTGCCAAACAGAAAAAGCGAGACAAGGAACGCGACAAAGCAGACGGAAAAATCAAGGATGAATGGATACCCATGGGCCTGACCAAGTGGGGTGCAACCATTCGTGCAAACCCTGTCTGGAAGAAGGTCTCTCGTGCCACCAAGTGCTTAAGCACGCGTGACTGGGGTGTAGGTGACACTAATCTGTCCCAGATGAAGTACTTATAAGTATGTAGGTTGCCATTGCCGAGGTAAGGCTCACGCGCACCCTTGAACGAGTCGAAAGCCTCGAAAATGTCGCAAAGTGGAGTTATAGGCAGCCCAAAAGACAAAAGAATCTCGGAGGTGTGACCAAGACCCACTGGGACTATCTTATGGATGAAATGGCATGATCTCTGTTATTCTTGTGGTGCATCTGGCTCATGTTCTGGTCAGAAATGGATGCGCGTTGATTTTCGGGAGGAGCGACGCTGGAAATATGTTCTCGCGTTTAACTTGTCGACTGCCGTACTGGAGTGGCATGATGCGGGGAGTCGCGAGGAGAGGGTTAGGCTTGGCATATGTGTTTTATGGAAGCGTCCCAGGTCTTCTCAAAATGCCTCTACGGAAGATGTAGACATGGACACACGGCCTACGGAGCACAATGGGTATACCCCTATGGCAGACGAGTCCGATGGCGATGAGGAGGAGGGAGAGGCGGAGCAAAGGGATATCGCAGACGCTCTAGAGTCGCGCAACGCTTTAGAAGAAGCACTGGATGGAACGGGATCTAACGAGTCCACGGACAGTAGTCAGCACCAGACTCCAGGCCCCGACCATGTTCAGCCCAAAGTTGAGGATGTTGATGATCCGTCAGCTCTGCAGGATTCAAGTGTGATGAATGTGGACATGCAGCAGGAAAATCAAGCCAAGATCGAAAGCGATGATCAGACTGGTCTCAAGGCGCATTCGACAGACCCCAATCTTGCCTCGCAGCAAAATACGCAGCACGATGCTGCTCCCGCAGAATCATCATCCAAAGCCTCCAAGGCGAACCTGTATGCACCGCTCAGAGAGCAGATCGCATACTCGGATGAGCGAAAGCTTTTCCTCGACGGGGACGACCTTGTCCTTGCCAAAGCACTCTCTGATCTGACCACAGACGACTCTGAGATTGAGTCATCACTGCCCATCCCTGATCTGTCGGACATTTTCCCCGATCTTCAACCGCTCGGCATGCCAGATGTCGTCTCTGGCTCGAACGAGGGCAAGAAGAAGGATAAGAAGTCGGGAGAGGACAACAGGCGTGTTGAGGATGCTGGGTTCACAAAGATGGCACCGTTGGGTCGCTTCATGCACTCCAAGCCGACGCTTCTTGGACCTTTGCAACCTGCTAGGCATTGGGTGAACGGGGAATGGATGATGTTCGCTGAAGAAGCAGCAGTGGCTGTGGATTTCGATAGCGCAATTGGGAAGACAGTAGATGATACTGCCTCGGGTAAGGTCGCCGTGAGAAAATGACAGTGGTGCTGAATATTATTCGCAGACCTTTTTGAGGGCAGTAGACCATCCGCAGTCAGTTCCCTTGGACTGCCATTGAAAGATGGCAAGAAGCGTTCGGAGCATCTTTGGAGCTCAGATGAAGATTCCCTTCTCAAAACCCATGTGGAAAGATATCCCAATAACTGGCTGCTAGTTGCGGATTCATTCAACTCCTCGCGCGTCACTATCTCCACCGATAAACGAACTCCTTGGGAATGCTTCGAGCGTTGGAGCAGTCGCTTCGGTAGCGGACACAGGGTCCATCCTGATGTTAACTCCCCTGTCAACACGGAGCGCACTCCGCCGCCAGCATCATCCTCGGCTCAAGGACAGATGACCACGAGAGGTGTCAAGCGATTGGCTAGTATGTCAGTTACACAAAACCAAAGTTCTGGAGCCGGCTTAACGTCTGACACCAAAAAACGGCGGAGACATACATTTATGTATGAGACGATGCGCAAAGCTGCGAAGAAGCGCGAAGCAGCACAAAAAGCGTCCAGTGAGCTATATTTGTTACTTACAGTTCTCCAGCGCTTACTGGTTCGTGTCGATTCATAAGTGAATCAGCGAAAGGCTTCTAATGTTCATGATACGCATGGGCAGTATCAAAAAATGCCTAAACTGACACCGGCTGAACTTAGTCGCATGAAGTATGAGAAAGAGTCGAGGGAGCAACAGGAACTACTCCTTGCGCGACGTCGCCACGAGGAACTTACTCGTCAGGCAATGATGCAACGCGACCCAAGGCTGCAAGCTGCGGCAGCCGCAGCCGGTGTATGTGTTGTCATCTTACCTATTTTCAAACACTATTCTGACGGCGAGTCGCTAGCAACCCCAGCAGGCGGCGGCGGCAGCAGCAGCAGCAGCGGCATCGGCAGTAGCTGCAGCAGCCCAGCAACAGCAACCAAATACACCGAGACCAGCAGCCCAGCCCGCACAAGCTGTCCCGCAAATACGGAATCAACCCGTGGCACAGGTCAATATTTCTCAGCAGCAGAGAATGCCAACACCAATGGCATCAGCGGCCGCTGCAGGGGCTCGTATGTCCCCTCAACACTTGTTGCAAGTTCAAGCTGCCCAAGCTCGTGCTATCGCTGCAGCCGCACAGGCCCAAGCCCAAGCCCAATCCCAATCCCAAGCGCCAGTACAAGCTAGCCCTACCCCTACCATTAACGGACTTCCTACTGGTGCCCACCTGTCACCTCCATATCAGTCGCGCGCTGCAACATCATCGCCCGGCGTAGCACCGCAAGCAACTCCTCCGCGTAACATAGGCACGCCATCCAACGCTGCTTCTCCCCGACCACCCTCCGCGCAACCGCAACTACCCATGCAGCCTCCTCAGATGCCCGGAAATACTGTTTCACGGCAGGCTCATTATTTCCCAGTGGTACCCACTCTTGCCAATAGTCAATTTACACAGGATCAAATAGACCAGGCCGTTCGGTTAATGCAGGTGAGCTGACTTTGTCCAGTGATAGGACCAGCCTTTGATAATGGTGCATTTTTTTCACAGCATCGGACCATGGCTCAGGCACAGCAGAATAGCCAATATCCCTCACAGGCCTGATATCGTTCAGCTGTCTGGGATTGGCCATCTATCTCTGTACCGTAGTTCATGGGCACATACGTACAGGACCATGCATGCCACCTTCATTCATTTTCCCGCCTTTCGACCGCTGGCTGTGGATTAAGAATAGTCTTGGGCGGTTGAGACAACACGTTTTCAAACCGAACAACTAATAAATACTCCTACCTGTACTCTTTGTTCGGCTTTTCGGATCGAATTTTCCTGTAAACCTCAACTTTCTTGATCATGGGATAGTGCCTTGTGCAGCAAGAATCTAAGGTGGACGAAATATTGATGCATCGTGCCTGAAAATAATCACGAATTTATGAGCTACGATATGACACAGCTGCTACCCCGCCCCTCCCCTCCCCTCCCCTCGTGATGCATCTGAACGAGCGAAGTCACGTAATAACGATGGAAAGCGTGAGAGAGAAGACGATCTACCGCCATTTTTTTTCTGCGAAAGTACATTCAATCAACAGCTGGGAAGAGTAATACTAACTCACTCAGTCGTAATGTCTCAAAACATTTGTTGTATCGATGACACGGGTGCTGGTGTCGTACTTCACGATTGCTATAAGACTACCACATTTCCGAGAATGGGCCTTGAAGCTATCGTGACGCGCGAAAGGTTTCGAACATCCTGTGCCCGTGCAAATCCACACTGCACCAAAGTGAGCGCTCAAAATATGCCGTGGAATGGCATTCGCTCGCATCTGGCTGTCACAGCCTGACCACGGGCAAGTGGTTTTCCTATCTCCTCCGCCACCTCGAGCGTCCCCGTGCCACCGCTGTCCATGGCGCATGATAGAGCGTTTGTCCGCTTTAACCCAGAGACCACAGGGAGGCCCCTCACGACCGCATGCATGGACGTTTATGTAGCCACCGTTTCCATCCATGAGGTATTCTTCGTCAATCAAAAGACCATCGACCATGTAAGCCCGAGGGCCATCAGGCTGCTGGATTTGATGTCTGTGGGCCGATTGAATTCCGTACCCCGAATTATCTAAGACTTGGTAATCTGCAGAGGAGATTTGAGGTAAGGCGGCGCCGCCACCGAGGAAAGGTGGCTGGGCGCTGAAAGGAGGGGTGGCAGCAGTACTGGACGACATTGAAGGAATAGAAATGGGCTGCATGCTCCAGGGCCGCTCTGGAGACGACAAAGGATGAACTTGAAGAACAGCATAGTCCTTCACGTCATCCAGTGCCGATTCGAAGCCATACAAACCTGGATGCTCCACTTGATTCCCTTGAGCCAATGGAGTTGTGTATCCCACAGGATGAGAAATTCGGCGGCCCGCGGAGTGAATTTCAGGTGTGGTAGCACCAGCGCCAAACGAATCTGGCTGGTATCTCAAAGGGACAACAACATTGCTACCAGAGGATACTGAAGGAAAAAAAGAGGGTTGTACGGTGGGAGGCAACCCTGGAGGCAACACAGGATGATGAACTCGAAGGGCGGCATCATTGCTCGGGTCACGGGGCACCGACTCGAAGCCAGAAAATCCTGTACCGAGAATTGTGGTGGCCTGCTCCCAGGGCATACCGCTCGGTCCATGATAAGGTGGGTACACATGCTCGTGAAATGGTGATGTTCTTATTGCGCCCCGCGGACTACAAAACCAATCGGGGAAAGTATGAGCTATAGGGCGAACAGTATGCAAACGCAATTACTTACCTCGAGTTAATGATAACATCAGGGAAATGATTTTGAATAGGCAGTATATCACTAGCACTGTCGTCACACAGACTAATCGTGCATGTGTCGGGACACACCTTATGCCGCCACGGTAATGCACACCCGTAGCACCGTTGTCAATATAGACTTCTACAAATGACGGCAATAACGCATTCCTGTGAAAAACTGGGAGGTGAAGACAGTCTCGCTTGACACTGGGAGGACACTTGCATTAGATTGAGTGGTCCACCAAGTGCCGCCGCCAGCAGCTCATAATTATCAAGAGGAATGTATACCACTACTCTTGTGATAGTCGAAAGTCCTCTGCGAAACGTCAGGTCTGATGAATCCAATCAAAAATGCTGGCATACTGGATCGCTGACGATAGATCCTCCCGCACAGCAGAATGAGCAATCGGAATGAGACCTGGGATGACATTTGTGTTCGGCATTGGGTGAATCAAATTTGTGACCAGGAGTGTTAGATAGCAATCGGTGTTAGATAGTGTCCTAGCGATTATATTAAGTATTGAAAGGCCTGTAGTTCTAGAAAACAGCCAGCCAATGAGGCGGTGTATGGCAAGCCCATAGTACAGCAAATTCATACCACAGCAAGGCTGCTGGCTCGTAGTACAGCAACATTGGCAGGTTCTATGATATGGAAAAGGAAATGGGCCACATTATAATTACCAGAAGGCCAACAGCCAGAAAGTGGTTTCGTAAGTCTCGGAAAGCGGATTGTCTGAAGGGGTGGCCCAAGCAGGGAGTCGAATCTTGATATGACACCTTGCCAATCGAATGGCGTATTTTCCTGGTGGCACCCACGTAATACATAGACACTTTCGATTGCCATTTGACAAGCTAGATATCCAAACTGGACTGGTATTGGGACCCATTGCATGCCATTGAAGTGTCGTTCGATCCCGCTTGAAACCACGAGTTATACCCCAAACTTTTTTATTGCATCGTGTTCAATAATATTTTGCCTTGAACTCGTCAAAGCTGATCCAGTGGCGGGAAAGAGTGATTCCGGTTGGTCCCATTGTTAGATCCTTGTCGGCTTTCGCCCAAAGACCGACAGTGAATTTGTGCGCAGACGTTTGCCGGTCATTATGCAGTCATTGGCACTCCCCTGGCCGTCGGGATTATCCCCATTGATTAAACAGCCGTCGACGTCGAAAACCTGACGGGAGTCTGACTGCTGAGCATCATGCTCACGAGATGACACAGCTTGGACAGTGTAGTCAGTAAAGGGAGTCGGCTGATGTGCACTGCGATGAGGTTTCACTGGTGCGTATCTATGTCAGCTTTAAATGGAACAACGAGTGAACAAACGAATGACTCACCCAAACGCAATGTCTTAGATCTATCGCACCAATGACACGAGTGCTGGTGTCGTGCCTCGACGTTGTCCCGAGACTGCCACACTCTCAGGAATGAGCCTTGAAGCTATCATGAGGCGTGAGAGCTTTTGAGCATCCTGTGCTCCTGCAAATCCACATTGCGCCGACGTGAGCGCTCACAGTGTGCCCTTCGATGGTTCATCTGGCTGACACAACCTGACCACGGCCTGGTTTCCCTATTACTACCCTGCTGTCCGAGCGTCTTTCCGCTTTCGACCACAGACGACCGAGGAATTCTTTACGAACGCATGCGTGGACGTTCATCTCATCTGTGAGGTCTTCTTCAATCTGAAGACCATCAACCATATGGGCCCGGAAACACCAGGCTGATGGATTCGATGTCCCTGGGCCGGATGAGTTCCGCATTCCTGATGATGAGAGATTTAGGGTTCTGCAGAGGAACTTTTGGATAAAGTTGGCATTACCAACGAACTGTTTTGGTTGATGAGGAAGTCTTCCGTACTCTGGAGGCAATGCAATGAAGAGCAGTGTGCCCTTCACGGCAAATCAAAGGCATTCCTTTATATCTGAAATGGCCAGTCCCAAAAGTCCTGCAGGCTTCCAAGCGGAGTATGACAGTCGCTGAGGGTAGATTATCGGCAACTTCGAGTACTCATTGATGAAGTTGTTATTATGTTCCTGTCTTGTTGACTCTTCAACGTCATTCGGGAGTCGCGACCATGAGTGCGTTCGTGCTGCGGACAGTACCACGGCAGATCTTGCAACCGTTCTCGATGGTAAAATTCTCTCTTTTAGTGTTGATATGAGCTAGATCGTTTTTATTCTATTCTTCATGTTACATCCGGAAATGACGAGACTCACGGACATTCTATGTTGTCTGCAGGATTCTGTAGTGTATGTAGTTGATGTAGCCATTGTTCGTATTGGTCGATGAGTCGTTCATGGAATGCAGCTGACGACTGCGACGGCGCTCCGCAACTAGTAGGCCTCGTTCAGCAAGCCATCTGAGTGGAAATTGTAGGCTCACATCGTGCATTAGGAAGTAATTGCAATGAGTGACATTGCCGAAGCCTTTTTCTTGCAGTGATGCTAAACATTGAACGAGCGAGGGAGCCATTAAGTTGACGATATCATTGAGCTGTACCACATCATGAGCTTTTATGCAATATTCTCTGAGATGCTGTATATTGGCCATGCTACTACCCAAATTAATAGTAGCCGCGATCGCTACCAGTTCACGTCCTGGGATTCGGTAACCCACAAGTTTACATCCTGTACTCAAGCCTCTGTGTGCTACCCTATGCAGCTGTAAGCACGCCGGCTTAGTACCTGAGCAACACAAACTGATATTCTACGCTGCGGAAACACGGAGAGTGAGCCCTAGAGATATTGAGCGCTGAGCCTTAGTACTTAATATATACATGCACTGCATACGAGACAAGTGGGTGGCATATGTATTATGTCGATCTGAGTCGCCGTGCCACATCCTGTATACAAATCCTGTGGACTAGTCTGTACACCTTACTAAGCTGTGACCAGTGATACCACAGTTCGGAATGTTCTTCTGTCATGTTCAATCAAATCTACCAGCTGGCTTTACTAGGCCTTATACTTCATACTAGCTGTATACTGGACTGTGATTTTTTACCGGGAGTAACTTTGATACGAATCTCAACCCCTCCTGTTATAGTGCTGGTGCGATACTTGACATACCCCAGAATCCACAAACCAATTACACCTTCTGACCTCGGTATTGCGCTTCAAATATCGGCGAGACAGACATACAGATGCCTTTGAGTTTGAGAGATCGGCCATGCAATGCACCAATAATGTCTGAGTAGCTTCGTGCGATCAGTATCCATGGCGCCTGTCCCAAGCCTGTCCTGCTTTCACAGCATCACCTCAGATAAGGGAAAGTCGGCGGTATTGGGGAAATACTCGATCATCAATGGCTTGCTGGATGGTGATGAGCGCGAGAGAGATTGTGACATGGGTTTGTCGCATGAATTGAGATAGCCAAAGAAATGGTGTTTGATGAGGATGGCTGCACCATTCTGTGGTCTGCCAGCGCAGGTCCTCGGGAATGCCAGTGTTCCTGGTTGGTAATCAGTAGGTCCCATGCTATGACCTTGTATAATAGATAGAGCCTGGCCTTGGGTGTCCCTAGCAGTTTAAATGCCCCTCATAACCCGTATCTGCACGTTACGATATGTGACTACTTCGAATCTGTACCCTGTGAAGGTGGAATAAGACTTCTGAATGACAATGATGTGTCTGTACGATGGTGAATACTCCCTCGACAACACTGTATAATTGATGGGATCCGTCAGAACACGTCGCCACCCATTGAGCCTCAGCACGCGAAACGGCTCCCGGGCCGCTGTCCTAGTATTTTTCACGCACTAGTGGTACCTATTCTTGTCCAACTCGGAATCAGCGAGCAACGTGATTGGAGATGTGGAAAAGGTCGTACTGATTTCAGATGCATCTAAGAAGTAAAGTACAACGGTTTCGGGAATGGTTGGGCGCTCGCGTGGCTTTCGCATAGATACGCTTAGATGTGCTTAGATTCACTTACCTCGCTTAAACCTCTTTTTGGAAACTCGCGTGGTTTTCTCGTGTGGACTCGCTAAGACTAAGACTAAGACTAAGTAAGAAGAGTGTAAACGAACAAATTGAGTGAAATTTTTACAAGTCCGAAAATATTGCCAAACGCGATATAGTGGACAGTAATCCTCACGCCTACTGCGCCGTGGGAACACAACGGACAAACAACAGACTTTTCCTACTATATGGGAGAGGCATCGAGAATATCAAAAGCAATAATAGAAATTTGATTACACTTTTGGTTACACAAATCATTACACAACTTGGCTGCTGCTTTTGAATAGAATTCTCGAGTTAAACTGCCTTTCCCTGCAGCCAAGTGTAATAAAGTGTGATACACTTTTGGTGGGTGTTATTTCTTATCAATGATAATAGAAATGACTAATTGATGAGTTTAGACAAATTTTGCACTTGCTAAACAACCGTTTGAATTTAACAACCATGGATGGATATATACCTATTCTGTGAGTTGCTGATATATATATTGCTATGTGCAAGGTGCATGATGCTCATATCTGCACATTAGCAATCAAGAACAAATCACGCCAGAACGTGATCGACACTCCCAACGTGAACAAGACAGACTCAATCGACTTCAAATGACTTCTCCTACCAGACGTAATTGTCGTCGTGCTGCCCATGATAATCAGGACAGGCCTCTGCCTCCTGCTCCACAGCCAAATTTTATGCCGGCTAATGAGCCACAAGCAGGACCCGTTCCATGACCTTTTGCTTGGCAACCTCCCCCTCACTTTCAATATGAGCCACTTCCAGTTGCGCAATATCCTGGCTTGCCACGAAATGCGATTGCACATGTGCAGTGTGCTCATCGTCCTCCTCCGGTTGATTATAATGCATGCTTGAATGAGCGAGTGAATGCAGCTCAAAATGACAGACGCCATCAGTGCGATCTTCACCGGCGACAGGACAGAAATGAGATAAGACAGCAAGCACAAGCAGAGGCAGCCGGGATGCAGCCTCCACAGGTACCTCACATTCCTAATCAACCTGCTCCTCCTGCTCCTCCTGCTCCTCCTATATATGGCCCTATTCATTACGAGGGTGCAGTTGGTCCTCACAATGTCGATAATCCCCTGCACTACTTTGCACCCAATCCTGCACAACCTTTACATGGACCACCTCAACCTGATTATCGTCAGTTTAATGCTCAATTTCAACAACATTGGCAGGTAGAGCAAATGGAAAATGAGCGCATTAGAAATGACTTGCTTCAAAGACAAGTGCAGGAGGAATTTCATCGACAGCAGATTCAGCTGCAATTGCAGCAGCAGGAAGCTGAGCAACTGCAGATGCAACAGCAATTACAGCAGCAATGGCAGCAGCAATGGCAGCAGCAGGAAGCTGAGCGACTTCAGATGCAGCAGCGATTGCAGCAACAGGAAGCTGAGAATGCCAATAGACAAGCTTATGATATTCTGCGTGCAGGTCAAGAGGCAGAAGAGGAACAACACTGCCAGGAGCAGAGGGATCATGAGCAACAGGAGCGTCTTGAAGAGGCATTGTGTGAATATGATAATCCTGCTTCTCAGCAGCAGCATGAAGACGACGAGGAAAGAAGAAGAACTCAGGAGCAAGAACGTCGTTGGCAGCGCGATGCAGAGGATGATGAAAATATCAACCAGGCGCCTGTCTGAAATATCCCTATCCCAGATGGAGCTCGACCATACACAGAGCCCATTGATCATCACACTCTTGGTCCTCTTAATGTGGAGTGCCCCAACTGCCATGCCATGCATTTTGCATGTGAAAGACTCACCAAATCATCTGCACGAAATCCACGGTTTGGTACATGCTGCTTGGAGGGAAAAGTCGACCTTCCTCCCTTTCCAGCATGGCCACTCGAGCTGCAACAGGCATATGGAGACAGAACATTTGTGTCCAAGATTCGCCAGTACAACAGTGCTCTTGCATTCACATCCGTAGGCGTCACCATCAAGGATAGGGCCCTTCAAGGCTCTGGCTCAAATGCTTTTCGTATCCATGGATCTCTTCACCACCTTATGGGCAGCCTGATTCCCCCTGAAGGTATTTGGCCTTCATACGCTCAAATCTACATTTATGATCCCGAATGTGCCACCGACATCCACGCCAACCAACCAGGAAATGAGGGCCTTGATCGTCGTATTCTCAGAGAGCTCCATGATATGATCTATCAGAGTCATCCATATGCAGCTCTTTATAAGCAGGCCTATCAAGTTATGAGCGAGAAGCCTCCAGAGCAGCACACAGAAGTTCGTGCACGCATTCACTTTCAGCAGGGCACAGATGGTCGAAGATATAATCTTCCCACTGCTGATGAAATTGCTGTGATCATTCCTGGAGATGGATCTGAGGAGGTATCTGACAAACTGAGATATTGTCTTGCGACTTCAAGGTGGTCAGCTGCGACGCATCAGTCAGCTCAGCCATGCATACTCAACCCTTCACTATGCCCTTCTCTTTCCTTCTGGCGAGGAGGGCTGGCACCTTGGAATACCTCTCAACATCCCTCAAGGCAGACGTACATGTTCAAAAGAAGTGACCCAGCTGTTATACTATGCCTTCCGTCTTCACCCCCGCCCCATCCATATCGATAACAACAACATCTTTCGTGGTGGAAGACTGTTCCAGCAGTATGTTGTTGATGCTTGGGCTTCCATCGAACAGAGCAATCTGAATTGGGTTACCAAAAATCAAAAAAAGCTTAGGGCAGACTGCTACCAAGGCCTGGCAGACAACATCCTTAATGATGGCACAGATGATCTGGCTCAGACAGGTCGCACAATCATTCTGCCATCATTGCATACTGGAAGCCCCCACTACATGCACCAGTTGCTTCAGGATTCCTTGGCCATTTGCTGTGCCTGCAAGAAGCCCGACCTCTTCCTAACAATGACTGCAAATGGGAGTTGGCCTGAGATCACTGAAAACCTCCTTCCAGGTAAATTTTAATAATTTATTTATGATGTTGTTGCTAATATTGCTTATGTAGGTCAGAGCGCTGTGGATCGTCCAGACTTGGTGGCTCGCGTCTTCTACCAAAAGCAACAAGCGCTCTTGAAGAAGGTTCGCAAGGGCTACTATGGGAAGGTTGCAGGATTGGTGTACACCATCGAATATCAAAAGTGTGGTCTGCCCCACATGCACCTTCTCATCTTCCTCAACTCAGATCACAAGATATGCACTGTAGAGCAGATCAACTCCTTTATCTCTGCTCAGATACCAGATAGAGATGTGCACCCGCAACTCTACAAAGCTGTATCAAAATACATGCTTCATGGCCCATGCAGTCCAGAGCGTTGCTTGGAGAATGGACAGTGCAAAAAGCACTTTCCAAAGTCTTTCTGTCATCAGACATCCTTGAAGGATGATGGCTACCCAGAGTATGCAAGACCAGATAATGCTCGCACGATCCAAAAGAATAATGATGTCTTCACCAATAAAGATGTTGTTCCTCACCCTCTGGAACTGCTGGTCGAATTCAACTGCCACATCAATTTGGAAGTCTGCGCTTCGATCAAGTCTGTCAAGTACATTCATAAATATATCTACAAAGGACATGACCATGCAACTTTGGAGATGGAAGGACCGGTGGATGAGGTCAAATCATATCTTGACTCCAGGTATATTAGCTCAATTGAGGCTGCATGGCGCTGAAGGTTCAACGATACAGTGAGGGACGAACAATGCTCCTGACTGTATCTATAATTGTTGTAAGGTCGCGCGTTGCCTAGTCTGCTATACTTGAGACGACAAGTGCAGTTCGACCCTAAAGGGGAAGCGAGTGCAGCAAGGATCTAGTAGTAGGTGCCGAAGGCACTACTGGTTGGCAAATGCGAAGTGCGGGAATGCAGGCGCGTGTATGCGGAAACAAGAGAGGGTATGAGCGAGTTTGCTTAAGTGATGATAAGACACTAGACAAGAGGTGAGAGATGCAAGCTGAGAGATGTTATATGCGAGGTGCCAAGTAATAGATTTCAACTATGCTCTGCTGGGTAGTAAATGGGTATTGTTGTGGTTCAGTCCTCTGTCGTTCTTGGTGGGTGAGTCAGTGAGTAAGTATGTACTGCTGGCGCTTAAGTATGGCGCCTAAGCACTGTCATGCGGAGCCGAAGCGCTACCGAGTAAGGTATGTAAGGATATATGTAAGTAAGGGTCCATGATAAAAATAAAGATGGAACAATATGCAAATGTGAGAAATGGAAATATACGCACTAGGGAACTTGGTGGACAGTGGATGGATGCTTCCGGATGGCTGGCGCTATAGGGCGCTCAAGCGTGGGAAAGCGCGCGCGCATATACATCGTGAAGTGCGGGAAAGGCACGCACGTGAGTTGCGCATTGCACGGGAAAGCTGCGCCTCATGTAGGAATAGCTGTAGGAAGCATACAGAGTGATGCTACAAGTTCGTGCTGTATACTCCTTGGTGAAAACTGCAATATTGCACAAGGAGAGGCATGAGTCTCTACAGCAGCATCATGGAAAATGAGATGCACCTTGAATGGCCTGCTGTCTACCGCTTGCCAGTCCACCTCCCAGGTGAACACATGGTTGTCTATGATCCTGAGGATAATCCTGAGGATGTTGTCGAGCGTGCAGCAGCAAAGGAGACTCACCTCACTGGATGGTTCAAAGCCAATGCTGATGAAAACATGGTGGCAGCTGGAGCCTGTGATCTCCTCTACCAGGATTTCCCCTCAAAGTTTGTGTGGCAAAAAGTTGCTTGGAAGATACGTCAGCGTGGAGTTGCAATTGGAAGGATGTATTCTGCTGCCCCCGGCTCTGGAGAGAGATTTTATCTGAGATTGCTTTTGACCGTAGTGAAAGGTATGGTTTCTGTGACGATTTGTATGAATCAAACTTAATGTGTTTTTTCAAAGGTGCTACCTCCTATGAACACCTTCGGACTGTCGATGATGTTGTCTGTGAGACTTTCAAGGACGCATGTCGGCTCAGGGGTCTGCTCGAAGACGATAATGAATGGATTCAATGCTTGCGGGATGCCTCTCATATGTGCACTGGATACCATACATGAAATTTATTCGCCATCATCCTCCTATTCTGCAATCCTACAAGCCCTGATGACCTTTGGAACCGCTTCAAGGACAATCTCTGTGATGATCTGCGCCACCGTCTTGCTCGCATCCCATTTAATATGCCAGATGCTACTGAGGAGGAGGTCTACGACTATGGTCTCTATCTCATTGATGGTGTGCTTCGCAAAAATGGAAAGTCTTTGGATGCCATTCCCCACATGCCTGTCTCTCAAATGGCAGCAAGATGGGGAGCCATGGAGGGTAACCAGTTGATTGCTGAGCAGCTCCAGTACAACCAAGAAGAGCTTCAGCAGGTGGTGGAAAGAGGAGTTCCTTCTCTCAATGAAGAGCAGAGGGCGGTCTTTGATGCGGTGGTCGATGATGCGATGCATCGTGATGAGCGCAGACCAGGACATTCATACTTTGTCCACAGTGCAGGTGGATGTGGCAAGACATATCTCTGCAAGCTCATCGCTTCAAAACTCCGTGCTGAAGGCAAGATCGTCCTATGTGTGGCTTCCTCCGGAATCGCTTCTCTCCTCCTGCCAGGTGGACGTACAGCTCATTCAGTGATTCAAGATCCCTATTCCCATTCACTGAAGACAGCTCTTGTAACATAAAGAAAGGAGACATTCTTCATGAGCTTCTCAAGGCCACCTCCCTAATCATTTGTGATGAAATTCCAATGTTACACTGCCACATCCTGGAATGCCTTGACCGCACATTACATGATCTTCTGAATGTTGATGCTGATTTTGGAGGAGTAACCATGCTCTTTGGAGGAGACTTCAGACAGACCCTGCCGGTGGTGCCTCATGGATCCAGGGAGCAGATAGTGGGCGCTACCTTTTGCAGATCTCGCATTTGGTCAAGGCTTCATATATTCCATCTCAAGAGAAATATGTGTCTTGGTCAAGATCCCGCTTCTGATGATTTTGCAAGGTGGCTTCTTGAGATTGGAGCTGGTAGGGGCACAAATGAAGATGGAACTGTGACCCTCCCTGCCCGCATGCGGTGTCCCAACAATGATCTTCGGTCTCTCATCAATGCCCTATACTCAAGAATTCTGCTCCCTGATCGTCCTCCCTTAAATGATTCATACTTCCTGGATCGCACCATTCTTTCTGCAAAGAACACTAATGTGGATGAAATCAATGCCACTATCCTGGAATCATTCCCTGGAGAAAAAGCAGTCTTCACCAGCGCGGACTCAGTCACGGAGAGAGAATACGATTACATTCCCCCAGAGTTCCTTCATACCCTCGCCCCATCAGGCTTCCCTTTGCACAAATTGGAGGTCAAAGCAGGTGTTCCTCTAATGCTTTTGTGCAATTTGAACCCCTTGCAGGGACTCTATAATGGAACTCGCATGATACTCCTGTCTTGGACCACCCGTGTCCTTAGGTGCCATGTTCTTAGGGATGGAGATGATGAAGATCAGCAGGTCAATGAGAACACAGTCCTAATTCCTCGCATCACTATGGAATCCAGTTCTGAAGAGAACCCAATCCCTCTCAAGCGTCACCAGTTTCCTGTTCGTCTTGCATTCGCTATGACAATCAACAAGGCGCAAGGTCAAAGCGTCAAGTGGGTTGGCCTTAATTTGCGGACTCCTGTCT